TCACCCTTCAAAGGAAGAAGTTTCTAAGGAGCTAGAGAAACAGGATGAAATAAACTACCTGCATCCATATTGGGTCGGTGAAAAGATTCCTTCACCAGGAAGTACTAACTGGTTAGCAGGCAACAGAGTCAGGACTGTAAGATTCAATTAGTGGAAATTTTGATGAAGGAATTTTCTAACAGTGAAAATAGTACACTTTCTGCCTTACTTTTTTTTTTTTTTTGCCAGTCCTGGGGCTTGAGTGCACTGTCTCTGAGCTTCTTTTGCTCAAGGCTAACACTCTACCACTTGAGCCACAGTACTACTTCCGGCTTTTTCTGTTTATGTGGAACTGAGGAAACAAACCCAAGGCTTCATGCATGCTAGGCAAGCACTCTACCACTAAGCCATGTTCCCAGCCTTCTGTATTACTTTTTTTTTGGGTCCGGTCGTTGGGCCTGAACTCTGGGCCTGGGTGCTGTTCCCTCAGCTCTTCAGTTCAAGGCTAGTGCTCTACCACCTGAGCCACAGCACCACTTCTGGCTTTTTTCTTATGTGGTGCTGAGGAATCGAACCCAGGGCCTCATGCATGCAAGTCAAGCGCTCTACCACTGAGCCACTTTCCCAGCCCTCTGCATTACTTTTTAAAGGCAGAAGTAGGAATCAAACAAACTTGGCTTGGTTTATATACAGGGAGTGTAAGACAGGCTGAGAGAGACTGGAGAGGAAGACAGGAGACAGGATCAAGGACCTAATATACCTTCCTTCCTGTGGTACAGGGCAGGGGGAAAGGCCTTTAAGGAAAAGCAAGGAGGGCAGAATTTCAAGATGGAAGCAGTTAGGGCTGCATCATGGCTATTGGGCTTGAGGAAAGCAGTGAACTCCTGACAATGACCACACACACAAAAAAAAACTCGGGCAGGGGGTCATGGGCTAGGGACACTTCCTACATTTTTCTTTTTTTCTGGTACCAGGGTTTGAACTTAGGGCCTCATACTTTGCTTGGCTAGCATTCTACCATTTGAGACATGCCTCCAGCCCTACTTTGTGCTGGTTATTTTGGAAATAAGTCTAGCAAACTTATGAGCTAGCTTTGAACCTCAATCCTCCAGATTCCAGCCCCTTGAATAGCTAGGATAATGGCATGAGCATGTTGCACAATGGGCAGTTATAGACAAAAACCTGCTCATTAACCTTTAAAAAAGACACATATGGAAAAACCAAATTATAATTCCTATCTCAGTTTTCTTTCAAAGTTAAAGACAAGAGCAAAGAGGTGGGCTGTGACCGCCCAGGTGCTTCCAAGTGTTGGAAATGCCCACTCTCCAGCAGAGGCTTCCTCCCTTGTTCAGCCATGTAAGATATGAGCACACTCTCTCCTGCCTGTAGTCACAGGAGTGACTGAGCAGCACAGCTAGGTGCTCTGGCCTCTGTTCTCTTCTCTGTAAAACATCAAGGGAGGAGCTTGAGCTGGCAGTGCCTGAAACACAGGGTGCAGAGAAAACACAAGATGTCCCTCAACTTGCTTGAAACTAGAAAGCCACATTTGGCTCACCTAAACACTGCTCCGGGCATCAGAAGTGCTCTTCAGAACAGTTTTGCAACTTCTCACTAATCAGTCCACAATGGAAAGAAAAGCAGAGGTCAGAGAGAAATGGCTGGGGTGCAGCTACCTGACGGGCTGACGGGCAGCTACCTTCCAGAATTACAAACTGCTCTTTCAACAAGACTTTATGTGGCATCAAAAGAAAAGGCACCACTACAGATGTTTTCTTTAATTATTCAAGGAAGCCCGGCAACAGTGGCTCGTGCCTGCAATCCTAGCTCCTCAGGAGTCTGAGACCTGAAGGATCATGGTTCAAAGCCAGCAGAGGCAGAAAAATCTGACTCTGTCTCCCATTAATCAGCAAATTGCTGGACTGGAGACATGGCTGCAGTAGTAGAGCACCAGCCATGAGCAAGACTTAAGCTGAGAACGCAATGCCCTGAGTTCAAGCCCTGGAATGGGGGGAAAAAATTCTCAATGAAAGCATACTCATCATAGAGCTCTTTTTGTATATCATACCCAACTTCTTCAGTTGCCCATGGGCATGATGCTCTCTCCTACCACACATCTTTCCATAGGTCTTACATGTATTTTCCTTCCCTCCTTTCCACCTGGCACCTTCTATATCCCAGTACCACTAGTGAAGCTTGAAGAAGGACATGCAGGGATTCATTATAACTATCCTCCATGCTTCTGAATATGTGTATAAATCCCATAATTTCAATAGACTCTCAACACAAGAAGGGGATATATGGTATATCCGTTCCTATAGACTAATTCCACCTATCCAACCATGAGCTTGAACTGCAACTCCCACTAATCAACATCAAGCATCTGCCCACCATCTCTCTAACATCTCCTAAAGAGGCCCAGGTCTGAGGAATCTGTCATCCATATTGAGGATATGTGGTCTTAGTAATGTCTACTGTAATATAGGACATGTGTACTGCCCAAACTCATTTCACTTGATCTAAAACATGAAGAAGGGAAGTCTTGCAGGAAGAGTTGGGTTATCCCACTAGCTCCCACCTAGGCCTAACAGCATAGTTATTCTCCAATTTTTCTGTGGGATCCATATGTTTGGGAAAATCTACAATGGAGTTGAGTTTTAAAAGCAAAGAAATATTAGGGAGTGAAGTGGACATAATTTAGGAATTTCATACTTCAAGATGAGCCTAGCAAATCGCTCACACTGACATTGCCCAAAGGTGCTTTGTAAGAACCAGTGACCTGGGTGAAGGCAAGGCTAATAAGCCCTCAACATCATCTCCCTCCAGACCCCAGCCAGTCCCACAGCCTTCACCCCCGCCTCCCAAGGCCTGAACCTACCTACCACACAGGCCCATCACTCCCCAGTCTCAAGGTGCAGAGTAAGCTGCTCTCTCTAGCAGTGTTCAAGTACCAGAAACCTGACCAAAGCACTACACAGGATGGCTTTGCCCTCTTTCCAGGTGGTAAAATTGATAATAGCAACCAAATAGGTGCTTGGTAACATCAAGGGACTCAGGTAGTTGATGCTTCAAGGCAGATGCCCCAAACAGTGCAGTATGAATGCAAAAGCCAATCATCCTAGCTGGCCCTAGTGGCTTATGCCTGTAATCCTAGCTACACAGCAGGCTGAGATCAGAGGATCACAGTTCAAAGCCAGCCCGGGCAGAGAAGTTCCTTGTAAGACTCATCTCCAACTAACTAAAAAACTGAAGTAGAACTGTGGCTAGCGTTGAGCAAAAGAGCTCAGGGACAGCATCCCAGGCCATGAGTTCAAGTCCCATGACCAACAACAAAAATAAGCCAATCATCCTAGTCTCTCTGGAGGCAATCATGATTTTAAGCCTCACACTAGATAACAATTTCAAATACATGTTCATTCGTGCCAGACAGTGCAGCTCTTCACAGTATTCTCTTCTGCAAGGATGTCTGCAGACCACATCTCAGGTAACATTATTACCTCGAAAATTAATACCATCTGCATCCCTTTGTTTTAATTACAGCCTGCCTGGTTTTAAGAAAACAGTGCCTAGCTACTCAGGAGGCTAAGATATGAGGACTGCAGTTCAAAGCCAGCCTGGGCAGCAAAGTCCCTAAGACTCGTTATCTCCAATAAACCACCAGAAAATCGGAAGTAGTGCTGTGGCTCAAGGCTAGTGCTCTACCATTGAGCTGAAGAGCTGAGGGACAGCACCCAGGCCCAGGGTTCAAGCCCCATAACTGCCAAAAAAAGAAAACACATATGTGGTTGGATTTAAAGAAGTACATTTGCCGGGCGCCGGTGGCTCATGCCTATAATCCTAGCTACTCAGGAGGCTGAGATCTGAGGATCACGGTTCAAAGCCAGCCCGGCAAGGAAAGTCCATAAGACTCTTATCTCCAATAAACTACTAGAAAACTGGAAGTGGCGCTGTGGCTCAAGTGGTAGAGCGCTTGCCTTGCGCTGAAGAGCGCAGGGACAGCGCCTAAGCCCAGAGTTCAAGCCTCATGACCGACCAAAAAAAAAAGCACATTTGCCTATCCGGTTCAGAAAGCTCGTTGCAATCTACTACAATATACACTAACTGGACCTGGGTTGTCCCCATCAGTTTTATGATGTCTCTTTTACCTTCAAGTTCGGATGCTGACTTTGTAAAAAAATTTTGTCCCAAACTCTACACATGAAAAAACAATCTGGAAGTAGCAGAGTTGACTGTCTTACCTGGGAGTTGGGTAGGAGGGGCTGAGCCACTCACTCGTGAGGAAAAGGGATCAAGACATACACAGGAGACACTGTCTCACCTCACTTACCAGCTCAAATCTGAAAGTGTTTTCACTTGAAAGAAGATTCTGCTGTTTTTGAAAATTGGAAAATCCTGGACCTAAGTTAGATGACCCTTCAGGGTTCCTTCCAAGTTGTAAATTATGTGGTTGTTTTTATGCATTTAATATTCGTGAAGTGGCTTACTGTGTCAAGCAGGGTAGTGACAACACTGAGTAAGACACTGACACAGGGGATCTACTGCTGTGTTTTGTGTGTGTGTGTGTATACACACTAATTCTGGGGCTTGAACTCAGGGCCTGGGTGCTGTCCCTGAGCTTCTTTTGCTCAAGGATAGTGCTCTACCACTTGAGTCACAGATCTACTTCCAGCCTTTTTGGTCGTTTATTGGAAATAATAGTTTCCTGGACTTTTCCTGCATTGGCTAGCTTCTAACCACAATCGTCAAATCTCACCCTCCTAAGTAGTTAGGATTACAGGTGTGATCACTGGTGCCAGGCTGGTTTCTGTTTTTCTAAGAGACTGAATAATAATGGAAAAATGTCTATAAGCAGTGTGACCAAAAACTACTTCATGTTTCCTCAAGTATTAAAAAGAAATGGCAAACTGGCCACTGCTGGCACATGCTTTTCCACGGGCACTGGTCCAATGCCCCTTCTCCTCTGCCCATGATTTTCTATAGAAGACACAGGCAGAATGACACAGACAAAACTGACTGCACATTGGAAAGATCAAACTGGGTTTTATTAAAATATACATAAATAACCCTCATGTACTTTTACTTCATCAGTATTAGGAAATAAAAGTGAAAAGTGATTATCCTGGTATAAAGAAATGAAGGCCAAAAGGGAGTCAAGAAAACTATGCTTCAGCCCAGATCTGCCACCTCCCAGTCTAGGAAAGGCATTTAGTGTCGTGTCCACAGCTAGTGTCCACAGCTAGAGAATGAGGTGGTTGGAATCTATGTTGTCTGGGGTCAACTAAAGCTCTAAACCCTTCCTGTTCTAACGAGCAGCAATGCTGAAGTTCTGGGTCAGCACAACACAGTAGCTACTAACAATGAAAACAGAATGAACACTAAACACACAAATACTTTCAAGGAAGACATGAGAAATACAGAAGGTTGCTGCCTAAAAAAATGTATCAATGTTACTGTTTTATTCACACTAATTAGGATATATACACAAAAAAATGTGTATCATGTCACTTTCAAAAAATTTCATGTTCCATGAGAACTATGTAAACAACGTCAAGTTTTCTATTACCTAATAAAAGAAGAAAATCACTATTCCTATATATTAGGAAAATATTTAGATCATTTGAATTTATAGTAAAACAAAGTGAAATATTATAGAGCAGTCTTTTCATGAAGTAATTTTACAGCCTAAAAGCAGTACATTTCATCCTTTCAAATACTTTGGTATAAGAGAAATTAATATGAATCAAAAAACACAAACTTCTACTTTGGTTCTCACATTAAGTGGAACTTCAGCAATGATGTGTAGCTCTGCTACTTCAGGTGACAAAATGAGAACTTGTCACTTGCCGCCTCATCCCCTGGAGCTAGGCTAGGAGAGCCATTACCTCCTCCATAGCCAGACTCTCAGTGGGCATGAAGCGTTATAGACCACAGATCCAGCTTGAAATACGAGACCTCAGACCTTTCTCATCACAAACAGAAGGACCCTGCATCAAAGCAGCTCATAACTACAATTCACATTTAGAGCACTACATATAATTTCTAAAAATCATGTTTCTATAGTTTCTCAACAAGTCCATACTGCACTAATAAAAGAAAAAGGTAAGCCCACTGACAATAGTTTTGTAAAAATAGAAACAACCATTTGCATGCTACAAGTATTTCTTCATTGATATCACATGTAACTAAACAGATCTGAGGAAGTTTTCATTGCATCATTTTTATAGTTGTATTTTCTCATCTATATTATCCAAATGTGGTACTGATTCTTTTCGCTAGATTTTCGTTCTGTGCATTTTCTTTTAAATGAATCTCTACATCTGAGAATTGCATCTGAGCAACTGTTGTCACCCATCACAGGAACAGGAGCAAACAGAACAGCCTCTGAAGATCCTCTTAGCGACATAATTTAAACTGGAACTTCCTGTTAAGATAAGAAAAAAGTCCTTTAGTAAACTTTCCAGACTCAAATTATTAATACTTCAGTGCTATTCCTTCTTAAAGACACACACAGTGAGGGCTAAGCTGCCCTGAGGAACACAGCCAGGGAGCATGAGCCCTTCCCCCAAGGGATGCAGGTACACAGTCCACCGGTAGCAAGATCTAGAACAATAATCCTCCTAACCAAGAAACTACCAGAAGCCAAGAACAAACTTTAAACTAATCTGTCAGATTAGTTTGAGGCTTTTTAAAGACTAATCCTAAAAAGCACTGAAGGGACATAGCATACAAGTATTATTCAGGTAAACAAATATTTGCTTGAATGATCCAGGTATAATGTTTCAAATTAATTACTTTGTAGTATTCTATAGTATTAAGAATTTAAACTCTAACTAAATTTAAAGCCTATATTTTATAAGTAAGTATAAAAAGCAATAACACTATTACAGTGAACAATCCTGCCAGGAAGTCCTGACTAAAATGTCCATATTAGGTGATGTTGAAATGCTAGGATTAGAGCCAAGCACCAGAGGCTCACACCTGTAATCCTATCCACTCAGGAGGCTGAGATCTGAGGATTGCAGTTCAAGGCCAGCCCAGGCAGGAAAATTTTTGTGAAACTTTTATCTCCAATTAACTACTAGAAAATTCAAAGTGGTGCTGTGGCTCAAAATGGTAGAGTACTAGCCTTGAGTGAAAAAGCTCAGAAGTTGTGCTCAGGCCCTGAGTTCAAGCCCCATGACCTCCACCACAAACAACAACAAAAAATATCCTAAAATTACTAGTTCTTGGATTTTGTTGGTTTTGTGGGAAAAGGAAATAAGGGGAACTTAACTCATTTCAACATTAATTTGAGATAATGACCGAGACTGCGGTATACGGTGAACTTATATTGCCAGATATTAAAAAGTTTCAAAACAGGTACCAGTGGCTCACATCTGTAGTCTAACTACTTCAGAGGCTGAGATAGGGAGGATCATAGTTTATGTTCAGCTTGGGCAGAAAAGTTCTCAAAACAGTGGCAGGACCTGTCATCCTCACTATGTGGAAGACTGGTATTGGGAAGATGTTGGTTCCAGACAAGTCCAGGCAGATAAATCCATGAGGCTCCATCTAAATTAGAAGCAGCTTGGTGTGGTAGCATACCTGTCATCCCAGGAAGTAAAAAGTAGAAGGATAATAGTCCAGGGACATACTGGAAAGCAAGACCCTATCTCAAAAATAACTAGTGTTAAAAAGTGCTGGAGGTGTGGCTCAGTGGTAGAGCACCTCCTAAACAAACACGAGGTGAGTTCCAAGTCCAGTAATACCCCCCGCCAAAAGCATAAAACTACAATTAAGTCACCATAGGATGCTATCACTGCTTCTGTTCCATGAAAAGAAAGATGCCCAGAGAAGGGTGTCTCTGCTGAGACAGGAAGTGGGGACTCTGACAGCTACAGCCTAGAGGAAGATTAAAAGGAAAAATCCTCCATGCAGAAGTGAGAGTGAAGCCAGCACACTGCTTCCTCCTTAAAGGGGGGAGGGGAAATACCCTGATGCCAAATGTCAACCCACAAATTCTTTGGTCTGAATTCACACCACTACTAGTAGAGTCCAAAACATCTCAAGCAGAGAAACTAGGTTAAGCAGACCCAGACAGGTAATGCCCCCCAGTAGCTGGCAGGAGACAATGCACGCCCTCTCAGAATTCAACTTCCAGCCAACAGCTGAGGACAAAAGGCACCTGAGACTTAAAGAGGTTAGACCGTGGAAACGGTGACTCAAAATCATTGAAATAGGATAGAGAGACAAATAATAACTCAGGTAGCCCAGAAAACAAAGTATTAGGCATATGATAAAAACATCAATAGGGCTGGGAAGGTGGCTCAGTGGTAGAGCGCTTGCCTTGCATGCAAGAGGCCCTGGGTTCGATTTCCCAGCACCACATAAGCAAAAAGAAAAAAAGCCAAAAGTGGCGCTGTGGCTCAAGTGGTAGAGCACTAGCCTTGAGCTGAAGAGCTGAGGGACAGGGCCCAGGCCCAGAGTTCAAGCCCCACAACTGGACCCCAAAACAACAACAACAACAACAACAAAAAACAAAAACAAAAAAAACCTATCAATAATAAACAGTACTATTCATATATGTGTGGCACAGGGAAAAATGATTAACTAATTTTTAGTAAAAGAGTTAAAACCCTTAAGATGGTATACTTCTCAAGCTCAAATGAAACAGCCACGTAAGGCTTAAGATAAACAATAAAAATCCAAACAATAATTAATGAAAAGACTGGCTTTTTCTTTTGACAGTCTTGGGGCTTGAACTCAGAGCCTGAGTACTGTTCCTGAGCTTTGGTGCTCAAGGCTAGCGCTCTACCACTTGAACCACAGTGTCACTTCTGGCTTTTTCTGAGTAGTTTATTGGAGATAAGAGTCTCATTGACTTTCCTGCCCAGGTGGGCTTCGAACCACGAGCCACAATCCCCAGATCTCAGCCTCCTGAGTAGCTGGGATTACAGGTGTGAGCCTTTTTAAAACAAAAAACAAAAAAAACATGCTCTCTATTCACCTGCCCTGGCCAAAAGCTAAAGTATAAGCAAAAATAAAAGGCAAATCTTAAACTGGGAAAATATTTGCAATGTAAAAAGGTTAATATCCTTTAAAACAAAAGTACCCAACCAACCCCTCACACCTCTAGATAAATGCACAAAGGTAAAAAACGAGCAACTGATTTAAAAAAAGACATATAAGCAGGCAATTAAATACACCAAAAAGCTCAACTGTACAAGTGCTGAAAATGTAAGAAAAATGATGTAACAACTGCTACCTATACAACTGGAAAAATGTTCAAAATCAGTACTACCTACTTTTTCTGCAAGTGTGTACTTACATACTGACAGGAGATAGGGAGACTGAGCAACTCGCCCACAATGCAATTTAGCAGTGGTACAGATCAGAACTCCCTTTCAAAATATGTGATGTTTTTAGATCTGGAATTTATCTCAAGCCCTTAGAGATATGTAAAAGGTATTTAAAACTGCATGTCAGAACTATATAGAACAGTAAAAATTGGAAAAATCACCTGACATCCAACTATGGGGCTGAGATTCAGTAATTTAGCACAGAGTAGAACTATAAAATAGAAGACAATGTAACTATTAAAATATAGCCTATTTGGACGGGTACAATGGCTCACACCCGTAATCCTAGCTCCTCTGAAGATTATGGTTCAAAGCCAGCTTGGGCAGGAAAGTCTGTGAGAGAGACTCTTATCACCAAGTAGGAACCAAAGGAGCTGGAGGAGAGCTGTGGCTCAAGTGGTAAAGCACCTGCCTGGGGGAAAAAGGCTCAAGGGACTGGTATCATGTTAGACACTACATATAAAATAAAAATACAGGGGCTAGGAAGGTGGCTCAGTGGTAGAGCGCTTGCCTTGCATGCCTGAGGCCCTGGGTTCGATTCCTCAGCACCACATAAGCAAAAAGAAAAAAAGCGGGAAGTAGCGTTGTGGCTCAAGTGGTAGAGCGCTAGCCTTGAGCTGAAGAGCTGAGGGACAGCGCCCAAGCCCAGAGTTCAAGCCCCACGACCGGACCAAAATAAATAAATAAATAAATAAATAAAAATACATATTATATATATAATAAAAATTTGCAAACACACAATATATATCACATATATTAGTCTATCATGAAAGCACTGAAGATTAACCTAAATGTTTACCAGTACAGCATTATTGTAAAAACTCTAATGGGACACATTAAAATGAGGTACCTCTCATGTTTTGATATATACTCTTTTCTCTGCATGGAAGATGTCCCCCCCCCGACGCCTTCCTGCTCACTTGAGTATTCAAATGGCCGTTTACCAGAGAGGATGCCCCTGCCCTCTCCAACACAGCAGTAATGCGCTCCCATCCCAGGTATGCTCCTACCCTACTCACTCTGGTGACCATGTGGCACGCTTCAGACCTTTGACAAAGGCAGAGACTTTAGTCCACTGATATTACCCCGGTGTCTACAGTAGTACCAGGTACTTAGTAAGGTACTCAAGCAGTACTGGATGGATGGATGCAGATGAAGCAATCTCAAGACACAAAGGTAAGAACAGGGCAATAATTTTGCTGACATTTGTCTTTTAAAAATAGAGAAATTAAGCCGCGCACCAGTAGTTCAGGCCTGTAATCCTAACTTCTCAGGAGGCTGAGACCTGAGGATCCAGGTTTGAAGCCAGCCTGGGCAGCAAAGTCTGTGAGACTTTTTTTTTGCCAGTCCTGGGGCTTGAACTCTGGGCCTGGGCGCTGTCCCTGAGCTCTTCAGCTCAAGGTGAACACTCTACCACTTGAGCCACAGTACCACTTCCAGTTTCCTGGTGGTTTATTGGAGTAAGAGTCTCACAGCGATCTCCTGAGTAGCTAGGATTACAGGTGTGAGCCACCGGTGCCCAGCTTCCCTGAGCTTCTTTTGTTCAAGGCTAGCACTCTACCACTTGTGCCACAGCACCACTTCTGGCTTTTATCTGTTTACCTGATACTAAGGAATCGAACCCAGGGCTTCATGCATGCTAGTCAAGTACTCTACCACTAAGTCACATTCCCAGCCACCTATGAGACTCTAATCTCCAATAAACCACCAGAAAACCAGAAATGGCACTGTAGCTCAAGTAGCAGAGCACTTGCCTTGAGCTGACTAGCTCAGGGACATCACCCAGACCCAGAGTTCAAGCCCCATGACCAACAAAAAAATAAAATAAAAAATAAAATAAAGATAAAAAAAATTACAGGTGTGTGCAGGCACACAGATGTCTGGAAAGATACATAAAAATTGGAACTGATTATCTTTGGTCAGGGGAGCTGAGGAAGAAATACAGGAGAGTGATCCTTTACTTGCCCCTTTAAAAAAACAGACTTAGGCCAGGTGGTTTAGGCTTACAATCTTGGCTATATAGGAAACAGCCAGGGTTAAGCATGTGTCCCCCTCCTCCCCTCCCCCCCACTCCCCCAGCAATCTTCCCTGGCTGAGAACTCAAGTCCTCAATTTTCTTTCACCTCGCTGGCTCTGCCTACACACTCCTTCTAGATGATTTCACCTATTTGTGACTTGAAATGATGAGCACATTCTGATGACTCTAAAGTTATCTTTAGCTCCAAGCTTTCTTCTGAGTTTCAAAGCATCATCAACTACTGACCGGACAAGCCAAAACTGATAGTCCATCCTTCCCACCCTCTAAACACCTGCTCCCTCCAAAGCTTCACCAGGAAAAGGTACCACCATCCACCTAGTCGCTCACAAAATGCCGTAGGAGTCATCCTTAACCTTTCATTCCCTCACACACCACGGTGAATTCACCAGTTAGGAACAGCTCTTCCTTCTTCTCTCACCCTATCACTTCACCACCCTGGTCTAAGTCACTTGTGTACTGCCTTCCCTGCCCCACTCATGTCTACTCCTTACCCAGCAACCAAGCAAGCTTGCTAAAACACAGAACCAAAGCATGTCACTCCACGCCTCTTGCTTTGACACGAGACCCACATTCCTCATAATCAGATCTCTGTCACCTATCTGAACTTCTTTTACCTTCTCCACTGAATCTGTTAATATCTGAAATTCCGTTGTGCCCTAAAATACAACTTACCCTGCCAATCTCCTAGTACAAGGTAAATTTCTTTTTGCTGGTCCTGAAGCTTCAACTCAGGCCCTCGGTGCTATCCCTGAGCTTCTTTTGCTCAAGATTAGTGCTCTACCAGTTGAACCACAGCTCTACTTCCAGCTTTTTCTGTGGTTAACTGGAGATAAAGAGTCTCATGGACTTTCCTGCCCAGGCTGATTTCCAACAATGATTCTCAGATCTCAGCCTCCTGAGTAGCTAGAATTACAGGTATGAGCCCTAGCACCCAGCAAAAGGCAAATTTCTTAAAGGTAAAGATACCATCTGGTTTGTTACTCATCTTTAGCAAGAAAACTGGTGCTTGTCACACAGCAAGTACTCAACGAATATTTGTCAAACAACTAAATAGCTATTTTATAACTAAAAATCTGGACTGTAATGGGTTTTGAAATTACATTCAATTTATTTTAATATTATGATACTAAAAATTGCAAGAACAATAAAATGGTACAGTTTATGAAGTGTTTTTTGAAACCAAGCTATCCTGTTAGCTAAAATTTCCTAATAGTCAGCATTAAAAACACTGAAAATTATCTAAATTTTCATTAACTGATTCAATAGAGGGGAATGTAGGCATACAATAGGTTATAGTCATTGAATACAATGACAAAAACCCAGACATGCTAATTAATGTACAATATCATGCAAGCTGTCTAGATGACTGAAAATATCCAAATGGTAAAACAGTATATTGAATGAGATCCTTTTGTGTTAAAGTGCGTGAATAGGTGCTTGAATATGCACAAAATTTTTCTCTGAGGTAAATCAGACTGAAAGTAGTAGTTATCTTTCTAAAATGCAAAGGCAGGAGATGTCGGGAATCTTCCTATTTATCAAAACCAAAATATTGGCAGGGTACCAGAGGTTTGTGCCTATAATCCTAGCAAGAGGTTGAGATCTGAGATCTGAAGACAAAGATTCAAAGTCAGCCCTGGCAGACAAATCTATGAGACTCTTATCTCCAAATAACCAGCAAAAAGGCAAAAGTAAAGTTGTGGCTCAAGTGGCAGAATGCTAGCCTTGAGTGCAAAAGCCAATTGAGAGCCAGAGGCGCAGAGTCAAAGCTCTCATAGAGCAAGAGAAATGCGATACTCTGCATGTCATTCTTTCACAGGCTTTACGTTAGAAACATGTTGCCTATTTTTCAAGTAATGCATCATCCCCTAGTGAGGAAGAATGGGCACCTAGTGTCTCAGGAGGCCAGATAGGAGTAAGACTTCAGCTGCCTTGTAGGTTGGATTAGTCATCACAGACTCAGCCCCCATCTCTATTCTTTCCCTCTAGAAAAATTACACTTAAAAAATGTACAATCTTTACAATTGTCACACACAATGGGAGTAGGCACCTATTGAAAACAGAGTCAATAAGTATGATCAAAGTGAGACAAGGTTCCACTATGTGGCCTAGACTAGTCTTTATCTCCTAGCTCTACCTCCCAAGTACTGGGACTATAGGTGTGCACTATCACACCCAGCATGCTTCTGCTTTTCTAATTAAAGGGGAAAGGTATGATGGACACTGACCTTCCCCACTAATCATGCCATGAATACAGATGAGATATCTGGAACCATGGGACATCTTGTAACCATGAGGCAGCAAGAGCCAACATTTTGGCAGAAAGATGCTGGTGGTGTCATTCAACAGAGGAACCCTTCCTGTTACAGGAGGAAAATAAATCAGTATTTGTTTAAGGTATTGTGAAGAAGGTTCTGAGATCTACCAAGAAATTCTTAACTATATTCCTGGGAATCTACTTTTAAAAAAAAATTACAAATAAAAGGACTCAAATTCTATGTAGTTGAAAGATTGGAGGAGGAGGAGGATTGTTTATCTGAGAAAAGATATTACTATTTAGCCCAAGCTGGCCTCAAACTCATGATCCTCCTGTTTCAGCCTCTCAGGTTGTGGGAAAACAGGAATGTAACAGCATACCTGGCTCTGAAAAGATTATAACAAGTCAAGAATATGCATTGCTTTTGTATATTGCCTTCCTTAAGTGTCTCTATTCTGAATTCCAACAAAAATAAAAAATACTTCAGAGAAAAAAAAAGAATAAAGACAAAATCTTAGTCAATATCAACTCCACACACACACACACAAAAAAAAACTTCAGAATACAAACATTGAGAACTTATAATCAAGGATAAACTCACACCAAAAATAGAAGTCTGATCAATGCTGAGGCTGCTCCGGACTAATGTTCATTGTCCTATAAATTTCTTTAAGTAACAAAAGGGCAGTATCTTCAGATTCCCTAGAAAAAAGAAAAATGTATTTACTTAAGAGCTCTTTAGATGAACTTAACTTCTATGCCTAAAGGTGGTAAGTGCAGTTTTTGTCGTTCTAGTCAACTCTATGAGAAAGCAAATGATGACAGAGCAGTATGCTCTCAGAGCGGTCCTTTCACTGTATGGATACTTATCTGCTCCAAAGATGTCATGTCTCCTTTGTAATGGGACATACGGAAGAATAGCCTTTCAAAATCCCTACCACTCCAACCATGAAAGACACCCCTACAAAAACAATACACAGGGGGCTGGGAATGTGGCTTAGTGGTAGAGTGCTTGCCTACTATTCATGAAGCCCTAGGTTCGATTCCCCAGAACTACATAAACAGATAAAGCCAGAAGTGGCAATGTGGCTCAAGTGGTAGAGTGCTGGCCTTGAGTAAAAGAAGCTCAGGGACAGAGCCCAGGCCCTGAGTTCAAGCCCCAGGAATGGCAGAAAAAAAAAAAAATGTAAAAACTGTACAATACCAACGGTCTCAGGTTAGAGGCAGAGTACATACTGCCACCTTGTGGTTAATACAAGTTCAATGCAAATTTGAAAGGAGAAAAATCACTGGATTCTATCACACACAGTTCAGATTAATAGTCCATGACAAATGATGAGTCAGTATAAGAATCTCACAAAGCAAACTGCTGTATGTGCTGGCACCTACAGGCCATCAATAGTCATCAAAGTGAAGAATACTTACCAATAGCATAAATGACTCTGAAGAGCGAAAAGATATTCATTAAAACTCTCTATTGGCTTTTCTTGAAGAACATAATCAATTCGGCGGCCTCCGTTTAACATTCCAACCTTTCCTAAGTAGTCTTCATCCTTGGAAAAATCTGGACTTTCAACAATCTTTTCTGCTAGAATTTAAACCATTTCAATATCAAAGTCAATCACTTAATCATTTTCCTGTGATTTTAGCTGAGTTTCTGGGCTCAATGAGAATATTGCTTGACACGCGTAGTAACTGGGGAGCTACCAGGCTTACTCCCCATTCTTCCAAAGAACAGGGGAGGCAGGGCTGGTTCTCAGAAGGAGAAGAGAGAAAGTCAACAGCTGACACAAGTTGTGAAGATAAGGGGGAAAGAGCATTGCAGAAAAAAAGGAAATAGAATGAGAATCTGAACATCAAAAACATGGCAGAATGACCTCGTACTGCATATGAAATTTGTAAGAAGACAGTTAAACAAGAGTATCAGGATAACTTATAGGCGTGAGTCTTTAAAATACCCAAACTTCTCTCCATTCCAATCTTCTATCCTGGCTTTAAAAATCAGTAAAAATTTTTAAATTGCAGAGTGAAAATTCCATAACTATCAGGTAAAACCTTAACAGTGACAGAGATTTTTGAGGAAAATGCATTTGACAGTAGAGTTCATCAGAAAAGATTTTCCTTTATAAGAACTTACATGATTTCACCAAACTAAAAAAAAGAAAAAGTATCATTAATCTAAGTAGTATGTTCATAAAGAATATTTATACTAAAAAATGCCTTGGAAGTAAAAAGAAAGCTGGATGCCAGTGGCTCACACCTATAGTCCTAGCTGCTTGGGAGGCTGAGATATAAGGTTAGGGTTCTAAGCCAGCCCAGGCAGACAATTCAAGAGATGCTTATCTCCAATAAACTAGCAAAAAGCCAGAACTATAGGTGTGGTTCAAGTATTAGAGAGCCAGCCTTGAGAAAAAAGTCAATAGAGGGCAAAAGTCCTTGAGTTCAATCCTCAGTACCAACATTTACACACATAAAAGTCAAAAGCTGAATTTACCTTCAACTACTTGCTTTTCTTCTTCCTCTTTGATTTGATTGGCGACTTTCTCCAATTCTTCTTGCAACTGAGCTGAAGAAGTATGTGCGCGGGCAAACTCATTTAGCGTTTGCCAAGCACTTTTCAGAGAACTAATAAAACCCTGCTTCAAATCAGATCCCATACGAGAGAGACTTTCTTTCAACTCTAGAGAGATTAAAATGTAATATCAAGCTAATTAGTCATTGGGTACAATTCTTCATCACAGACATTAAAAGTTAAAACTTGCCAGGTGCTGGTGGGTCAAGCCTATAATCCTAACTACTCAGGAGGCTGATATCTGAGGATTGTGGTTCAAAGCCAATCCCAGGCAGGAAAGTCCATGAGACTCTTACCTCCAATTAACTACCAGAAAACCAGAAGTGGAGTTGTGGCTCAAAAAGGTAGAGCACTAGCCTTGAGCAAAAGAGTTCAGGGACAGCACCCAGCCTGAGTTCAAGCCCCACAACAAACAAACAAACAAAAAAAGCTCAAACTCTTCTCATGCAGGTGAGAATCGCTTCTTCCTTCCTTAAATGTCAAATATATGTCGTTACCTTGGAGCCCTAAACCCTCAACACAATAAAATATCATGAGATGTTTTTTGTCTTTTTTTTTTTTTTTAAAGAACTAAACTTAATTCAGCCCCTCTCTCTCAAAAAAAAAAAGTTCAAGCCACACCAAGCACTGGTGGCTCATGCTTTATAATCCTAGCTACTCAGGAGCTGAGTTCAAAGCCAGCTTGGGGAGGAAAGTCCATGAGAGACTCTTATTTTCTCTAATAAAACACTTAGAAAAAACTGGAAGAAGTGGCATTGTGGCTCAAGTGGTAGAAAGTTAACCTTGAGCAAAAAAAGAAGTTCAAGTAAAACACTCAGGCCCTGAGATCAAACCCCAAGCCCAAGAAAAGAAATAGTTCAAGCCAGGTGCCAGAGGCTACTTAGGAGGTTGAGATCTGAGGAGCAAGGTTCAAAGCCAGCCAGGACAGACAAAAATCAAGAAATCCTAGTTTCCAATTAATTATCAAAAGGCCAGAAACAGACAAGTAGAGGTGTGGTTCAAATGGTAAAGCTGTGAGCAAAAAAGCTGAGTAAGACTCCAAGCCCTATTACTGGTACAAAAAAAGTTCATATACCATAAAAAAGCCTATTTGTATGGTTTTTTGTTGTGGGTTTTTTTTGGGGGGGCTAGTCCTGGGGCTTGAACTCAGGGCCTAGCCACTGTCCCTAAGCTGCTTTTGCTCATAACTAGCACTCTACCACTTGAGCAACAGTACCATTTCTGGCTTTTTCTGTTTATGTGGTATTGAGGAATCAAACCCAAGGCATCATGCATGTTAGGCAAGCACTCTATCACTAAGCCACATTCCTAGCCCAATGGCTTTTTTTTTAAATCCAAATTTTAAAAAAAAAATAGGTCTATGAGAGTGAAAAAAAAAATCACCACTTTTTCTAATCAACAATAACAGTTTAAGAAAATTAATTTTTTTCTGTAACTACAACTTTTAAATTAAAAATATCACAGCGCCTTCATTATTTTCTGTAATTTTCTAATAATCATATTTTAGTTGAAGGACCGTAACATATTTCTCATTTTAACTTTCCAAAAGCTAAATATGCTACTAGCAAGCAAACAAAAATATACTTTCTCAGAGCACAGAATCAGTGGAAAGTAGGTGAAAACATACAGCAGAGGGCTGGATGCTGGTGGCTCACGCCTGTAATCCTAGCTACTAAGGAGGCTGAGAGCTGAGGATCATGGTTCAAAGCCAGCCTGGGCAGGAAAGTCTATGAGGCTCTTACCTCCAATAAATCACCAGAATATTGGAAGTGGTGCTGTGGCTCAAGTGGTAGAGCGCTCGCCTTGAGCTGAAGAGCTCAGGGACAGTGTCCATCAACTGACCAAAAAGAAAAAATCCAGCAGAGGGCCCATCAGCTGTACTGGACACTGATGAAAGTGAACTAAGCAACTCAAGGATAGTGATGGGAAGGAGGGAATAAGAAAGAACGGGGGAACAGCTAGCAAATGTACATGTCACCCAGTTTGTAAGAATAGTTTTATAGTTAAAGGTCATACCATTCATAAGCTATGTAGATTAAGATACTGATAACTATCATTGTAAAGATTAAAAGGTGTTTGTGACTTTAGTTAAGTACGCCATTATGACATTTATATAGTCGCCTAATCCCAATAAATAAATACTTGAAAAAAATATATATATACTTTTTTTGTGTGCTGGTCCCGGAGCTTGGACTCAGCGCCTAGGCACTGTCATTAAGCCACTTGAACCACAGCATTACTTCTAGCTTTTTTGGTAATTTAGTGGAAATAAAGAGTCTCACAGACTTTCCTGCCTGGGTTGGTTTCAAGCTGCAATCCTCAGATCTCAGCCTCCTGAGTAGCTAGGATTACAGGTGTAAGCCATGGGTGCCAGGCCAAAAACATATTTAAACAGAGAACCTAGTCATTTCCCCCTCTTTTCTCCTTACTCCTGCTCCTTCCACTCAACTTTTTAAGTTTAGGCCTAATTACATCCCAGCCTCACTTAATGAATTGTTTAATCGGAAAAGTTTGTCTAGTTAGCAAGAAAACAACTTACATGACTTAGGCAGTATCAATTATTTCTTGATGGACTGGTCATTAATTTAAATGTACTCTTCTTCCCTAATCCCAAAAATTCCAACTGAACTATCAAAATCTAATTACAAATCTTATCATCTTATTATGAACTCCACCCCCCCCCATTCCTTATCTCAACAATGACAGTGCCATCAAAGAGCAGGCATTCATTCAGAATTCTTCACAGCTCCTCCACTTTCTCAGTTGAGAAATTCTCACTACTACTGAAGCAGGATCTTCACTATTACTGTCAGAAGGAATTTAGTGTTAAATGTGTGTGTGCGAGCGCGCGTGTGCATGCACACACATGCTGGTCTGAGGGCTTGAACTCAAGCCTGAGCCTTTTCTGTTTTGTTTTGTTTTGCAGAAGACTAGTGCTCTATCATTTGAGCCACCATCACCATTCAGTGGTTAACTGAAGATAATAAACTTTCCTGTCTGAAAGGTTTTGAACCACAATCCTTCCTTAGATTTCAGCCTCCTGAAAAGCTAGGATTACAGGTATAAGCCACCAGAACCCAGCTAGTGTTAAACTTTCAAAGTCACTACAATTACAATGTGATGGGAAGAAAGGAAGTTTTTACAGTATTTTTCTCTTACCTAGATGAAGTCTTTTTCTGCCTTTGTGGTGTGGAATGAGAACTGCTTTTGTGTCTAAATCTGGAACAATCATAGGCTCTAATCTATATGCCACTGGATCAAGCTGTAAAGAGGAAAACAGGAAATGTGTAAAAATTTTTCTTTTGAGCTGTATTCCTTAGCTAGGTAGGAAAACGGCCAACAGCCAAACAGAGACTCCATTTTTATACTTTGTTCAAATACTGCAACTATAAGTAGGTAAAATTGCCTTGCAAATGAGATAATATTACTTCTATTTATTTATTTGTTTATTTTTGTGGGTTGTGGGGCTTGAACTCAGGACCTGGGCAATGACTTTGAACTTTTTTTGCTCAAGGCTAGTGCTCTACCACTTTGAGCCACAGCTCAAACCACCAGTTTTCTGGTGGTTAATTGGAGATAAGAGTCTCACAGACTTTTCTGTCCAGGACTGGTTTCGAATCATGATCCTCAGATCTCAGCCACCTACTAGCTAGGATGATAAATGTGAGCCACTAGCACCCGGCCCAATATTACTTTTCTTTGAATAGACTTTCTGGCAGAAAAGTTTACTGAAAAGTATCAGACTAACTCTTCCAGGATAGAGAGCTAAAACTTGCAAAGTAAAGATCAACAATGGTTTCCAAGAAATAAAAATCTGAGAATCTGTTAAGATGAAGAGGACAGGCTCTTCACATTCTTCAAAATAGAAAGCAAATTCAAGTTACTCACTGGATGATAAATATTGAAGAATCCTTTACAAGTTGGAAGCCTGTAGTTCTCAGCTATCCTGTCCACTCCTCGGATAGTGAGAAACATAGCAATCGGAGATCCCAAGGCAAAGAAAATTTCTGGTTCAAAGTCTAGTGAGTTGTAAGAAACAGAAACCTAGGAAGAATCAAACAGCAATAAAAGATAATCATTCCACTGTCACATATACAAAATGGAACTATATTTACTTAAAAGAAACAATACAGATGATGTCTTAAAGGATAACTTTTGCTAGCTTACAATAATTTCACTTTTAAATCTTTTTTTTTTTTTTTGGTCGGTCGTGGGATTTGAACTCTGGGCTTGAATGCTGTCCCTATGCTCTTCAGCTCAAGGTGAGTGCTCTACCACTTGAGCCACAGCACCACTTCCGGTTTTCTAGTGGTTTATTGGAGATAAGAGTCTCACGGACTTTCCTGCCTGGGCTGGCTTTCAACCAGGATCCTTAGATCTCAGCCTCCTGAGTAGCTAGGATTACAGGCATGAGCCACCAGCGTACCCCGCTTCACTTTTAAATCTTATTGGCTATTACATCCTCTGGCTATATCTTTTTATTTACTCTCTAAGATAATAAATGTATATTATTTCTATTGCAGAAATCTGCAGTCATCCTGCCTGTGTTTGAATCTACTGCTCACTCACTGTGTGACCTTGGACAAATTTCTTAACCTCCCTTACCTCTGCTTCAGTTTCTACATCTATAAAACATGGTCAAATAAGAACACAAAGCCCTGAGTTCAAGCCCCAATACCAGCATAATAAAAACAGCATGGTTATAATATCAAAGTCAGTGTAAGGAAAAAGTCACTAACTGAGGCCACATATAATTTGATGGCTGACCCTAAACATTCTATGGCATTACTTCCAACTGAATCTCTAGTTAAGACAAATTTCCTTCTGTGAGAAAAATGATTTGTCCCGAAAGAGCCCATTTTAGATATTTGCATTTAATTACTGAACAAAAGGGATCAACACCTACATAACACCACTCATAGTTTCTAAGTCTCTTTCAGGGTTCTCACAGCAACACAGGAAAGCATGTGTCATTTTAGTGTCTAAGAAAGAAAACCAATAAATGGTATGGTATAATCTAAGGGCATTACAAAGGTCCACTGAGAGAGGAAGGTAAGGCAAAACTCACCAAGCCTACTTCGGAGATAAAGACAGTAAAGACGATGACACAATCAAGTCAGTGGCAGAATGAGGACTCTGACCTACAACATCCACTTCCAAACCCAGTGCTCCTAACTTACCCCATCAGGCTGCCTTCTTAACAGGCTGTACTTCACACTGCTAGGCCTGACTTATCTTTGCAAAATAAAAAAATGGGTATTTTCAGGGCATGGTTCAAGTGACAGAGTACCAGACATGAGCAAATGAGCCCAACTGGACCTTGAGGACCTGAGTCTTACCCCTGGAACCAGCAGAGACAGAGGAGAGACAGAGAAGGGGGAAGGGAAGAGAGAGAGATTTAAATACAATCTTTAAAAGCACAAGCAAGTTTGTTTGGCTCGGATGTCAAGTTCCACGTTGTGCTTTCCAAACTGCCTCATGATACATCAGATGTTCTATTACTGTCTTAACTTTTTCCTACCAGTCATAATTTAATAGCATTAGTCTTATAATCAGTAACAACAGAAGGGGCCATAGTTAAGACAATTATGTTCAGAATATACATAAGTCTCTTATTTTGAACATTATAAAAGCAGCATAGAGAAAAACCAACTTTCTCCATATAACCCAATACACATTATATAAGAATACAAAACCACCATGTACTAAATGCTTCTGACATCAAATATGTAGCCCTAGTTTATGCATAAACTTACCTGTCCTGTGCCAACTTCAAAAGACTCATAATCAACACGCACAGAAGACACATAAGCACCGACTGGAAGTTTCTTCTTTGACTCGTTCGACTCTGAAGGCAGAGAAGCCATTTCTTTAGCTTTCTGAGCACTTTCATCTTGTCCTTTTGTCAAAGTGGCCATCACTGCCTTCTTCTCCAATGCTGCTTTTTTCTGTTCCTAAGAAACACCAAAATCTCCTAAGATTATTTTTAGGAAAATTAAGTTCTTGGTGATCACTAAAACACATACTACCTCGCTATTAAGGAACAACTAGTGGTGTAGAAATAACGACAACACTGGATTACTTGGAAATTGTCCTTTTCAGAGATTCACAGTGAGTATTTAAGAAGAAATGTCATGTTATCCATTATTTACTTAAACTTAAGGTAAAAAAGACTATCAAAAGAAAAAATATAGCAAAATATAAGTATTGGCGATCTTAGGTGAATCTCAAAAGTATTTTAAGAAAGCAGATACAAAACAGTACATACTGTTGAGTCTACTTCTATGAATTTCTAGGACAGGCAAACCATTCCATAATGATAGAAATCAGAACAGGATTCATAGAGAGGGAGGAAATAGCTGGTAAGAAGCATGAGGAGCTACCTGTGGGACAAAAACGTTGTTTTTTGATTTAGATGGTTACATACAACTGTCAAAACTTATTGCCCAGAACACTTAAGATCTCTGCATTTCCATTTCCATAAGCAAATAAGAACTATGGGCAAGCACATAAGAGGAGTCACGGAGCCGTTGCTGGTGGTTTATGGCCACACCCCGAACTCCACAGTGTCAGGGGAACGGGAACACTTGCCATAGCTGACTGTCTTCTCTGCAGGTCTCAGGAGCCTTTGTTTCCTAAGCTGTAAAGGGGATGTGCTCATTTTCATTTCAATAGCTATAGACAACAGCTAAATAAAACAGTTTTGGCTAACTCGGGCCCCATTTTTCAGCAACAGTAAATCAGCAGGACACACCATCTAGCAGCACCATGTCATCTATGGACCACACAGGGCAATGGATGTGATTTGGCTATGAAGGTTTCATGGTCTTCCAAAGCCAAATACTTTTGGATTAAAAATATATGTCATCATGCCAAAAATTTAATCATCAAAACATTTTTTAAAAATCAAAATATTCTCATAATGCAATAATTTATATATCCAAGCAATTACAGTCTATAAAATAAGCTCCTTCTATAAATTTTTCAAGAACTACAGAATCCTTCTCTACTTTCTACCTCTGTTACAGAATAAGGCTCAGTGCCAGTGGCTCATGCCTGTAATCCTAGCTACTCAAGAGGCTGAGATCTGAGGATTGAGGGTCAAAGCTAGACTGAACAGTAAAGTCCTTGAGACTCTTATCTCTAAGTAACTACCAAGAAGTTAAAAGTGAAGCTGTGGCTCAAGTAGTAAACTACTAGCTTTGAGCAAAAATAGCTCAGGGACAGTGCCCAGGCCCTGAATTCAAGCCCCAGGATTGGCACATGATTCAGGGCCTAAAGACACAGCTGCTTGCTCCTTATTTCTGTCTTGCTTTACAAGCCTGTACCTTCCTAGTGTGTGTGTGGAACACCACGCCTGCCTACGGGAACACCACCAGTACTCATAACCCAGTTATCACCATGCTCATCAGAGGGCTGGAGAACTTGAGTGTGATGAAGAATTGTTTGTGAATTGCCAATGAACAATGATTCAATTTTAAACAGGAAAAATTACATGAAAAACACCTGTAACCTGCAATGCTAATAACCTTTCTCTACATTTATCAAATATAGTTGGCTCTACAATGTCTTGTACTTGTTCTTTTCCTTTCCATCTTTGAGTGTACAACCTGTCATCTCGCTCTGTCTTGGTATAATACCACAGGGCTGGCATGAGCTGCCAGCTCCGTCCTCTTCCAGCTCCACCACACACTGCCACTGTGTGAACTCTGTGTGAACACAGGCTTTCCAGCAGCTCCTGACAGACACTGATGAGAGAGAGGGACAGGGGCCTCACGACTGCTTAAGTGAAAATATGCCTCAAGTCACAGAAAAAAGGCCCAGCTGATTAAATGTGTTTTGTCTCAATTTTTAAATCTACAAAGCCATTTTTTTTTGTTTTGGCCAATGTACTCTGTATCAGCTAGGAGGTTCTAGCCAACAGAATAAGACAGCAAATAATTTTTAAAAGTAGAAAAGAATTAATATATTCAAAAGTTCATGCATTATGGATGTGTGTGTGTGCACACGTACATGGCATGCATATGGGTGAAATTTCAGAATGTGATTTGACATATATTTTAAATTTTAGATTTCTAAACAAATTAGAACTAAAATTTAGACTAAATAGAAAATTTCCTGCCACACAACCATGTTGACAGAATAAGCAGATTAGCATTTTATGATATTTGCTAAAAAGCACAACTTTCACAGCTATAAGAATACACCTGAAAACTATTCCTGTAAAAGGGGCAATCCAACCTGCCTTCACAATCCTCATCCCTTCCCCATTACCAGTGCACCTGATGCTCCAAGTACAGGAAACACATGCCTGCTCCTAGCCAGCCACTGCCCTTGATAAAGCTACAAGCTCAAGTGTAACACTTTGGGAAGTGTTCTCTCACCAACCTCAGTCCCCTATCAACAAGCCAGAACACCCCACTCCCTCATCTGGCTCTGATAGCACTAAATGCCTCCTGTTGTAGGTCTCGTGCCTGTCATGTGGGATCAACACACTCTCCTGAACTGGGCTGCATACTCACGGTCCTTCTCTAAATCCCAAGAACTAAGCCTAAGACCTGACCTAGAAAGAGATGTTCCATTAAATGCTGACTGACTCAATTCCTTAGGCCAATCATGAAAAATCAGGTGACAGTCGCATCCATATAAAAAGTGGCATGTTAATGTCCAAAAAAACATAGAACAAATAAGAGAACCAAAGAAGTTCAAAAGACAAAAAGATCAGAATTGGATACATAGCCTAGTGGGGAAGCATTTGCCCAGTATGCACAAGACTGAGTTAAAGGTGGGAGGGAAGGGATGGTGGGGGAAAAACAAAGGAGGAGGCAACAATGCTGGATAAGAAATGCACTCAGTACCTTGCTCATGTAAATGTAACTCCTCTGTACAGTATTTTCACAATAAAAATTTAAAACAAATACACTGGACTTTGGTAGTATGCTCCTGTAATCTCAGTTATTCAAAAGACATACATAAGAGGATGGTCTTAGCCAAGGTCCTATCTGAAAAATACTCTAAAGCAAAAAGGGCTGGGGACATAGTCTTCAGTGGCAAATTTCATGCCTACAGTACCAGATCCTGAGTTCAAACATAGTACCACAAAAAAACAAATACATAAAAATTTAAAGAAGTTGATAACAGTAAAAATAAGATGCCCTCAGTATCAAAAAATAAGACATCTTTGCTATTTAACTTTTCTAATTAATCAGAAAATCTCTACAGAATCTGGTATTAAGTTCAAATTAAATAAAGTAAGTTTTTCCCAGATTATTTTTGTAGCTTGTCACTACTGCTTTGTTCTGCTAGTTGGCTATCATTTAAGAAGCGTGCAGGGCACAATTCCTTATCTCTATATGGCGAGGAGTGCTGCGTACGAGGTTTCACCAGCTATCTCCTGCTCATGCCACCTATGTATGAGGAAGAAACTATCGTTCACATTTTAGAAATGAAGGAAACCAAGCATCACAGAAATTAAGCCAATTATGCATGAATGTGTACTTGTGCCAAGAGTGAGGACACTGGACTCATCTATCTGCCTATAACCACAAACAACCATTTAAAAAAGTTGAAAACCCTAAGCTGGGCATGGTGGCTCATGCCTGTAATCCTAGCCACTCCGGAGGTTGAGATCTGAGCCAGTCTGGGCAGGAAAGGCCATGAGACTCTTATCTCCAATAAACCACTCAAAAAACGTAAGTGGCACTGTGACTGAAGTGGTAGAGTACTTGCCTTGAGCTGAAGAGCTGAGAGACAGCACCCAGGCCCAGAGTTCAAGCCCCACAACCAACAAAAAATAAAAAATTAAATAAAAAAAAAAAAGTTGAAAGTCCTTTGTTCTGGAAACTCCCTCTATTTTGGGAGTTATTTAGCTTGACATGGATTTAAACCCAGTTCTGTGAACTCTATTAGCTCTGTTACTGTGTACTAGCTTATCCAACCATAGGAAACTATAAATTTCTAAAATAAAAACCAACAGGTCAAAAGATGAGTATTATCTTGAGGGCAGAAAGATAGACTTTACCAGTTTGGCTGCTTTACGTTTTACAAAGTTAGCTATCTTCTTCCTGGGTCCAAGAGGTATCCCCATTTCCTTCAGGTCATCAACTGTACACATGAGCTTTAAAAAGAAACACACCCATGAATCAATCTGGAAATCAATAAAATTGCAATACAATACAAAATTATTTTTTAAAAAACAGCTCAGTAGGGGAGAGACTGATCAAGATACATCGTATATGCATAAAATGACATGTTGAACTGAAAAAAATAATAGCAATAAGAATCAGTCACTTCTTTAAAGTTAGGTTTGAGGTTTGTTTTTAACAATAAATTTAAACCTTAAAATACAAGGCCTCTCCAACCTAAACATTCTATTATTTTTTTAATTAAAAAATAATAGAATCACCCAATCACCCAATTCTGTGAAACAACTGTTGGCCATTTGTACTCTCTGCCAGAGGTATCTCATACACATGTGTATAGGTATGTGTGTTTTATCTCCTCTGTACACACAGAACTCAACTCCTCTCTTTCACCAGAATCTCCATTGTTGCCTCATCTGTTCACAGGCACAGGTCCTCTGCTATGTAACTACACAGAAGTGATTTAACCAGGCCCACCAATGAATGCTTGATGGGGTTTCTAATGTATTCATGTATTATGAAAGTGCTCAGCAAGTGTACTGTACATATTCTTGGGACTCCTTCTCTATACAAAGTATTTCTAGAAGTAAAATTGCTGAAAGAAGATGTAACTTTTACATGTTAAAAGATATCAACAGCCCAGTGCTGGTGGCTCAGGCCTATAATCCTAGCTACTCAAGAGGCTGAGACTAAGGACTGCAGTTCAAAGCCAGCCTGAGCAGGAAAGTGACATGGGAATCATCTCCAATTAAACATCCAAGAGATGGAAGTGGAAATGTAGCTCAAGTACTAGCCTTAAGGAAAAAAGCTCAGGGGCAGCACCCAGGCCCTGAGTTCAAACCTTAGGACACACACACACACAAAAACACACGCATGCACGCGCACAGATACAAAGGTATCACAAAATTCCATAGAAATGGTACCAATTTACATTACATGTGCTAGCACCTATTTTGACCTACTCAGTAAAGACAGGTCAAAGATAGGTCAAAAACAAAAACCTCACTGTACTTTCAATTTGCATTTCTCTTATGACTTTATGTATGGTAAATGCCACTTAACCTTCCTCTCTATAAATAATCTTTATATGTTATTTGCCTGTTTGCCTAGTGCTTTTCCACCAGCTTCCTAGACACTGAGTATTAAGGAAATCAGCCCTCCTTGTGGTATACACGTCTTCCAAATCTATCAATGGTCTGTAGATGTTGCTTATAACGTTTACTGATAAGCAATTCTATTTCTTTCATGGCTTCTGGGTTTGTATCATACTTCAAAAAGCCTTTACACATTGTTTTGAACTGAGGGCTTTAAGCTTCTGGGCATTATTCTGCCATTAAGTCATGACCCCAGTGCTTTACACTTTAGTTATTTTTCAGACAGGGTCCTCCAGTTTTGTCCATGACCAGTTTCAGACCTCAGTCCTTCTACCTGTCTCAAGTAGCTGATGTTACAGGTGTGAACCACCACATTCAGTTTGTTGAGATGAGGGTTACACTAAATCTTTAGCCAGATTTAGCATCACACCATCATTCCCTTATCTCTACCTTCCAAGCAGATGGGATTTCAGACAAGATAAACTGTGAACAACCCTGGGTTTGTTTTTTTTTCTTTAATTCTATTTGCTTGTTTTTTTAAGCATTTAAGTGTTTGCTTTTTATAGGGAATAAATTTTGCCATTAAGAATGTTTAAGTCTTTTTTTTTTTTGGAGGGGAGGGTAGGTGGGTAAGGGGCTATACCAATTCTGGGACTTGAATTTAAGAGACGGGGCACTGTCCCTGAGCTTTTTTGCTCAAGGTTAGTATTCTATCACATGAGCCTCTTTAGTGGTTAACTGGAGATAAGCTTTGCAAACTTTTCTGCCTAGGCTAGCTTTGAACCACAATCCTCAGATCTTAGCTTCCTGAGTTGCTAGAATTACAGGTATGAGCCAATCATGCCAGCTTTTAAATTACTCGAATTTTTTTTAATCTTATACACAGGATAATTTTAAACAAAAATGAAATCAAGTTATCATCAGTACCAGAGATTCCATATCAATCTTTTCTTTTTCAAAAGTGCTAACATATTCAAAGAGGCTAAGTGCTTCTAGAGTTTCTTGCAAAGTTAGAACTTTTTCATTTTCAACATCAAGGTCACACGATTCATCCAAAGGCAGCTTTGACTCTTCAGGCATCTTAACAAAACAAAAAGATAAGGGAGAAAGATCATTACAAAGCTAAGAAAAAAAATCCACAAAGTTTCTCTGATCTACAGAAAAAACTTAAATAATTTGTCCTGAAGACAAATCATAATTGACATCCAACATGTGAATATTTTGAAAGATATAAATCTAGTAAGTCACATGCTCCAATTTCCAACAATAACTTACATTTTAAGAATCATAACTTTCACATTTACATGTATAAAGGAGAAGAAGAATATATATAATTAAATACATATATATATATATATATATATTTCCATTAAACTTCTTTTTTGTTTTGCTTTCTCTTGGAGATGGTATCTCCTTATGCTGCCCAGGCTGATCCTTGAACTTGCAATTCTCCCACTTTAGTCTTCCAAATAGCAGGGATTACAGATGTGTACCACCAAACCCATCTTTTCAATGTACTAGTCTCCACATATAATGATATATAAAAACAGAATTCAGAAACTAAGACAGATTTTGGAAAATGGTTTGGCTCTATCTCTAACACTGACAGGGTCATGTGCAGACACACCTGCTTTTCTTGAAAATTCAGCTGCTTCACAACTCCATTAGCAATAGCTGCAGGCCCCGGAGATTTTGAGATATTCAAATCTTTTTGATTAGATAGGATATCAAACAATATTAAAGAACCTAAGAAAAAGAAGTATTTTGTTTTATAATGTAAGTAATAGGTGTTTTTATAATACTAATAAGTTTTCCTACTATTTTTTCAAAGTCCCTAGGCAGAAACCATAAAAAAATTAAGGACTGATGCTCAATACTATTTTATCAAACAAGAAATTAAAATATCCAATAGAACAGAACCCATGCAATTGTAGGTATGAAGGCAGAATCTAAACTCAAAGCATTCATTTCTACCCTCTATAAAAACTTCAGATGTATAATTCTAAGTTTCATACTAACAATGCCAGGCACACTAAAAACAGTGATAATTTCACAGGTTGACAATGCACAGAAGTAAGTTTTACCTAAACTGTGACCTGCAACAGAGACCTTTCCTTTGAAGTCTGGGTTCCGACTCATGAAGAGGGCATGGAGACGATTTATCTCCATTCCCACTTTTTCCACAATTGTCTGGCAGTAGGTGGGGCTGTTATAAAATAAAATATCTAGCAAGGTTTCATTGGTAAAGTGACGAAACCGGCCAATACTTGGCAAAGTAATTTTCTTAATATTCCTGTTTAAAAAGAAAAAAAATGTTATTAGTATCTACCTTTAACCTATGGCTATTTAAAGTTTAAATTTTTGTTTCTGAAAACAGTAAAATGTATAGGATAATCAGTCTAGATCTTTTTCATTTTTTTTTATTTTCTTTTCTTTTTTTTCTTTTTTTTTTTCTTTTTTCTTTTTCATTTTTATAAAACAGTTTTAGGGTTTGAACTCAGAGCCCCCTGCTTGCTAGGCAAGTCTCTACTACTGAGATACAGCCTTCAGCCCAAGATTAAGCACTCTAAATTAATCAATTCTGAAAACTTTTCTATCCAAGCTGGCTTTCAACTATGATCCTCCAGGTCTCACCCTATTTAGTAGTTAAGATTACAGTTGTAAGCTACTAACACCCAGCTTTATATTTCATTTTTAAAGAAGAAAAACTATACTTCCATTTTTCTTCCAATTGGAAATCTAAATACCTGACAAAAATTATGGTCAAAAGGAACAAAAGAGATGGTCACATGGAATAAGAAACAATTTAATGGATTGAAATCCTTTGCTGATTTGAGAATGACCTGAGTGCAGTTTGTAAACACTCATTGAAAAAGGAAACGCTTTTAAAAGAGGGATATATTTTGGAGAGAATGCTGTTTGTAGGATTAGTTATATTAAGCCTAAGACAGTATGATGCTACTAAAATTGACATAAATACTAGTCTTGTGTGCAGCATAAATATTTTCTATATTTTTGGATCTGAAATGTGATTATTCAAAATTGAGTGGGGTATTATTGATCACAGTTCCTGATGAGCACTGAAAGCACTGAGAAAAAGTTTTAAATGGCCTGCAATGCCACTGAGTTTCATGTAACAAAGAATTGTACTTCAAAGAGCATTCTCTAGTCAAAACAATAAATCTAAATCAGCAGATCTCAACTAGGAGTGGTGCTAACTCCCAGAGGACATCTGGCAATTTCTGAGACATTTTCAGTTGTCACATGGTGAAGGAGGAGCATGCTACTGCTACTCAGGCAGGAATGCTACTAAGCAACCTAAATGTCTTAATCACAAGAGATCAGAATAATATTTTAGAACCAGGTTAAAAGTTTAGTTCAGTGATAGTATATGCACATGTGAAGACCTGGGGTTAATTCCTAGCACACACAAGAAAGTAAAGCACACCAGTTAAAATTTTTTATTTTTTATTTTACAGTATTGGAATTTTGAACCCAGGACCTCATGTTTACTAGCTAAAAGGAGCTCTACAAGTGAGCTCTCTGGCAGCCTCTCTTGATTTATGCCTTGGCTGGACTGGATGAAAGGCATGTGCCACAGCACCCAGCCACTGGGCTTCCTTGTAGCTTGGGAAGACAGGCACATGCCATCATATCTGGCCATTGACTGAGATAGGGTCTGGTGAGCTTTCATACCCAGGCTGACCTTGAACTATGATCTCCTTATCTCCGCCTCCCAAAAAGCTATGCTAATGACTTGAGCCACTAAGCCTGGTTTAAACATTTCAAATAAGAGAAAAACGGATACACAATGTAAGAGAAAAGTAGCACATAAATCATACAGCTACTATTTAATCATATATCAGAGCCAGTATATAATTAAAACAAATATTTCTCAAAATCCTAATAAACTTACTTCATATTATGGTTTGAATTTTGCCTCTAACTGAAAAACAAATTGTGAAAGTCTACAAACCTGTCAACGCCTGTGGCATCCCCACCCAAGGCGCCGTGCCAGGGAACTGGAAGGAACTCCACTCTGCTGATCTTCCCATCATCTAAAGATCTCTTGAAATGTGTCTGCAGCAATTTCAGAGAAACTACCCTAAAATCATCCACTTAAAAAAAAATATCAAGGAAGATAAATTATTAAAGTGTCCTAGCTTGAGAACCAATTGGAGATAATCTCAAATATGCCAGCATTTTTGTTATAAAATAAAGATACGTTTTTAAATGACAGACTTTGTAAAAACATAAATTATGACTTTTAGAAAACTCTTTTTAACTTTTCATCATTGTAGAAGAATAAATGCCTAGGGAAAAAAATTAGTTTTGCCAGTCACCAATAGCTCCTACCTATAACCCTAACTACTCAGAAGATCTGAGGATTGCAGTTCAAAGTCAGCCATGTGCCCTAAAGTCTGTGAGACTCATCTCCAGCTAACTACCAAAAAGTCAGAAGCAGAGCTATGGCTCAAATGGCGGAGTACCAGCCTTGAGCAAAAAAGCTTAGAGATAGCACCGAGGCCCTGAGTTTCAAGCCCCAGCACTGGCACACATATACAAAAAAAAAAAAAAATGTTTACCATTACTGGAAGGCATCGTGACAGAGAACTATAAGACAACAATCAAGCTTCCTACTGGAGGATTCCAGTGCCAGTACTGACTATGATACCAGCCTCAGATCATCTCCTAACAGTGATAATACCTGTTCCCCAAAGGTGTGTTTGTGAGGGTAAATGATATAATCACAAAGTACTTAGCAAGTACCATGTATTCAATAAATATGAACTATAATTACAGAGGCATAAAATAAAACTGCAAAGATTTAAATCAACTAGGCATCTTTTATGGGTCCCCCTATAAATGTATTCATCGATAGTTCTTTCCACATTGCTGGAAGTGTCAGGCAGAGGCTATCAGCAAGGCCAACTTTTTTTCCAAACCTCCTTCTAATTCTTTAGATATAACAGTGTAAGAGCAAATCAAATACAAATTAATATTTCCCACTGATCAGAAGAAATAATATAGAACTGGGAACTATCCTAAAACTGAATACTTAAAAGTTCTTCTAGAGCTGGGAGCTGGGAGCTGACACCTGTAATCCTAGCTATTCAGGAGAATGAGATCTGAAGGTTTGGTTCAAAGCCAGCCCAGGCAGCAAAATCTAGAGACTCTTATCTCCAATTAACCGCCAGAAAACCAGAAGTGGAGCTGTGGCTAGCCTTGAGCAAAAAAGCTCAGGAACAGCACCTAGGCCCTGAGTTCAACCTCACTACCTTAAAAAAAGAAGAAGAAAAGAAAAAAAGTTCTTCTATTAGTTCTTAAATCATTCTAGGAGTAAAAACATGACAAAATACTTACCACACTCAATAATGCTTCTAAAGCGCAAATCACACACAGGTCCAATGCCATGCACCATAAACACCAAATGGTCAACCTGAGGCATTTCCCCTATTTGAAAAATTTGAAAAACTGAGAATTTGTTTAATTAAATAGCAAAATCTATCAAATATCCCTTTATTATTACAAACTGACTAAAGAAATGGATGACCCTTCCAAGCAAGTAAGCCTCTTTATCTTCTGCCAAATTATTTCGTCCACCTTGGCACATGACAGGAAGATGAGATGAGTGGAGAAACAAGCTCTCTGCACACAAAACCTATTAGCACGTGGTTTGTACTTCTGTGCCTACAGATCTCTATCCCCTTGAGATCTTTTCAGAACTCCTTAGCACAGTGATTGGGGGCTAAGCATGGACAAGGGCGTTGGGTTCAATACTCAACACCAAACACCCAAGAGTAGAAAAGGGGTGACACCGTCCAAAAAGGAATGTACTCTTCATCTGTCTTATGTAATTGTAATCCCTTTGAACATCACCTTTATAATAAAAAAAATTAAATTTTAAAGAGGAGAAAACAAATCCTAAGCTCCACATGGAAAAAGCAATCTTTCAACATAAAACTTTACAAATATTTTCCCAAAACCCTTCCTCTTGATTCACAAATATTAAGAACATCTCCAAGTTAAATCTATTATTTCTAAGGTTTCATAATATCTACTTACTTTGTAAGGTTTTTCATTCTTAAATTATCTTTAGCTATACAAAAGAATTGATATTTAACAAAGTAGTTTATGAATATAATGCATCTTGATCAATATCACCCCTTTTAACGCTCTCACTCATCCCTTTCCTACCTACCCCTTACTTCATCATTTTTAGCAGATAATGAAACAAACATGTACCTATAAACGGCAAAATAGAGCCCATCCTCATATGGTATAATAAGGAAAAACAAAGCACATGCACTAGAGCACAGTTTGGTTATATCCTGCCTGCTGCCTGTTTTTAGAAATGAAAGTTTCCCTAGAAGATGGCTATGCACATTTGTCTCCATATAGTCTATAACTACTTTCACACTACAGTAGCAAAACTAGTAGTATCAGCAGAGTCCGCGTGGCCTACAAAGCCTTAAACACTCACTGTCTGGCTATTTTATATTAAGTTTGCCACCCCACTCAACAAGTAAAGCACAAAAACACAACCCCAAAAGCTTAGTACCACCCCATGATGTACTTCATCATAATAATACATAGTTGGCTATCTACATTATGTGGTTTGCGTACCTTAATCAGAATTCCAAATAAAAAAATAGAAGAACATAAGGAGGGGGCAAAGAAACTGAAGGACAAAAAGTGAACAGACGCAGCAGTGGTACTCACTAGACACTAAGTTGAAAAGGAACTAAAGGAACTATATAACTTGTGGGTAGAGACAGAAAGAAAAGACAGAGAGAACAAGGGAAGGGGTGACACTGGCTAAAAGGAAATGTACTCATTACCTGACTTACTTAGTATAATCCCCTGTATATCACCTTTATAACAATAATAAACGACAACAGTAACAGGATGCTGGGCACCAGTAGCTCACGCCTATAATCCTAACTACTCAGGAGGCTGAGATCTGTGGATCATGGTTCAAAGCCAGCCTGGGCAGAAAAAAATCCATGAGACTATTATCTCCTATTACCAGCAAAATGCCAGAAGGGTAAAGCTTCTGTGGTGAAGTGCTAAGCAAAAAAGACAAGTAAGAGCACGAGATCTTGAATTCAAGCCCCAGTACCAACACACACACAGATACACAGACACAGACACATGCACACACGAAGTTATACATACACATATACATATTATTGAGAAGAAAGTAATAAAAATCAAAAGAACAAACATGCCCAAACACTGAAGGAAAATAAGATACAGCTGTGCCAAAATGGCTGACTTCCAAGTGTTATAGTAGGATGTCCAAAAAATGTTTCTTTTTTCATCATTCTAAAGAATAATGCTAAAATAAAGAAGACTTTGAAAAAGACTTGACACCTAAACAAACTATGCATACCATCAGGAATCTCATCCAGACTGTCATCAATCCCTCGCTTTACAACCCTGGGCCTGGTCTGTCCATCCTGGGTAGTTCCCCACTCATCAGGCACTGAGGAAGGCTGGAACTGCACAATAACCTTTGGGACATAAAAGAATTATTACAAAGCTCATTTCCAAACTCTTTCCCATGATAGGTAAGTAAGGTATTTTTAACAGAGTAAACTATGATTAAGTATGAAAAGCTGATAAATCAAGTAGCAGTACTATGCTCCCAAACAAATTTTGTTAAGACTCCTGCTAATGTTAACCACCAAAATCAAATAAATCCAATGCTCATGACAGAAAATCATACAACTAAATAAAAAACCCTGGCTTCCGTTCTCAGCACTACACATATATAAAATAATAAAAGTACACCTTGAAGATTTTTTTGTCAGTTGTGGGGCTTGAACTCAGGGCCTAGGCACTGTCACTGAGCATTTTACTCAAAGCTAGTGCTCTATCACTTTGTGCCACAGCCCCACTCCTCATTTTCTTTCTTTTTTTTTTTTTTGTGGGTCGTGGGACTTGAACTCTGGGCTTGGGCACTGTCCCTCAGCTCTTCTAAGTCGAGCGCTCTACCACTGGAGCCACAGCACCACTTCCAGTTTTCTGGTGGTTTTGAACCTTGATCCTCATATCTCAGCCTCCTGAATAGATAGGATTAAAGACAGGAGCTACTGGTGCCCAATTTACCTTGAAGATGTTTTAATTCTAATGGCCAACTTATCTGTAGTTAAGAAATCTATCTTATAAAAACACATTAGGCAAAATTCTTTAACCGGCAAAGCTCCCAAGTAACTGACAAATTTAACTGCAGTGACAAAAACTGAATGACAAAAAAAAAAAAAAGCTCCAAGAAGAAATCTATTCATTAAATCAACTTAATTAAATTCAGCTCTGTGCCATACAGAGATTTTTTTTTTCTCTAAAAACAAAACAAACCAATGTGGTAGGGCATGGTGGTACATGCCGGTGATCCCAGCTACTGAGGAGGTTGATCATATTCCTGAGGCCAGCCCAGGTAACCTTAGCATAAGATCTTGTCTGAAAAACACCCTAAGAGTAAAAGGACTGGAGTAAAGATGAAGTTGTACTTGCCTAGCAAGTACAAGAACTTGCCTAGCAAGTACAAGTGCACCAGCTTTGAGTGAAAAAGCTAAAGGACAGCTCCTAGGTCCTGAATTCAAGTCTCAGTTCTCTTTCTCCCCCTCCCTCAGCTCCCAGGTCCTGAATTCAAGTCCAAGTTCTCTCTCTTTCTCTCTCTTTCTTCCCCCCCCAACCCCTACCACACACACACACACACACACACACACACACACACACACACACACACACACACGGGCAGGACCTAAACCCAAGAGAAATTAAGTATAGCAAATCAAAGAATGAAGTGTGTGTGTGTGTGTGTGTGTGTGTGTGTGTGTGTGTGTGTGTCTGTGTGTCTGTGTGTGTGTGTCTGTGTGTCTGTGTGTCTGTGTCTCAGGGCCTGGGCAGTGTATTGGGCATTTTTACTCAAGGCTAGTGTTTTACCACTTGAGCCACAGATTTATTTCCAACTTTTTGCTGGTTAACTGAAGATAAGAGTTTCCTGGATGGAAGTGGCTTTGTGGCTCAAAATGGTAGAGTACTAGCATTGAGCAAAAAAGCTCAGGGACAGCACCCAGGCCTTGAGTTCAAGTCCTATGACCAACAACCAAAGGTTTCCTGGACTTTCCTGCCCGGGCTGACTTCAAACAACAATCTTCAGACTTCAGCCTCCCGAGTAGGTAGGGTTACAGGCATGAACCACTAGGATCAGCTAAAGAATGAGCTTACTTAAAAAATGTTTTAAAGCCAAGCATTGGTGGCTCACACCTGTAACCCTAGCTACTTAAGAGGGTTGAGATCTGAGGATCAAGGTTCAAAGCCAGCCCAGGCAGGAAAGTCCATGAAACTCTTACTCCAATTAATGACCAAAACTGGAAATGGCGCTGTGGTTCAAGTGGTAGAATGCTAGCCTTGAGCTAAAGAGCTTAGGGACATTACCTAGGCCCAGAATTCAAACCCCACAACCAACAACAACAACCAAAAAAAAAGTTTGTGGAGACAATATAGAAGGAAAGAGAAAAAATACATTTTTATTGAAAGGTTAAAACAAACTATCATCAAAGACAGGTAAGAAATTATAGCCTACAGGAAAAATGTGCCCTACCATCTGTTATTCTAAATAAAGTTTTATTTAAAACTCCACACCAAAGGTTCACTTAATGATTGCTTCTTCTGGCTGCTTCCAAAACAATGCCACAGTTGGTAAGGGCAAAGACCAGATGGCTTACAAAGTCTTATTCTCTGGACCTTTATAGAAAAAGTTGGCACATCTCTAATCAAGTGAAAAAAATTATTAAGCTACTCCTATGGTGCATACTAAGCTTCTGTTAATATGTTGCCAAAACCGAAATATGTGAAAAATTTTAATTGTATTTTTGCTTCCATAATCAATAAAATGCTGTAAATTATTATTTCTTAGTGCCCTTATTACATACTCTCAACACAGAAGTTACTAAAAATGAGCATTACCATCCACATACAGCACAGTATTTATTCAAATGATCCTAACATTTTAGTATTTTCAAAAAAGCACCACATTGCTACTCAGGAGGCTGACATCTGAAGATGGCAGTTCAAGCCAGCTTGGGTAGGAAAGTCCATGAGAGTTTTATCTCCAATTAACTACCAGAAAACTAGAAGCGGCACTGTGGCGTAAAGTGGTAGAGTTCTAGACTCCAGCGAAAAAGCTCAGAGACAGTGCCCAGCAAGCCCCAAGACTGAAAATAAAAAGCACCATTACCTTCGGATTGTGCATAACGATGGTCTCTCCGCCTGGAAACTCTAATCTTCGGTGCCACTGATTTGTGGTAACAGCTTTTTTGTACTCAGCCTACAATAAGAGAAACATAATCCAGTATAAGAAATCTGTATCACATCAGGATAAAGTGTGGAAGAAAAACAAAAGCTATGATGCTAATAAGAATCATAGTAATAGCAGCTCTGATTTACTTACTTTTGCTCAAGAATTTGGTTATAAAATAGCACTTCAAGTCACTAATATCCTACTAGAGTCCAATGTCCCTAGAGCAGGCATAACTGATAATGCCTAAAAACTGCAATTATAAAATTAAACAAGAAAAGAAAGAAAGCAAGATAACAGATACACACACAAAAGTATGTGAATGTGTATGGGAAAAAAATCTGTAACAACGGGGGTGGGAGGGTAGCTCAGTGGTAGAGCGCTTGCCTTGCATGCTTGAGGCCCTGGGTTCGATTCCTCAGCACCACATAAACAAAAAGAAAAAAGCCGGAAGTGGCGCTGTGGCTCAAGTGGTAGAGCGCTAGCCTTGAGCTGAAGAGCTGAGGGACAGCGCCCAGGCCCAGAGTTCAGGCCCCATGACCGGACCCAAAAAATCTAACTACTAAAAAAAATTGTATACAGATGAAAAGCAGCCTAGAAAATGTTTTTTAATATAATTTCATTGTTATTATTAAGGTGTTGTATAGAAGGGTTACCATTTCGTAAGTCAGGTGATGAGTACAACTCTTTTTGGACAATGTCACCCTCCCTCTGCTATCTCTGTTCACTCCTCCTATCCAGGTCCACAAATCGCACAGTTCATTTCCCACATAATGCTTACTAAGTACCACGACTGCATTTGTTCATTCTTCCTCCCTCCCTTTCTTTTTCCTTTTTTTTTTTTTTTTGGTCGGTTGTGGGGCTTGAACTCTGGGCTTGGGCGCTGTCCCTACGCTATTCAGCTAAAGACAAGTGCTCTACTGCTTGAGCCACAGTGCCACTTCTGGTTTTCTAGTGGTATTAGAGATAAGAGTCTCATTGACTTTCCTGCCCCGGCTGGCTTTGAACTGTGAGCCTCAGCTCTCAGCCTCTAGAGTAGCTAGGATTACAGGTGTGAGCACGGGTGGCTCCTCCCTCCCTTTCTATGGCGCCCCGCCCCCCACCCCCCAAAACACACACACACACACACACACACACACACACACACTCAAAAGACAGAAAAAAAGGACAAACAAAACAAAAACACAGCACCAACAACAACAAAAAGAAAAACCTGTGTTTCAACTTCCTGGAACTTGTTTCCATACTATTCAGAGGCATTACACCTCTGGGTTCCTCTCCTAAGAGTATCCTCCTTCAGCTGGGAATGTGGTTTAGTGGTAGAGTGATTGCCTAGCATGCATGAAGCCCTGGGTTCCATTTCTCAGTACCACATAAACAGAAAAAGCCAGAAGTGGCACTGTGGCTCAAGTGGTAGAGTGCTAGCCTTGAGCAAAAGCAGCTCAGGGACAGTGCCCAATCCTGAGTTCAAGCCCCAGGACTGCCCCCCCCAAAAAAAAGAGTGTCCTCCTTTCTTACTCTGTATGAATGCCTACAGTCCTGTATAATTTATGATGTCTTGGTGTATTTTAGATCTTGCTTCTGCATATGAAAGAAAACACATGCCATTTATCTCTCTGAGCTTGGCTTACCTAACTTAACAAGATTTGTTCTAGGTCCATCATTTCCCTGCAAATGACAGTCTTATTCTTTCTAATGGATGAATAAAACTCCGTTGTGTATAAGTACCACATTTTTTTTTGATCCACTCATCTACTGTAGGGCATCTGGTCTGTTTCCATAATTTGGCTATTATGTAGCAATGAACATGGATATGAAAGTATCTTTATGTATCCTGACTTGCAATATTCTGGGTAGATGCCCGAATGGTATGGTTGGGTTGTAGGGAAGATCTATGTTTAGTTTTTTCAGGAGTCTCCACACCTCCATTTAGAGTGGTTGTACTCTGCAGTACGATAGGGTTCCACGTCCCCACCAGCATTTGTTGTCTGATTTTGCAATATTGGCCAATCAAACTGGGGTGAGATGGAATCTGAGTTGTTTTGATTTGCATTTCCCTTATAGTCAGGGATGCTGAACATTAGGAAATATTTTGTAGCCAGATGCCAGTGGCTCACACCTGTAATCCTAGCTACTCAGGAGGCTAAGATGTGAGGAATGAGGTTCGAAGCCAACCCAAGCAGAAAAAGGCCTTGTGAGAATCTTATCTCCAATTAACTACTCAAACATGGAAGTGGCACTGTGGCTCAAAGGAGAGTGCTAGCCTTGAGCAAAAAGAGCTCAGAGACAATGCCCAGGCCCTGAGTTCAAGCACCATGACTTACAAAAAAGATACTATTTTTTAAAAGGTAGATTTGGAAAAGGCAGTAAGATTGCAGTCAAATTTTTCCTTATTTGTTCTTTTTTTTATTTTTGTGAAGAGCATCAAGAAAAGTTGTCTTATAAATCAAGTCAGTGACGATGGCAGTGTCACCTAAGGCTCCACTGCATGTCCGGTAAAGAAACGCAAAGGGAGTAAGGTACACACACCTCTAGTTTTTCACTGAACTCCTCTGTGTAGGGAATAAATCTGCTGTCGGTGTCCCCCTTGTAAAACCAAGTACAGCGCCTCACTTCGGTTGGTTCCTCATCCCAATACACGGCTTTCCTCACCCGGTCATAGAGGTAAACGTCATAGCGCCCTCCATCTGTGCCTAGAACCACACTCTCTGGGTCTGGCTGGACTGAAAAACAAAAGGCACAGTTCCCCCAAACATTATAGTGAATATTTGAAAATGGTAAAGAAGAATGTGACTATCATTCAACATTTAAAGACTATTAACTAAGCAGTGATTATGTTGCTCAAAATTACGACTCTTCTCAATTGGTAAAAAGGTGATTAGAAAATAACTAAAATGGCCAGACACGGGTGGCTCATGCCTGTAATCCTAGCTACTCAGGAGGCTGAGATCTAAGGATCCTGGTTCAAAGAAGCCTGGGCAGGAAAGTCTATGAGACTCTTATCTCCAATAAACCACCAGAAAACTAGAAGTGGTGCTATGACTCAAAGTGGTAGGGCACTAGCCTTGAACAAAAGAGCTCAGAGACAGTGTGCAGGCCCCAACTTCAAGCCTCACAACTGACAATAAAAAAAAAAATTGAAATAACTAACATTTGCAATTTTTCAAAGCAGTAATACTTCATGAAGCATGTTGCTAGAGAATACTGGGTAGTTTTTAAGACCTGTGACCAAATAATATGAGGACAAATAAACAAAAGGTCACATTGTACACTACAAGACTTCCTAGAGCCCAAGTGTACTCCTGTGTAGGATCTGTATCAAGAAATACATAATGAGTGACATCTCCAAACTGTTATCTGATACAGAACACATTTCAGCATCTATACAAACTGGAATCTCACAGAAAATGTTTACTAAGACTGAATTACAAATGAGTAAAAGAACTAAGAAAAATGAACTCTGATCATATAAATGACTACTCTGAGTTAAAGCTCCTTTTAAACAAAGAACATTAATAAGCCATTTCTTCCAATACTTTGTTCAGATAATTCAGGATGTATATTAGTATCATCATTTTAAAGGACTGAGTCTGGAGGGTCTACAGATGAAGGAATCTGGTAGTCACAAAAGCAGGCCAAGGATAAATGTTCTTCACTCCGTCTCTTCCAAAAACCAAATATCAAGAGGTACTTACCTGAATTGTAGATTTCTTCAAGATTCAAAGAGTCAAACACACTGAAAGGCATCCATAGTTGTTTGTATTCTACTTCCTTACAGTAAAACCAGTGGGGCTGAACTGGTTCATACTGGTTCTGAAGTACAAAAGGAGGTGGTCCCTGCATAGAGGGGCCTGCAGGTCTAGCAAGCACCTGCTGCTGTGCTGGTGACTGTACTGAAGGAGGAACCTGAGGGGACAACAACATGTCATAACACGTCCAAAAGGTACAGTTCGGTATGTGCCTTAGACTCAAACTGTAATTAGTAATAATCCTACATCTATTTCTAGACAACTATTTAGTAATAATAACTAGACCCCAAAGCAAAGCAAGTAACTAAATAAAATTTAGTACCCTATAGCAGGTAAAATGAACTAGACTTTTCCACACAGGTGGCAAAGTAAATGGACAATGTTACAGATATGAATAGCCCTTCTAAATGTATTTTATATTTGCAATACATATATTCTTTAATTCAGTTCTTCCTCCTGTCTCCTTTCCTCCCTCCTTCTCTTCCTTCCTTCCTTTCTTCTGGTCCTGGGGCTTGAACTCAGGACCTGGGTGCTGTCTCAAAGCTTGTGTTCTATCACTTCAGCCATAGCTACACTTATGGCTATTTGTTGGTTAAATGGAAATAAGATTCTTGTACTTTTATGTCTGGGCTGACAATTTTATAAGTCCCTGTCTCAAAATTTAAAACACTGAAAGGAGGGTTAAGGCTATAACTGGGTGGCAGAATATATATACCTAGTACGCAGGACCCTCAGACCATGTAAAAATTTAGAAAGTTAGGGAAGGTGGCTCAGTGGTAGAGTGCTTGCCTTGCATGCCTGAGGCCCTAGGTTTGATTCCTCAGCACCACAAAAACAAAAAGAAAAAAGCCGGAAGGGTCGTTGTGGCTCAAGTGGTAGAGCGCTAGCCTTGAGCTGAAGAGCTGAGGGACAGTGCCCATGCCCCAGAGTTCAGGCCCCACAACCGGACCCAAAAACAAAACAAAAATATTAGAAATTAAGTAAAATTCCAACTATAACTTCTAAAACTAATTAAAGGGGAGGGGAGGTAACTCAGTAGTAGAGTTCTTGCCTAGCATGCCTTAGGGCATGGGTTCCACGTTTAGTACCACAAAAAAAAATCCCTAAATAATTAAAGAAGTTAGAAAAATATTTGTCCTTGTATATATTATAAAATACATAGCTTTCTATAACATCAGCTAAATGAGAAAGGAAAAATTAGAGTGTCTTTGTAGAACATAAAGCCTGTCCACATACCGGTGGCAAAGGCCCTGGCGGCACCTGGTAGGTCTGCACAGGAGGTCCGGAGGGTGGAGGATGGAAGGGATGGCCTGGCGTTTGGCTCTGCTGCAGCTGTGGGGGCGTGATATAGGGATTCGCCCTGCTGCTAACAGGGGTATGGCGATAGGGGTTGTATCCGTGTTGGGGTTTTCCTTGAGGCGGGATCCCAAAACTTGAAGGAGGGAGACTGCTGGGCTGAGAAGGCAAGTAAGTATTGGTTTCCATCTGCGAGGAAGGTGGAGCACCATATGGAGCCTTTGAAACAGATGGTGGAAACGCATTCACCCCGTCTTGGGACCCTGTTGTAAAAGGCAGAGCAGGCGGGGGCCTAGAGAATGTGGACTGTCCAAGTGATGTTGCTGTCATTGTTAAGGGTGACTGTCCAATGTTCCCAAAAGGATCACTGCTGCTTGATACCTGAGGGAAGTAACTAAATGTCTGTGGGGTGGACGTGTGCATCGACGTCTGACCAAGGAAGCTGTCCTCCTCACCAACATCTGTGGCATCCTCTGAAACAAAACAGGAGAGCCATGGCTTAAAGGGTCAGCAGTCCTTATACTCTTCTTCTATAAAAGCCAACAACCAGAGCTCTTCTTATTCTAATGTCTATTTCTGTACTACAGAGGGGAAAAAAAATCAAAGTCCTTTCTTCTTCTAAAACATTTGTCTTTAAGCCAGGTATCAGTGGCTCACACCTGTAATCCTAACTACTCAGGAGGCTGAGACCTGAGGATCACTGTTAAAGCCAGCCAGGCAGAAAAGTCCATGAGACTCTTATCTCCAATTAACCACCAAAAAGCAGGAAGTAGAGCTTTGGCTCAAGTGGTAGAGTGCTAGCTAATCTTGAGCCAAAAAGCTCAGGGATAGCTCCCAGGCTCTGACTTAAAGCCCCAGGACCAGCACCAAAAAAAAAAAAACCCAAAAATCAAAAAACAAACAAAAAAACCCAACCACTTTTTTCTTTGAAATGAAAATATAAATCAGAAAAAATCAAAAGCAGAGGAAAAAAAAAAAACCCTAATTTACAAACCTGCCTTCCAGAGACAATCATTGTTAACACATGGGGTACATACCCCTCCATACTTTTCAAGTAAATAAAAAGTCTTATTACCCAAATAATTTTATCATATAATTTTATCTCTCAGCCATGAGGAGAAACTATAAACATTAGCTCTGTTGACAAGAAGGGGTGTCAGGCTCTTCCTTATAAACAAGGATAGAAGAAGTGAACACATGGTACTTGTATTCCCAAGGCAAAGTAGGGCATCAATTATCTGTCACCCTAAATCACGCAGTGTCCCAACCAGATAATTAAGTTTTTATAGAACACCAAATAACCAGAAAAGTCACTTCTCTAAGTATGGGATGTTCTCGCTTCCTTTTGATCTTCACTGTGGGTACTATCAACATACTTTCTCTTTATTTTCCTTCTCTATGACCTCAAAAGTCCACTCTAGAACATTTTTATGAGCCCTTAGCTTGCAGCTTTCTGCTAATCTTCCCTACTCCTGCCTCAATCCCTCTTTATCTACTGCTAGGGCATGGAGTCCATCAGTCTAGAGGACCCATTCCTAGAAACGCCAGGGCCTCTGTCCTTAAGAGCCTGCCAAAGCCCTGGGTTACTCCTTGACCTCTGCTGAAAATGGCCACTGGGCTCAGACAGCTTCTCCCTTGAGCTTCTAATCTGTCCCACTTTATTTCACATACACCAACTTAACAAAATACTCGCCATTTGGCCATGAGTCCAAGAGACACAATTCAATGCCATAACCGGGATTACAGCATTCGGGTTATCCTTTGGGATTATTCAACATCACACTATTCAAAAGATGGGTCTGTAGTCCCAGTTATTTGGGAGAATGAAGGAGGCAGAAAATTTAAGCTGACAAGTTTGAGACCAGCCTGGGCTATTCTCAAGAGAAAAAAGAAAGAAAGAAAAGAAAAAGAAGGAAAAAGACAATGAACAACAACAAAAAAAAATCAAACAAAAAACCCTCAAATTTGTTTGTTTCTTTTTTTTTTTTTCAGTCATGGGGCTAAAGTCAGAACCTGATGCTGTCCCTGAGCCCTTTTTATTCAAGGACAGCACTCTTCTATTTTAAATCATAGCACCACTTCCAGTTTTCTGGTGGTTAATTGGAGATAAGAGTCACAGACTTTCCAGAGCTGGCTTCAATTGAACCATGATCCTTAGATCTCAGTTTTCTGAATAGCTAGAATAACAGGCATAAGCCACTGGTAACTGGCTTTGAGACTTTTAAAACTAAAAATATCACTTTCAAATACAAGGCCCTGAAGCTGGGAAGGTAGCTCAGTGATACAGTACTTGCCTTGCATGCATGAGGCCCTGGGTTCGATTCCTCAGCACCATATAAGCAGAAAAAGCCGGAAGTGGTGCTGTGGCTCAAGTGGTAGGCGCTAGCATTGAGCTGAAGAGCTGAGGGACAGCGCCCAGACCCAAAGTTCAGGCTCCACAACCAGCAAAAAACACAAAAAACAAAAAACACAAGGCCCTGTGTCTGCTAGCCTTTTTCTACTTTTCAGATATATTTCCTTTTGTGCATATGTGATACTGGGATTTGAACTCAGGGCCTCATGCTTGCCCAGCAGGCTCTCTACCACTTGAGCCACTCCACTAGTCTTGTGGATTTCCAGTTCCCATTCTTCTCTGTAGTCCTGTGAACTTCACTTGCACTCCTCTATATTACTCAGTTCATTTTCCAACAAGGAAAAGCACTGGGAAAATCTGTTGGTATCCTTCACCAGTTAAGATTCGTTGAGATCTACTCAGTCCAAGAAATAGACTTCTCATTAGCATCAAGTATACATGAAATAATGACCTCAAAACCCTGCTAGAAGGGAAACAAAGGAGGAGGCAACAATGCTTGATAAGCAATGTGCTCATTACCTTGCTCATGTAATTGTAACCCCTTTGTATGGTATTTTCACACACACACAAAAAAAAACAATTCTAAAAAAACAAACAAACCTGCTAGACTCACTTCAGAGGCACTTTCTGAGGGAACTAATATACCTGCAACACAACTGTTTCAAACTCACACTGCCCTCATGTATTCCAACTACTTCCCCAACATTCCTAGCAGATTCACATATACTTCAAACTTAGTAAGCCTTAAGTGGATGGATGACTTTTACCACCATGTATCCTTTTACCAGATCTCACTATCCCAACAGGTCACCAGCGTCCACCTACATTACAACAAGAATCTTCAAGGCTCTCAACCACTTCCTCTCTCTCAGACCTTTCATTCAGCCATCCAGGAAATACTTAAATAGTACCCACTACATGCCAGGTTCAGAGCCCAGTCTTGAGCTAACACTGAAAAAGAATGGACCTCTGTGCTAACAGACAGCTTTCTCTTCAGAGCCCTTCATATCAATGTGGCCCAATTGGGCTACAGTACCATTCACTCCTGACTGAAGTACAATGACCCTGGACCAACCCCTCTTGCTATAGCAGCTTTCTTCCAATACAATCTCAGACAGCACTAGCCTTTCTGAAATACAACTCTAATTTCACTGTCCTGTTGCAAATCATTCAAAGGCTCCCCCACAAGAGGAACTATTAACTCCCTAGTATATGAAGTCATGACCTCCTAGAGCCACACCCCTGCAATACTCTAGTCAGTGACCCATTTGAAGAAGACAGAGGGCACTGGGAAGGACAGAAGAAAGGACAGAAGGAGAGGTCCACCCTGTTCCATGTCACCCATCAATATTCTGCCAGATCTTCTTCAGGTTTCCTCACACCTCCATACTCCTTCATTTCTATGTATTCTTTAGGCTCAACTCAGATACCATGTCCTATGAGGAGCTATGGCCTAAGGGGCATATCTTGCCTATTCCATCAGTTGAGACCCACAGCATTTGCAGCAGCCTATCCATCCTTCTTTCTGGCTATTCTGAAATGCATCATACATGCTTACCAGGGGAGTATCTGTGTAGATATACATACTGTGCAGCCATTACAGACAGAACTGTCTGCTATCTGTGATTCCCTGACACCTGGAACAGGGTCTGACAAACAGCAGATCCTCAGTTCCTGTCTGTTCAATCTATGAAATTGCTTCCTAGTTATCTCTTTTGCCCCCAGGGATAGTTTCTTCTCTGGATATGATCTAAAGGGGTCTCTAACTTTGAAACCCTTTTTTAGAGGGGAAAAATATTTGTACATAAAGTCCTAAAAATGGTTAATGGTCCTACAAAAATATGTAAGTTCTGGCCAGGTACCAGTGGCTCATGCCTGTAAATCCTATCTAATAGAAGGCTAAGATCTAGATGACCACACTTTGGAAGGGTGGGGCAGAAAAGTCCTCAAGATTCTATCTCCAATTAACCAGTGAAAAGCTGGGCTTGGAGGTACAGCTCAAGGGGTACACACAGCCAAGTAATCAAGCTGAATGAGCTGTGTACTATGGGCTGAACTCAAAGCCACCAAGAAACAAGAGTTTAAAGACAGGAGTAAGCTGGACACCAGTGGCTCAGTCCTATAATCCTAGCTACTCAGCAGACTGAGATCTGAGGAGTGTGGTTCAAAGCCAGCAGGAAAGTCTGTGGGACTCTTATCTCCAGTTAACCACCAAAAAACTGGAAGTGGAACTGTAGCTCAAAGTGGTAGAGTACTAGCCTTGAGCAAAAGAGCTCAGAGACAGCACCCAAGCCCTCTGTTCACACCTCAAAACCAACAAAAAGAGAGAGAGAGATGGAGACAGAGACAGAGACAGGGAGGGAGGGGGAGGGAGAGAGGAGAGAAAGAAAACCTAAGTGTGGTTAAAACAGGTGTGCTCAAAAATTGAAAATGTCTAGTTTTTATACACACTGGCCAAATACAATATAGTGAGGAGATGAACATGAGCCAAACAATACTTTTGAGGCAGATGACCTAAAACCCTTCAGCAAATCCTGATCTACTCCTCAGCCCTCTCACAGCACTTCTGCCAGCCATACCAATTCTTCACCAAAGACAACACCACCTAACATTCCAATCACAGCCTAAGTGACACACGTGAAATCCGATGCCTTGCCTCCCACTCATTTAGCAAATATCTACCCAATATGGCTTTTCCAGGCACAGGACATACACCTTGCTTGCATACAGAGCTTACATTCTGGAGGGGTGGATAGGATAAACAAGCATGGGTACATGTCAGGTAGATAGTAACAAGCATCAAGAAATACAAGCAAAGGACAGTTCTCCATAAAGCTGCTTCCTGCATGTCTTTCTCCACTTCTCCAGGAAACTTTCCTTGGTCTTACAAGCAGAAACAAATCATTCACTGAGGGGAAGGGGAGGAAACCTCAGCATGTAATAAGGACATAGGTGCTAAACACTGGACACGATCCGGGAAATAGAAGGGCCCAAGTAGGGACATGCTCCATTGACAAACATTTACCTAACACTACCTGCCAAGCATTACATACTTGGTGTTTTACCAACATCAACTCACTTCTCACAACAACCCTATGAATCTGAACACTCATGGAAACTGCAGCACAAACGCGGACTGTAACATGCCTGAGGTCATGCAGCAGGGTTCTGGGCTCCCACGATACTAGGGTCTGCGTTGTGCCGCCCCAGCATCACACAGCAAGGGCCCTGGACAATGCGAACACCTGGCGGGGCGCACAGGAGTGCGGCCGGAGAGAACAAAACGCTTTGTGGACGTCTTGGAAAATGAGGGCTGCGTTCTGTACCGACACTCCGCAACCTCTCACACCCACATTCTTCCAGGAGTTAGTCTGCGGTGTCCGAAAAAGCGGGACGCTGTCCATCCTGGAAGAGGCCTGCTGCCGCCTCCCAGGAGATGGCCTGGCTCGCGTTCCAGGGCGATGCTGCCTGGCCCGCACACTTCCGGTCCGCACCCGGCAGGGTCCCAGGGCCCGTGCGCGAGCACTCGGGAAAACTTGGAACGGTAGGGGGGCGTGGAGGGGTCCCCACGCGGAGCACAAGCTCCATCACCGGCCCCGCCTCCGAGATCTCAGACCCCGGCCCCCCCACACCACCGCCGGCCCCGACCCGCGGCCCGGCGCGCCCCCACGCCGCCCCCAGACCGCCTTCCCCTCACTACCTCCGGGCAGGAGCAGGGAGGCCGAGGCGGCCGCCGCCTGCGTGACGGGGATGAAGGGCACGTGGAAACTGAACTCCGTGGCCGAGGAGGAGAAGAGTAAGTTAGTGCCCGCCGAGGAGGCGGAGGCGCCGCCGCCGTTACTCTTCCTCTCGGCCATGGCCGCGGCCCCTCGTCCGTTACACGTCTCCGGGAAGCCGGTGCTGCACCACGGGCCGGAAACCAGTCACCTCTGGCCAGCGCACTTCCGCATTTGCGCATGGGGACCGGAAGGCAAGGCAGCTCCAGTTCGGAAATACTACCGAAGTAGCCTGTAGCTGGGGCTGCCAGAAACCAAGATGGCGGCACTGGCTTCGCCTCGAAGCCTAGCACGTGACGCCCTCAGCGGCTGCGCAGGTGCGGCTTGAAACCGTGGAGCGAAGGTGGGGCCCGAAACCGGGAGGGAGAGAGGTTCGATCCTGCATTCTGCTCCGGATCGGCTCCGCATCCGAGCACAACTGACCTTGGACGTCTTCGATTGCGGGGTCGCTTCATGAAAGCAACGAGAGGACAGCTGTCTTTGTGGATTGGTGGGGGGGGGGGTTATTTTTTGAGACAGTCTCACCATATTGGCCGGGAATAATTAGCCTGGCTGGCCTCCTCCGACCGGTGCTTCCAGGTGTATCCCACCATGCGGCACTTGATGGGCTACTTTAACTGGCAAATATACATGTGTATATATATATATAGGTATATATATATATATATATATATATATATATATATATATATCCTATCTACCTCTTTTATATTGAAGTACACTGAATATTGTCCCTCAAATCAACCACTTTAGTATTGGGATTTTCTTGGGCTGAAAGCAACTAAGATGCAAAAACGAACGAAGGAACGAGGAAAAAAAGGAGGAAGAGAAGGAAGGAATAGAAGTGGAGGGGTGGCTCAGGGTAAGCCTCTAGAGCTCAGCCGTGCTGAGTTCAAAGCCCCGGAGTGCCCCCCCGCGTCCCCGTGCGGCGTACACGCACCAATGCACACCCCGACACAATCCACACACACACACACACACACACACACACACACACACCCAAACCCCACAAATACAGACCAAGCGCCAAGCACACACCCGAACGGGCGCGTGCGCACACACAGAAAAACGAGGTGGAGGGGCAGATGCAAAATGCCGCTTCACCCACCACCCGCGGCCGCCAGGCGCTGACTTCCCGGCCCTGTGCAGGGCTCCGCAAGTGAGCTAACGAGGGCCAGTGTCCCCGCCCGGCCAGCACGAGGGGACCGACAGCCGGCCCCGCGCCGCCCTCAGCCCGCTAGGCCCGGCTCAGCTCGCGCCGCCTCCTGGCTTGCCCTTCCCCAGCCCGTCTCCAAGATGGCGAGCGCCCCGTCGAGGCCCCGCCCACCTCCCCGCCGGGGTCGCGCCTCTCCTCCCGCCTCCCCGCCGGGACCGCGCCCCTCCGCCTTCCTCCCCGCCGGGGCCGCGCCCCTCCAGCCAGGGCCGCGCCGCGCGCTCCCGCCGTCCTCGGCCCACGAGGCCGGGCCCTGCGTCTGCCGCTTGGCTTTCCAGCCACTGCCGGTCTCCAAGAGGGCGGGCGTCCCGGCCCCGCCCCGCCCCGCCCCGCCCCTCCCCCGAGAATCGGCCCGCGCCCTGCTCCGCCGGGGCCGCGCCGCGCGCTCCCTCTCCCCGCCGGGGCCGCGCCGTGCGCTCCCGCCGCCCCTCCCGCTCCAGCTCCACCCAGGTCGCCGGCAGCGCGGTCGGCGGCGGCTGTTTCCCGCCATTGTGCGAAGTGGAGGCTGCGGCCCGAGCGCCGCGCCCACGGTGGTCAGCACTTCCTCGGCGTCCAACGCCGCCGCGCCCGGAGGCCCCAGCAGGCCGCGGCCCTCGGCCCGCCGTGCGCGGGAGGGCGCGGACGAGGAGCGGCCGAGCCTGTGCGGAGGCCCGCGGGTCGGGTCGGCCCGGCCCTCGGCGACATGCCCTGCGGAGAGGACTGGCTCAGCCACCCGCTCGGGATCGTGCAGGGCTTCTTCGGTGAGTAGCGCGCCCGGGGCGGGTGGCCGAGCCGACGGGCGCCGCGGTGCCGCCCCACGCGGGACCACCTGCGGGCTGCCGCGGGCCCGCGCGGCCTGGCGGCCCGGGCTCCGACCGCCTCCACCGGGCTGCAGGTGCCGCCGCCGCGCCCGGGGCCGCCTCGCCGTCGGCGGGGGCGCCGCGGCGCGCGCTCGCGGGGTGACGGACGGCCCGGCTTCCCCGCCGGCCACCCAGCCCCGGAGCCGCGGACTCGGACGGGATCCCGGAGCCCGGGCGCAGGGAAGCCGCTCAGGGTTATTGCCAAACTTCCGGCGTGCTGGGGGCGTGCTCGCCCCTCCGCCCCGAAGTTGACTTCACCGCGGCCTGCGCACAGCTCGGGGAGCTCGGGGTGAAGGCGCGGGGCCGAGTTCTGCCCGGTGGAACCCGCGGCTCTGGTGCCAAAGCCCGGGAGGTGGGGTGGGGGCAGGTGAGCCGCTTCCCGGGATCGCCCGATGGAACGAATCGGGCAGGCTGGGGCTCAGTGACCGCGGCGGCTGCGCCGGACGGACGGACGGACGCACCTCGTCCTTCGTCCCCTGGGCCTGCGATCCCCACCCCATTCCCCAGTCTCCGCGCTTGAGGCGTGGCGGTGGAGTCAGACTCTGGCCTGGCGTTCCGGTGAGGTCGCCGCACCTGACTTGCCTGGAGTTAGAGTTGCTGGCTGCCCTTAGCTCGTCCTGAGCGGCCGGGGGTGTCGATCCGAGGTGGAGCGTGTGTTTAATCCCTCGGAATCCCCCCTCCTCCCCCAAAAGACACCCCATCCTATCCCACGGGATACCGGGGAGAGGACAAGGAAGTAAGAAGCTAGACTCCTCAGCAGCCAAAACCAAAGTCAGGAAATGTGTTTCTTATAGTTCCCGCCGCGACTTGTCGGGTTTTGCCTCTAATTCCAACTAGTTAATTTGGTTTCCCAGGCTGAAACGAAAGGCAGCCTTAAAAGGCTGACTAGAGATCCAGATAATAGCCGATGAACGCTAACCACCTTGTGAATTAAAAAGAAACTCTGTGATGAACTATGTCATTTGTGGTCAGGGACGGGAGGGGGGAAGCTGGGGGAAAACGAAGGGGTGACATTGTTCCAAAAAGAAGTTTGCTCATGACGTAACTTACGAAACGGTAACCCCTCCGTACAACACCTAATAATAACAAAATATTAAATAAAAAATCCCTCTGAGCCAGGCTCCGGTAGCGCCAGCCTGTAATCTTAGCTACTTAGGAGGCTGAGATCTTAGGATCTCAATTCAAAGACGTGGGGAACTGGAACTTGTGGGAGACTCCTATCTCCCAAGTAACTACTAAAAATAGCCGGAAGTGGAGGTGTGGTTCTAGTGGGAGTGTGCTAGCCTTGAGCACCGGAGCACAGGGCTAGCGCTGAGCCCACGCTCTGGACAGACAGACACCCACCGATTCTGGAGGGGTGCCCTTGGTGAGTGCATATAACCCTACCTACTGAGGGGCCTGAGTCAGTTCTGAGGATTGCAGTTCCAAGCCAGCCCAAGCAGGAAAGTCTGTGAGATTCATCTCCAATAAACCATTAAAAAGCCAGAGTTGGGGGGTGAGGGAGGGGGGTGGGAAGGTGGCTCAGCCTCGCATGCATGAGGCCCTGGGTTCGATTCCTCAGCACCACATAAACAGAAAAAGCTGGAAGTGGCGTTATGGCTCAAGTGGTAGAGCGCTCACCTTGAGCTGAAGAGCACGGGGACAGCACCTAGGCCCAAAGTTCAGGCTCCACTACCAACCAAAAAAAAAAAAAAAAAGCCAGAGTTTGGGGCTATGGCTCAAATTGTAGAATGCCAGCCTTGAGTAAAAGAAGATCAGGGACAGCACCCAGGCCCTGAGTTCAGACTGGCACTTAAAAAAAAGCCTCTGTACATACTAGGAAAGGGAGTATGGGTTGTGGCAAGGCTCAGTGGTGGAGTGAAGGCATGCCTGACATGCTGGAGGCCCTGGACTCAGTCGGGGAGAAAAGGACTACATAGGGAACTGTATTCCATGACTAAATTGTAATAATTGATCATCATAATGAGTACTGGGACCAAGAGCTGGTGTTCAAAATAATAGACCTAAAATACCAGGCAAAGGTGAAATTGCAGTATCAGTTTAAGAGAGTGCAGGGCTTTGCAGAGGGGAGGGAGCGTGTTGATTTTGTTTTGTGCCAGTACTGTGGCTTGAACTCAGGGTCCAGGTGCTGTCCATTAGCTTTTCTGCTCAAGCTGATGTTCTACCACTTGAGCCACAGCTCCACTTTCTGCTTTTTAGTGGTTAAATGGAGACCTATACACTAATATAGTCGCCACTTGTAGCTATTTAACTTTGTCACGATTTAATGTTTGGTGCCACCACATTTCCAGTGTCTCAGTAGCTAGAGGAGGGTAGAGACTACTGGATTCAGTAGCATACGTGTAGAATATTGATGTCACCTGCACATTCTGGTGTACAGTGTAGTTGTAGAGTACTTTGAGTATGTGTTAGGTACTAGTTTTTTGATAATTGCCTACTTAGTATTGTTTTTCAGAATCTGATTTCTGACATGTCTTGGCAGCACTGATTCTTGAAACTCCTGAATCCATCTGTGATTTTCATCTCCAAAGCTAGAGTCACATCAGGTTTTGTTAGTCCCTCTCTGGATAACTGGGATAGTCTCCTAACTCATCCATGTTCCTTTCTCCACACTGGGACCAAGTCCCCCAAGGAAACTTCTATTAGTATCTCATTAGCTCCAGACCTTTTCAAAGGGGCATGTGAGGCCCTTGTTGGTTTCACCTCCGCTTGGTTCTCAGACTTCTCTTATATTCTCCTTTGATTCTATGACTTCGAGCCACACCTGTAGGTCTTCTGCATCTGCTGTTTAGCTTGTCTGTTCCTCCTCCAATGTCAAGTTCACTTTCCTGGTTAAATCTTTTCCTTGGGAGCCAAGTTAGGTTAGGTACAGCCTGCTTCATGTTAACTTGTTTGCTTTATATCCCTGAAAATTAGCATGTGAAACACATCGTTGAAATGGCCTGTTTCTTGGGTTCTTTTGCTAGATTTTGACTGCAAACTCAGGGACTGTGTCTGCATTGTTCACTACTGTATACTCATTGTCCAGAGTACTCCTGGCACATTGAAAAATGCTCAGTAGACATTTATTGAACAGCAACAGTGGAAAGACTGATGAGTGGTGTAAATTGGGTGTCTGGCCACAAACCTCAGTTTAGAGCAGAGCAGTTCTGATGGGCCTGTGCTGGTCCAGAGAATATGAGATATGAGTTACTTTCACATGTAAAGCCGAATTCTTGCTCAGATCTAAGAAAGTTTGAAATTGTGTAGGTGGCCAGTCAACTATATGAATCATATTTCATCTTTGTAAGCCAGCTTGTTTTGAGTTTATATCTGCCATATTATAGTTGCTAATACATAAATTGTTCCCTGTGAGCTTTTATTACATGTTTTTAATCATTTATTTCTAGTTCCTAACTCATTTTATATACAGAATATTAGGCCCTAGGGTTTAAAGATTTAGGAATATAATTCAGATCGTTATGGGGTTCATTATATGTGATATTGATGGCTTAATCTCTACTGTGATTAGATCGTTATGGGGTTCATTATAGGTGATATTGATGGCTTAATCTCTACTGTGATTATTCATTACTAATCCAGGTTCAATTGCTTCCCTTAAACTAAGGCAGAGACTTAAAATTTAAAAAAAGATTTTTTGGATGAGGGGGGTTCTGTCATGGGGCTTGAACTCTGGGCCTGGGCGCTGTCCCTAAGCTCTCCAGCTCAAGGTGAGTGTTCTACCACTTGCGCCACAGTGCCACTTTCTGTTTTCTGTTGGTTAATTGGAGATAAGTGTCTCATGGACTTTCCTGCCAGAGCTGGCTTTGAACTGTGATCCTCAGATCTCAGCCTCCTGAGTAACTAGGATTACAGGCGTGAGCCACCAGTACCCAGCTAAGAAGTTGTTTTTTGACTATAATTTGAATTAGTAATTCTGTGTGGGGCTTGAACTCAAGGCCTGGGTGCTGTCCCTGAGCTTTTGTGCGCAAGGCCAGTACTATACCACTTTAGCCCCAGCTCCACTTCCCACTTCCACCTTTTAATGGTTAGTTAGAGATGAGAGTTTCACAGACGTTCCTGCTCAGGCTAACTTCTAACCGTAATCCTCAGATCTCAGCCTCCTGGATAATAATATCACCAACATGAGCCACTGGCACCTCGGTGCTTTTTTCTTTTCTTTTCTTTTTGTTCAAGTTAAGATTTCATTGTTTTATCCCAATCTGGCCTCTTAACTTTCAGGTTCAAATCATCCTCTTGCCTCAACCTCTGAGTAGCTAGCACTACAGGCTTGTACTACCATGCCCAGTCATAACTACTTTTAATTTCACAGTTAGGAATGCACTTGGGCACGGGTGCCTCTCTCCTGTATGTAATCCAGCTATTAAGAGGGCTGAGATCTGAGGATCACTACTCAAAGCCAGTCTGGGCAGGAAAAGTCCATGAGATTCATATCTTCAATTTAACAGCAAAGTGCTAGGAGTAGGAATGGTTCAAGTATAGTAGAATGCCAGCCTTGAGCAAAGAAGCCAAGAGAGAGCACAAGGCCCTGAGTTTAAGCCCCAGTGCAGGCATGGACAGGAAAAGGAGAAAGAAGAAAGAGGAATACTTATCAACTCTGATTTCTCTTACTGTTTTCTCTCTAAAGTATTAGCTGGGCCAGATCATTAAAGTTCTTTAGTTATATCTAACCAGACTACCTCACATTAAAAAAAAATCACAGTAGTATGATAGAAGCAGGAAGGATTGGACATTTCATTACTAGCATTTTAGAGGATTTAAAGTAATAGGAAGAGCCACCAGAAGTTGTTATGCTTTTTATGCTGTGAGTCTTTATGCCCTTATTATTGTTTCTCCTTTGATCTCTTCTACCACCTTTCCTTTGGCTGATCTTATAAAAGTAATTTGTTGTGGACAACCTTAAATTCCAAAGACAGGGATTCCAGAGGACTGAGTAGACTCAGAACTAGGTTAGCAGAAGTCCAAGCAACTTTTCTTGATTTTTCTCTCTTTTAGGCTCTGTTCATCTCTGCACGCTGACTTTCTGTTTCACTTCAGATTCATTTCTTAGTTTCAATCCACACTGGCTTAAACCCAAACTCTAGGAATAGAAAACCTGGTTGACCCTGTGGAGTTGGGCTATGGCCATGGCAGAATTAACGTAGGATTCATCACTATTGAGTCCCATGTTTCAATAGTGGGAACGTTCTCAGAGGAAGTGGATTGGGCAGCTAGAGGAAAATGTGCATGGAGTGTTTTGACTTTGTATGTGCAATGCTTGGGATCAAATCTAGGGTCTTGCACATGCTGACCCCTCTACTACTGGCCTACATCCTAGCCCAAGTTATTACAAAATTAGAAAAAGTAATTTGGTCACGGTTTAAAAATATCCAGCAATGGAGGCAAGGCTCAGCAGTAGAGGGCCTGCCAAGTGAGTGATATCCTGAGTTCAAAACCCAGTACTACCAAAAAGTAGAAATAAAAGAAATTTTAAGAACCAACATGATGATACTGAATTTGTAAAAGTGTGTTATTACCCATTGAGCTAAGTGCCCTTAACTGTGTGCCATCAGCTCTTTTTTACTTCTTCATGAACATTTTTTCATTGTCTTCTTCACAAAGCCCCCCATTTTAAAACGCACATTTTAGTGGTGTTTAGTGTCTTTATAGTGTTCCACCATCAACCACTATCATGTCCTGATAAGACTACTTTGTTGTTGAAGGGGTAGTACTACTTGGTCCTTTTTTTTTTTTTTTTTTTCATTTTAGTGTCTTGGTTTGTAGCACAGGCTGGCCTCAAACTTGGAATCCTCCTGCCTGAGTCTCCCTCCCAGTGCTGAGAGCCATGATTTTTTTAATACCATATTACTCAGTTAACTCTTTAAACTTTATTTTGCTTGCTGTGTTGCCCATGCTGGCCCCATTACTGGGCTCAAGTGATTCTAAAGTAGCTTGGACTGGTAAGCGTACATTATGACACCTAGCTTAACTGATAGTTCATAGAGATTTTTTTGTTGTTGTTGGGCATAGGACTTGAACTCTGGGCCTGGGTGCTGCCCCTCAGCTCTTTAGCTCAAAGCGAGATCTCTACTACTTGAGCTACAGCCCCACTTCAGTTTTCTGGTGGTTAATTGTAAATAAGAGTCTTGTGGACTTTCTTGCTTGGGCTGGCTTTGAACCATAATCCTCAGATCTCAGCCACCTTAGTAGCTAGGATTACAGGTCTGAGCCACCGGTACCCAGCTGTATAGATTTTTCATGTTTATCTTTTGTGAAATTGGCCTGCAACTTTGTAAATTCTTGTGAGGAGAGTAGGAGGAATGATTAGCTACTGTTTCTTTTTTGTTCTATTACTATTAGAAACATTGTTCTTTTGACAGAAATGTGATGAAAATGAGAATGCAGTCTTCCAATCTTCTGTGAGTTTTGACAATATATATTCTTTCAGAAATGTGTATACTTAATCCAAACACACATTCTGCTCAGCAAGTGCTTATGCAGTGTTGGCCAAGAGAAAGCATAGCCTGGATATAGACAAATAGCAGCAGACTCCAGAGGTAGAATTACCCAGGTATACTCACTTACCAAGATGAAAGCAGATGGGGACCAGAAGCAGAAAGAAACAGGAAAATCCAAACTTGAGAGAAGTCCACTCACAAACACTGCGTGCACACTGGGAAAGATGCCCGAGGGAAACCCTTAAGAATTCTGAGCTAAAACAAGGGGACACAAGTAAGCTGGATGTGCTTAGAGCCACTACATGTGTTTATTGGAAGAGAGGAAAGATCTCAAGTCCATAATTTAAACTTCCATGTATGAAGTGAGAAATGAAGACTAAAACCGAATAGTAAAGATAGCAGAAATTAAGAAGTAAGGATGAAAACAAGTCAATTAAAGTTCTTTTCTTTTTCCTTCCCCTCTCCCTCCCTCCCCTTCACTCCTCCCCCCTATCTCCCCCCCTCCCTTTTTTGGTGTTACTGGGGATTTAACCCAGGGGCTTATGCATATAAAACATGCTTCTTCTTCTTTTTTTTTTTTTTTTTTTTACCATTGTTACATCCCTCATCTTTCCTTTTCAATATCAATAAAATTGATATAAGTCTAGCCAGACAGACAAAGGGAAAAAAGATAAAAGGAAGAAAAATTGCCATTATCAAGAAGGACAGCAGTGAGGTAATTCCAGGGTATATGGCACGAAAAGGCGAATGCGCACAAGTCACTGCTGTCAACAGCAATTGCAGCAAAGTGGCTTGGTCTCCAAGCGTCACTGTATTACTGTAACCTTCCTGTTTCTGCTATAACTGATTACAGTAAATTAAGACAGTGAATTTATTATTTTATAGTTCTGGAAACCAAAAATTTCACTGGGATAAAACTAGATGGCAGCAGGACTTGAATTCCTGTCTGCAGGCTTTAGGAGAGAGACTGTTTGTCTTTTTCTAGGGTTTGGACCCACCTCCATACCATTACTTGTGGCCCCTTTTCATCTTTAAGGCCAGCACATTGAGTTCCTTCATCTTGCTGTTCTTTTTTTCTTTCACCTTCCACATATAAGAACCTTGTAGCTGAGTGCCTGTGGCTCTCGCCTGTAATCCTAGCTACTCAGGAGGCTGAGATCTGAGGATTGGGGTTCAAAGCCAGCCCAGGCAGGAAAGGCCATGAAACTCTTATCTCCAATAAACCACCAGAAAACCAGAAGTGGCGCTGTAGAGCACTATCCTTGAGCTGAAGAGCTTGAGGGACAGTGCTTAGGCCCAGAGTTCAAGCCCCATGACTGACAAAGAAAAAAAAAGAACCCTGTAATTACATTGAATTTCCCTGTTTTAGGTAGCTGCTAGTGAATCTTAATTTGGTCTACATATTAATTCCCCTGTGCCATGTAAGCTGTAGTCAGGTTCTGGGTTTGCAGGCTGACTTCGAGGGCTCCTGGTGATGTGTGTGGCCTCACTGCCTTGCTCTTCCAGACACTTTGTCCTCCAAGTACTTGACCTTGTTGTGTCCCTCCTTGTTTTTGCGGTACCCTAGTGTTTGTACCCTCAGAGTCCTCTGCATCTGTATAACCTTAACATGCTTTGGTTCTTCACCTCTTCCAGAAGCTCTCTCCAAAGTGCTTTGAGTCATTCATTTTTCTTTTTTGCTTTTAGCTGTTCTGTCCATGGTTCCTTCCGCTCTAGATGCCCTTGTGGCACCTGGCATTAGGTTATTTCAAGCTACTTTTGTATAAGGATTAAGGCAACTTCTTTGACAGACCAATCAAACTAGTCGTTTGGGAAGTTTGGTTTTGTCTCATTACTCTGGTTTCTTGGAAGGCTGAATAAATAGCTTAGTTTTGTTTGGGTTAGGAGGAACTTCAGCATGGATAGCTCCATAAAGACTAGTCCCAGACTCAGTATCCTCCTGCTTCAGCCCCTGAGTCCTGGGATTAGAGGTGTGTGCTTTCATACCTGGCCTTGTTTTTTATTTAAAGGGTTTGTATTGTGAAATATCAATGCCATATCCCCAGAACTGCAAAAGAGGAAAACTAAATCACTTAAAGGTAAAAGGAGTTTGAGGAGCCTCTCAGATTAAAAAGACTTGATAACTAGATGCAATATATGATCCTAAACTGGACCTGAACTGTCTGTGGCTCATGCCTTAAATCCTGGTAACTCAAGAGACTGAGATCTTAGAACTGAGGTTCAAAGCCAGCCCAGCAGAAATGCCAGGCTGGGGATGTGGTTCAAGTGGTAGAGTGCCAGATGGGAGCAAAAAAGGTGAAAAGATAGAGCTTGGTGAGGCCCTGATGAATTTAAGCCCCAGAACAGCAAAAGAAAAAGGGGGGGGGGGAATTAAGTCTAATGACCAATTGGAATACAAATAGTAGATGGAAATACTGTAAGTATTACATCCGTCTTGCATTTCCTGAGCTTGATTAATAATTTTGTGGCTATAGAAGATAGTCTTAAGAGACACACAGTGAATAATGTAGAGGTAAAAATACGTGATACATGTAACTTAGATAAATGCAAGAGAGGACAAATGATAGCAAACAGAGCAAGGACACATGTGCTCTGAGCTCTTCATTTCAACGCTGCTGTTGGTTTGTTTTTGATCGACATAGGTAGTTAATGAAGGGAGGGCTCTTGTAAGCTCTTGCTGACCCAGGAGGCCAGCCTCATCCTCTGCAGCTGTTGGCAACTGAGTCTGCAGTGCCCAGCGCTCGGTGGGGTGGCGTCTCTGGTATTTGATGAGGGCCGCAGACACTGAAATGAATGTCTTTACCACAGTAGCAAATTCCAGTTCTGCTTTAACTGAGTAAGCTAATGAGTGACTTACCAGGACCTAGTGTGTTATTATACATTGTACCTTTACCTTTGAAAACTATATTTCTCTTTCAGCCCAAAATGGAGTTAATCCTGACTGGGAAAAGAAAGTTATTGAATACTTTAAGGAAAAGCTGAAGGAAAATAATGCTCCTAAATGGGTATGTGTTTAGCTATTTTAAGGGAAGAGGGTTGGGCTGGCTACAGTTTTTCACAATAGAGCAGTATTCCACATGCAATTTTAAAGTATAGTTGAATGCATACTTCTGCCCTTAAGTACATGTTTTAAAATGTTTTGATCTCACAAGTTGACAAAATTAAATGCTTCCATCTTTGCCTCTAGGTGGCAGTAACTGACTGTTACTTGCTAGGAAACTGGCTGTCAGAGCATCCATGGCCTTTGTTTCATTACCTTCATTTTAAAAGAACTATGATGAATGAGTTTTAAGAGGGACTCATCAACGTAAATGCATTTCTGCTCATTGAAAAGGATTCAAAGCAGAGCATCCTTTTACATTATGGTCATGTGTTCTCCATCACGTAGACCTATTCAGAGGGAACTTCTTTTGTCCAGCAGTTATGTTATATTGGCCTCTAAGAGCATTTGACTTTGTAATAGACCTAGATTTTGAGTGTGTATGGTGACAGTTTGTGTCTTGAGAGTGGGAGGAGTTGTTTGCATGGATGCACAAGTGCTTGAGATTTTTTTTTTAATTTATTTTATTTTATTTGTGAACATACTGTACAGAGGGGTTACAATTACATGGGCAGGATAATGCGTACATTTCTTACCAAGCATTGCAGCCTCCTCCTTTGTTTACCCTTCACATCCCTTCCCAGCCTCCCCCTTCCCCCCGCCAAGTGCTTGAGATTTTATAGACAGGATATTTTATTATCTGTTTTCTTTAAAGGTACCATCATTGAATGAAGTTCCCCTTCATTATTTGAAACCTAATAGTTTTGTAAAATTTCGCTGCATGATCCAGGATATGTTTGACCCTGAATTTTACATGGGAGTTTATGAAACGGTTAACCAGAACACAAAAGCACGAGTATGTATTGATTTTTCTGTGGTACTTTCTCTTTATTAGTATGGTATTGATTATACTGATGTAATGATGTTATTTTTTGTTTTGGATCAAAGGTTCTTCATTTTGGAAAATACAGAGATGTAGCAGAGTGTGGGGTATGTATCTTAAGAGTATTTCTGTTGTGGTTTTCATATTGTCTTTTAAAGATCTATTATACCCTGGCTACCAGTGGCTCTTGCCTGTAAATTCTAGCTACTCTGGAGGCTGAGATCTGAGGACTTTGGTTCTAAGCCAGCCCAGGTAGACAAATCCAAGAGACTCTTATTCTCCCATTAACCAGCAAAAAGTCAAAAGTGGAAATATGGCTCAAGTGGAATAGTGCCAGCCTCGAACAAAAAAGCTAGGCAAGAGTGTTCAAACCCCAGTAACTAGCACCAATGAAAAAGGAGAAAAAAATGTATTAGAACAGGGATAAGGTATGTCTAGGCCTCAGGCTGTATGAAGTCCTTAAAATCATTTGATATACAAAGGGACAGACAAGCCGGGCGCTGGTGGCTCACGCCTGTCATCCTAGCTACTCAGGAGGCTGAGATCTGAGGATCGCGGTTCAAAGCCAGCCCAGGCAGGAGAGACCTTGAGACTCCTATCTCCAATAAACTACCAGAAAACCAGAAATGGCGCTGTAGCTCAAGAGGTAGAGCGCTTGCCTTGAGCTGAAGAGCTGAGCGACAGCTCCCAGGCCCAGAGTTCAAGCACCACGACCGACCAAAAAAAAAAAAAACAAAGGGACAGACATGCAACGCTTCTTGTCAGCTTCCTAGGATTATCTGCCCATATTCATAATTTTGTAAGGGCCATAATGATGTTATAAATATCTAAATGGCCCTTGCACAAAAAAGATTTCCCACCTCTGTTAGAGGTAAATATTATAAATAACAAAATTCTTTTCTCGTACCTATTTTGTTAAAAAAATTATATAAATTATATAACTATAATATATAAATATATTACATATATAATTATAATTTATAAATTGTTTTAAGTGAAAGTAATAACTTAGGCCTAGCAGATGCTCAGAAATTAAATAAACTTGCCTTGCGCCGGTGGCTCACGCCACTGGAGGCTGAGATCTGAAGATCTAAAGATCATGGTTCAAGCCAATCCAGGCAGGAAAGTTCACAAGACTCAGTGGAACTGTGGGTTAAGTGTAGAGCACTAGCCTTGAGCACCAAAGCTCAGAGACAGCACCCAAGCCTGAGTTCAAGTCCCAAGGCTTGATACCAAAAAGAAAATAATAATAATTAAATCCTGCTTTTTCTATTTCTTTTGAGGGTATGGGTGATTGAATCCATGTTCTCACACATGCTAAGCATATGTTCTACCATTAAGCCAAACTTTTACTTTAAAATACACACACACAATTTCTAACCACCTTTTTTGGTGGTGAAAAGAAATAATAGAAGAAACTCTTACAAAAGCAGTGGGAGAAAAAAGCGGAGTGGGCATATAAAGGTATCCATGAGAATAGTCCCAAGCTAGGAACTTACTAGACAAACAGGTATGGAGGAACTACAGGAATCTGTGTCTTATTTGTCCTAGTGTTGATTTTCTGATAGCAGAACAGGCAACACAGTTAAGTTGAATTTCAGTCTTACACGTGCTCAGTGTGTTGATGCTGCAGCTGGGTATGCTTCCAAGTTACTTCAAGTTTAATAGAATGATTACCATGTCAAAATAAATTGATTAACCAAAATTCTCCCCATTACTTGCCCCTTATGTTTTTCATGTGTTTTCCATGGAAACACAGACCCTAACTGTTGACTGTTGAATGAAAGCAAGGATCTCTGTCAGGGCTGACTAGGCAGGGGTTCAGGTAAAACCTCAGTAGAAGGGAGATCTCCCTGGAATGACCTATGTTCTGACTCTAATTCTCTATAGTCAGGGGTTTGGGGTGTGAGTGTGTGCATGCATTACGTGTACATGCTAGGGGTCAAGCATAGGGCTTTAATGCATGCTAGGCAAGTGCTCTGTCACTGACGTACATCCCAACATCCGATTGAGTTTTATAACCTAGAATCCACTGTATTAAGGATTTGAGAGAGGTAGTATTTTGATTATTGCATTTGAAATAATTAAGTCAATTTTCCTTTCAAAAACATCACGTTGAGAAGCCAGGCCTGGTGTACATACTGTTACCACACTGAGCACTCTGAAGAGTGACACAGGGCATCATGAGTTTCAGGGCAGCCTGGACTACATAGTAAGACCCTGTCCCAAAACAAAATGAAGCAAAGTAAGTGGTAGCTTGAAATTAGTTGCTAGTTAGTTAATGTGTGTGTGTGTGTGTGTGTGTGTGTGTGTGTGTGTGTGTGTGCGCACACTCACATGCATGATAGTGCTGGAACTTGAATTCATGGCCTTGTGCGCTTAACTTTTTCACTTGAGGTACTCTACCACTTCTAATTCCAAGTTTTTGCTGATTGTTTGGAGAATAAGTGTCTCAGATTTCTCTGCCTGAGCTAATTTTGAACCACAATCCTCAGGAATGAGGTACTGGCTCCCAGTTTAAATTAACTTTACAATTTATGTATTTACTATGGTTTACAATTTATATAATTTTATAAGTAACAAAATTTAGTTGATCTTTTTAAACTTGTTTTTCTCAAGAATTTAAAAATACCTCTGTGTATGTCACAGCCTCAACAAGAACTTGATTTAAACTCTCCAAGATCTACCACATTGGAAAGACAGACTTTCTACTGTGTTCCAGTGCCTGGGGAGTCTACGTGGGTAAAAGAAATATCCTTTATCTGAACCTTACTATGTGTTGAATGGCTCCTAATTTTTTTGAGTTAAAAAGACTGTGATTAAGTTTTCGAGGTTTTCATCTTTTTACCCTAGTAACATTAGCTGGGAAACTTTTCCACTTTGTTTACAAAATGTGACTTTATTTTAATACAAATGCCAAATTTTATGGTATGTTCCTGTGATGAAATATTGTTAAAAAAAAAATTGAAGTAGCTGGGTACTGGTGGCTCATGCCTGTAATCGTAGCTACTCGGGAGGCTAAGATATGATGGTCATGCTCCAAAGCCAGCCCAGCTAGGACAGTCCATGAGACTCTTATCCAATTAATTACCAGAAAACTGGAAATGGAGCTGTGGCTCAAAGTGGTAGAGTGCTAGGCTTGAGCAGAAAATCTCAGGGACAATGTCCAGGCCCTCAACTGACCAAAAAAAAGAAAGAAAGAAAAGATTAGGTATAAATAAATAGGGAGGACTGGGAAGGTGGCTCCATGGTAGAGTGCTTGCTTGCCTTGCATGCCTGAGGCCCTGGGTTCAATTGTCAGCACCACATAAGCAGAAAAAGCGGAAGTGGCACTGTGGCTCAAGTGGTAGAGCGCTAAACTTGAGCTGAAGAGCTGAGGGACAGGACAGTGCCCAGGCCCCAGAGTTCAAGCCCCATGACTGATAAAAATAAATGAATAAGGGCTGAAGGATTATTATGATAAGGTAAAAAAATTTCACATTAAAAATTTTTGCAGTGTTAGAGATGAACCCAAGACCTTTTACATGCCAGGCAAGCATTCTACCATTGAACTAATAATTGTAGCCTTTCCAATTGTTCTTCTGGTGTTACTGGGCTTTGAACTCATGATTTCTAGGTTGCTATGCAAGCATTATGCCAGACCCACACTTCTAGCCATGTTTTTTGCTGGGTATTTTTAAGATAGGGTGTCTCTTCCTGCTTTTTTCTGGGTATTTTTAAGATAGGGTGTCTCTTCCTGCCTGGGCTCCCCTAGACCCAGTCTACCTATTTTCAGCTTCCTGACGTTGGCCGGGTGACAGTTGCACCCCTGTGATATTAAAGGAAAACAGCATGTTGGTTTGTTACAAAGGAGCCTGGAACTGTGAGTCTTGGGGGTTTTGTTGTTTGTTGTGTTTTTGCAGCTAAAGAGCTGATTAGTAACAAAGCAGGAGCCCACTGGAGGGGTGAGGTGGTGGTCTGGGTAAGGACTGACTGTCATAGTCTCCTTATTAACATTTTTGGTTAGTATCTCTTTCGTGTACACTGATCCTTCAGTGGCTAGGATGAAGGCATGGATACCTGCATAGCCAGTATCCCAGTCCGGGCAAAGAGCCTGTGGCCAGAAATTCCTCTGTGCCTCTAATTATCATATACTTCTCTCCCTTGCAGCTATGTTATGACACCCACGCCTTCCCTTGCCTTAAGTATTTTCTTTTTTTCTTATTTTTGGGGGTCTCCAGTTCTCTGTGTCTGGTTATTTTTTTAACATATACTCAAGAATCATCCATGCTGTGTGTGTGTATCGGTAGTTCATTCCTTTTAATACTTAGCCTACAGTCTCCAGTTGAGTGTTCATAGATTATTTTTATTTGAGCCTGTCAATTTTCTTTGTGAGATTTTTAACTACTAACTCGGAAATTTGTTTTGTTTTTTTAAACTGTTCCAGGGACTTGATCACAGGGGCTGGGCCTGTCCCTGAGGTTTTGTTGTTTTTATTTTCACTCCAGGCTAGTGCTCTACCATTTTGAGCCATAGCTCCACTTCTGGCTTTTTTTGGTAGTTAGTTAGGGATCAGAGTTACACAGACTTTCCTTCCCTGCTTTGAGTGTGGATTCCACATCTCCGCCTCCTGAGTAGTTAGGATTATATGGTATGAGCCACCAGTGCCAAGCTCAGAGGCACAATTTTCTGTTTCTTCAACTTGAGCTTGTTGGTTAGACCAGCCACTTACAATTCTGTGCTGTTGTAGTACCTCACTAAAACTATCACAGAGCTTAAGATCATGTTGTTCTGAGCACCCTCCAGAAACTCTTATCTCACAAAAGCAAGGGCCATCCAGCTGCTGCAGCAGCAGCTAGTCTTCCTTGGGGCTCCAGTAAGCTCGGCTTTACCTGCAGTGAGGTACACCGGGTAGCGCCTGCAGTGGCTGCATCAGCCCAGGTTGCCAGGGCACAGCCACAGGGGAGCTAACTGCAGGTTCAGAGGCTGTTGCTGACACTGAGCCTTGGGCACAGCTCTTTATGCAAGGGGCCCAGTCGGCTGGCAGGGCCATGCGGGAAGTTTGGCTACAGATCCTACACAGCGTCCCAAGCAGGAGGTGCTTGAAAATACAGTGAACTGAGGTCTTCAACTTTGTTAGGCAAGCGTCCGACCACTTGTATCATGTCCTCAGTCCTTGTCGCTTTTGTTACTTTTAAAATAAGAGTCATGTGTTTTTGCCAGGGTTCCCCCCATGTAGCTGGAATAACGAGCATGTGCCGCCACACCCAGTCAGAACCAGTAGAGTGCTGCATGTATTCCTCACAGAAGGTACTCGATGACTTTGATCCTGACAAGACATGTTTGCGGGATTTGTTAAAGTGGGTGTAGAGTAGCCCTTGATCTACAAAACACAGTCCCTGCTCATGAGATATGCTATTTCTAGGTCCTACCTAAATGCCTGGGATATTTAGCAAGATCCATTTCTAGCCCTTGTCTCCATTTAACTCTGCCAACAGCTGCTGTTCTCTGCCAGGCGTTGGAGAATCTTGTCTTGAGTATTTGGCCAAAGACACAAATGCAACCTACACAGATTTCTGGGTCTTATACTTACAACTGCTTTTCTCCAGTATTTTCCTGCAAATTCCAGATGCTTCTACAGCCCTGAACTGTGTGCTGTGTTTGCTTAACTCAGCAAGAGCAATGCTTCCATTTCTCCTTGCTGCAGATTGCAAAAATGTCTCCACAGAGTGCTGGAAGGATGTGGAGTTTTCCTGGAGTCTCCTCACTTAAAGATTGTAACTTCATGCGTCCGTGTCTGGACGCTGCTTTGCTTACTTTTGGTTGTATTCAACCTGGTCAGAGGGCATACTCACATCCAAAACTGCAAGTTAACTTCCATTTAAGTATACTTGAGCTGAATTGCCAAACTAGTAATTTTCTTACTGCTATATGATTAGCATAATTTAGGGTACTCCTCAGTTCATGATAGTATTTTCTTAACTGTCTAACGCCTACGTCAATGCAAACCAAGCTCGGGTCAGTCCGTCAACCTCCTACACTCCGAGTCGTCACAAGAGGAGTTATGAAGATGATGAGGACATGGACCTCCAACCCAATAAGCAAAAAGAGCAGCACCCAGGTGTCAGGCAAGCAGGTAGTATGCGCCAGTGGCTTCCTGTAGCCTTCTCACGGGACATTGGTTTTCACTCTCGACTGTGGAACAGTGCAGTCCTAGATTTAGGAGCTGGTAACGATGTGATGACCTTTCCTTAAGTTTATGAGACTTAGAAACAGTTTGGACTGGGGCTAGGGGTATAGCTCACTGGAAAAGGGCTTGCCTACTAGGCGCAAGGCCCTGGGTTCAGGCCCCAGAACCACAAAAAACATGCAAAGAATGTAGAATCTCAAGTGCCTAGCTACAAAGTATTATCTGTTCATATTTTTTATCCCATCTCTTTAAATAATATAGAAGCATAGCACTTTACACTGAAGTGACTAATTATATCTGAAAACGTCCTTTACATTTTTAAGTCATGGTACCTTATAAGACTAAAAATATCAAGGAAAAACTCAGAATGGTAGTACACTAGATGGATTTTCAAAGATTTATTTATTAAAAAAACAATTGATTCTGATTAAAGCAAAAAGAAAAGTTGAAATTTTTTAAGAACCTAACAGAATTTCAGAATTGCCACGTCATTGATTTCAATCAATTGTTGGTTTGGTTTGGTTTTGTAGTACTGGGGTGTGAACTCCTGAGTTCACACTTGCTAGACAGGTGCTCTACCACTGGAATCATGCCTCTGGCCCTTGTTTTGAGATAGGATCATACTTGTTGCTGTGGCCTATGCCTGGACTGTGATCCTGCTTCACACTTCTTCCCGCAGCTGTGGTGACCAGCGCTCACCACCATGCCCCGCTTCTTCCATTGAAGTATGTTTATGAGTTTGGTTTGTTTTTTGCCTGGACTAGTCTGGAACCTTCACCTCCTGAAATCAGCCTCCCATGTAGCCTCCCATGACGGCTCATGCCTGTAATTACAGCTTTGTGTGTGTGTATGAGAGAGAGAGAGACAGACAGACAGTCCTGAGGCTTGAACTCAGCATGGGAGCTGTCCCTAGGGTTTTATGCTCAAGCCCTAGACCTCTTGAGCCACAGTTCCTTTTCCCACTTTCTGGTGATTCGTTGGAGATAAATGTCTCACGGACTTTCCTGCCTGGGCTGGCTCTGAAACACAATCCAGATGTTGGCCTTCTGAGTAGCAAGAACTATAGGGGTAAGCCACTCAACACCTGGCACAATCACAGCTTTTTTGAGAGGTGAATTTCCTCATGTTAGTAGGTGGATAAATTTGTCTTTCTCTTTATGTGCTGGTTACATCCCCCCCTTTTTGGGGGGGGACGGACAGTGGTCAGTCATGGGGCTTGAACTCAGGGTCTGGATGCTGTCCCTGAGCTCTTCTGGTTTTTGAATGGTTTATTGGAAATAAAAGTCATGGATTTTCCTGCCTGGCCTAGCTTTGAACCACTATCGGATTACAGGCATGAGCACCAGCACCTAGCTGGTCATATCCCTTTATACTTCTTGTTCAGCATGATTCCCTTGACATCCATTCATCCACCCACAGTGCCACACGATGTTAGTAATTTTCTTATTATTGCTGAGTAGGACTCAACGGTAAGGCAGGCTGCATTTTGATCCTAATTAGTTATTAGTTTAGAATTGTAACTACTTCAGGATAGACACTGTTCTTTAACTATCTGTATCTTCCCAGTACTCAGTATGATTCCACACCATGGATTTTAATGAACATTTGGTAAATGAAGTTATTGCTATGTGGCTTCATCATTCTTTAAAGTGCACAAAAAGTACAGTCTGCCCAAAGTGTTCTGTCAGTAGAGCACAGATATGTTAGGTCAAAGATGTCAGAGTAAGCATGTTTAATATTAACTTTTAATAGTACCTGCATAAGATTTGATGGCTGTAATTTGTTGCTGTTTTATAGTAGGAAATGAATGCAAAATTTCAGGTCTGCATTTATCTTTGTTGTGAAATAGGCCCAACGAAGGTAGTAGTGTGTTATTAAAACCATAACAAACTGAACTTTCAGAGCTCAAAACATCATTTGTACCAAACTTTGGGATATATATTTCCTCTAGGAGGCATTAGAAATGGCTAAGTGTAGAGCTAGAGGCATGGCTCAAGTGGTAGAGCCCCTGCCTTGCAAGCCAAGACCAGGACTTCAAACCCCACTACTGCCCCCACCCCCTCCAAAAAAAGAAAAGGAACTTACAAAATGTGATGCTGTCCTTTGAATTTAGGGAGTGTTGGTGGTCTTCAGTGGTGTGGAGAGCCAAAACGTTTAGAAACTGAAGCATCTGCTGGCCAACAGCTGAACTCCTTAAACCTCTCTTCTCCTTTTGATCTGAATTTTCCACTGCCAGGAGAGAAGGGTCCCGCTTGCCTGGTGAAGGTAATAAATCCTTTCATTGTCCTCACATTGAAAGATGCAGTATTAGCTTCAAAACTTAAGTGGGAAACAGTATTTGTATGCGTTCATCTTTGCTATTATAACAAATCACTACAAATTTAGAGGCCTGTGTCAATAAGGCTTTGAGTCAGAAGTCTGGTGTGAGTGTCACTGAGGTAAAATCAGTGGGAAGAAGGCTGTGCTGTCTTTGTGGTGGCTCCAAAGGCGGATTGGGAAAGTATTGTTTCACCTTGTCCAGCCTACTACGTCCTACTTGCAGATGAATAGAAAGAGCTTAAGTATTAAAGTCTTTCCACTAATTAAACGTTATTACCTCTCTTGGTCTCAGTCTATGAAATGTAGTTACTTACTTTACTGTTCATTTCTTTTTTTTTTTTTTTTTTTACTGTTCATTTCTTGATCTAAAGTTCTAAGATACTATTACTATAACTTTAAGACTTAATTTCTTGTTTGGGTTTTTTTTCATGTCAGTACTAATGTGATTTTGTGTCTATGCTTGTTAGGTCTATGAAGATTGGGATTGTTTCAAAGTAAATGATGTTCTTGAATTATATGGCATATTGTCCGTAGATCCAGTGCTAAGTATACTGAACAATGATGAAAGGTGAGTTCATTCGGTCTCTTCCCCTTCAGTAGTGCGGTTTGAACTTAGTGCCTTGAATTTACTTGTCTGGTACTCTACAATTTGAGCCATACCTCTAGCCCAGATTTTTGCTTGCTATTTTGGAAATGGAGTCCTGAAGAATCTTCTGCCCATGCTGGCTTTGAACCTTGATCTTCTGGATCTCAACCTCCTGGGAAGCTAGTATTACAAGTATGAACTCCTGGTACCTGGCTTTGGTCACTTTTTATTTAATTTTACACTTTCAGAAAAGTGTCAGGATAGTTATAAAGAGCTCCTTTCCCTTTCATCAGATTTTTCAATTGTTACTACTCTTGCCAGTGTGCTTTGTTATTCACTTACCCTGTTTATGTACACCCAAAATCTATCCCTGGTGCTTACTATCTCCTTTAGACTTGTCTTACTATGTAGCTGAGGCTGGCCTCAACCCTGTGATCCTGCTGCTTCAACCTCCTGAGTGCTGGAATTACAGGGAGCACCACTATATTCAGCTCTTACACACACTTCTCCAAAACACTTGACAGTTACTGAAATACCAAACCCTTTTATCCCTCAGTACTTGAACTAATGTTTCCTGAGAACAGAGATTTTCATATGTAATCAGAACACAAGTATCTAAGTTAGGATATTTCCCATACGTACATGGTACACTCATCCTACACCGTTCTTGAGTTCACTAATTGTCTCAGTCATGTTCTTTGCTGTATTTACTATCTTGATCCAGGATCCGTGTGGCTCGTTGCACTGAAGTGAAGCTGACCTCAGCCTTTCTTTGGCCTTCATGGTTTTGATATTATTGCTATTATTTCTTTTTTCCTCTTCCCTTCATCTTTCTCCTGCTCCTTCCTTCTTCCTCTTTCCTCCTTTTTTCTTTCCTCTTTCTCTTTTCTTGTTATTTTCCTTTTTTCCTTCATTAATTTCAGGCTTAAATTTTCCCAGATTGAGCAAGTAAAAGACTTCTTTTTTTTTTTTTTTTGGTCAGTCATGGGGCTTGAACTCTGGGTCTGGGTGCTGTCCCTCAGCTCTTCAATTCCAGGTGAGCGCTCTACCACTTGAGCCACAGCGCCACTTCCGGTTTTTGAGTGGTTTATTGGAGATAAGAGTCTCATGGACTTTCCCTGCCCGGGCTGTCTTTGAACTTCAGATCCTCAGATCTCAGCCTCCTGAGTAGCCAGGATTACAGACGTGAGCCACCAGCGCCCAGTGTAAAAGACACTTTATAGATAGGTTCTATGTCCTGAGAAAAATGACCATGTCTTTTTTTTTTTTTTTGGTCATTGGAACTCTGGGCCTGGCGCTGTCCCTCAGCTCTTCAGCTCAAGGCGAGTGCTCTACCACTTGGGCCACAGCACCATTTCCAGCTTTTTTTCTGCTTATGTGGTGCTGAGGAATCAAACCCAGGGCCTCGTGCATGTAAGGCAAGCGCTCTACCACCGAGCCACCTTCCAGCCCTGACCATGTCATTTTATCATTTATGTTCTGGCACATTAAGCTATTTACACATTCCAGACTCCAATCACAATGGCAACTTCTCCTCCCTCCCCCCAAGGAGGAGGAATTCCATTCAGAAATCAAGACCCATAGACACACGTTGTATATATAAGAAATAACTGAGACAGTAAGCTTATAAATAAAACAATTTTTAGACTCGCAAGTTAGAGATTCTTTTTGATATCCATTGGTGCTTTTCTGTGGGCAGTGGAGAGGCAGTGCATCGCGTTGGGGGATGCGTGGCAGTGGAGCATGCTGCCACATGGCTCAGGCGTGAGCGAGAGGGCAAGGAAGAGCCGGCTCCCGTGGGCATCTGTGAGTGAGAATCTGCGAGCACAGATAGCTCCTCGCTTGACTTCTTCTAAGTTTGCTTTCAGCGACGCATATTATTTCACATCCTTGCTGTGGACATCTCACCCGGCGTGTGCGTCTCCCCACAGGGACGCCTCTGCACTGCCGGACCCCATGGAGTGCACCGACACAGCGCAGGAGCAGAGGGTCCACAGTCCTCCCGCTTCCTTGGTGCCAAGAATTCATGTAATTTTAGCCCAGAAACTGCAGCACATCAATCCATTGTTACCCACTTGCCTTAACAAAGAGGAGAGCAGAACCTGTAAGTGTAAGTGTTAACGTCTGCTGAGCCACAGACGAACCTCGTGTCCGGATCTGCCTGTGGCTGGCGCCCGTAGTGGCACCGAGGCGGCTCCTCATTTGTCAGAATTCAGTTGTGCAGTCTTTCTGTAGCTTTGCTTCATGTTCCTCTTCTGTTAATTCTCTTCATAGAAATAGCCCCACCCCCGTAAGAACCGACCTACGGGCTACCTTGGTTTTGCTTATGTGCGTCTTCTAAGTTCTTAGTAGTCGCACAGTTGTTTTCGCACCAGGGTGCTGGCACGTGCATTCAGAGTTGGTTCTCCCTTCCTCCTGCAGTCGTGTCAAGTTTCATGTCCGAGTTGTCCCCAGTCAGAGCAGAGCTGCTTGGGTTCCTCACACACGCGCTTTTGGGAGACAGTTTGGCTGCCGAGTACCTTATCCTACATCTCATCTCCACAGTGTAAGTGTTGGATTGCTTGTGGGAAATAAGGGAGTTTGCTGTGGTGTAGAAAGTGGGAAAGCAAAGGAAGATTGCTGGTGTCATATTTGTGTTCTAGTTTATCAGGATTCATCAAGTGGGTTTGTTGTTCACTGTAACAAGTATTAAACCAAATCACAAATATCCCCTCTCCACCTTTTCTCCATCTCACATAATGTACCTTCAGTAAATGTTTGAGCTAAAATAGGATAAACGACCTGACTGATGAGTAGAATGAGTTATTTTATCCTTTTTGCATTCTTCCCTTCCCCTACTTTTTGTGGAGCTGGGGATTGAACCAGGACCTTGCTCACTGCTCTGCAAATAGTGCTCAACCCCCTGAGCCACATCCCCAAATCAGTTTGCATTCTGATCTCTGTTTATGTATCCTATGGCTCTGCTTCTGAAAACACTCAATGAAGCGTGTCACATGCACATTTAATCTGTAGGTTAACATTAGCCCCTTACCCTGTGACTTCAGCATAGTTCTTTTGTTTTCTGACTTCAAAAGTAATGTGCTCTTTCCACAAGTCCCAAGAACACAGGAAGGAAACAGCAATTATCCTTGTAACCTCCTACAGAGAATCTTGGGTACCCTTGTACTTGTTCATGTTCTTTTATTTCCACGGCAATTCTCTGTATATTCATGTAGTATCAGCTATACTGTAAGCACAGAGCCATGTCTTTTAAGCATTTAATAGATACTAAACATTTGCCCATAATTCCTCATGAGCTTTTTGGTGGCAGCACATGGTTTCATTATACAGTCGTACCATATGTAGCCATTTCCATAAATACTAGTTCTTCCTAGTTCTTATATATAGTAAATACCATTGCAGCTATATTTATGTTATTTTTCCTTGGATGACGATCTGAGACAGTAGTATATCATAGTTAATACAGCCTTGAATCCAAGCTCTATCATTTTCCAGCTTATTGGATGGTGACAGGTTCAGCACCTCTCATTGAAAACCTGAAATTCTCTTAAATCTAAAGATTTTTTGATTGCCAACACACTGCTCAGTTTCAGACTGGATCACTACAGATTTTAGGTTTCAGATTAGGGCTGCTTACTGAGTAGTCTGCACTTTCCAGACCTGAACTACTCATGGTCTCCAGCACTTTGGGTAACTGTGACTCCAGTTATACTTAGCTCTTAGGCTCAGATTCCCAGCTGTGAAACAAAGTAATCAGGCCCCACCTCTGGATGTTTGGAGATTGACAAAGCACATGAATGTTCAGAAGAGTCCTGGCATGGGATCAGTACTGAAGAGAGAAGGGTTGGCTACTATTTTAACTGCTATTATTCTGGTAGATAAAATGACTAGCCCCAGAGGATTCTGCTACATTTTTTAATGACAGTATTCTATTTGCCTTTTGGTGGAAACCAGGAAATCACTTTAGGTTCTTATTTTTTATTTCTTTTTTTTCCCCCTAGATACACAAGAAGAGATGTTCTTCCACTAGGAAAATTTACAGTTAACTTGAGTGGTTGCCCACGGAATAGTACCTTCACAGAACACTTATATCGAATTATTCAACATCTTGTTCCAGCAGTAAGATGAATATAAATACATACTATAAACCTGAGTTCACAATGAATGCATCTAATTGTCTTCACCCAGCCCAAATACTTTGAGATTTGAATAGATTTCATTTATTGGGAAACCAAGCCTGTTGACTTATATAATTAAAAATGTATTCTTAGTCAGGCACTGGTGGCTCACATCTGTCAGGAGGCTGAAACCTGTAAGATTGTGGTTCAAAGCCAGCCAGAGCAGGAAAGTCTATGAGACTTTTATCTCCAATTATCCACCAGAAAACTGGAAGTGGAGCTGTGGCTCAAAGTGGTAGCTATAGCCTTAAGTACAAAAGCTCAGGGACAGCACCTAGACCTAAGTTCAAGCCCCACAACTGACCAAAAAAAAAAAAAAAAAAAAAGTATTCTTTCCTAAACACATCCCATTTGTTGCCTTAGCACCAATTTGTTATGTCTAACAGTTCACACAGTTGCAGTAACTCCCTTAAAACTGTACTTTTGAGCCTGTTTGTTCAATTTGGTGTCCTGTGTAGGCACTAAAAATCTTAAACCCAAACAAGCTGTAAATTGCAGTAGCCTGATTCTCTTAGCTGAGGTGATGAGCATCTCTGTCGCCACTACCCCAGCTTTGATTTCTGTTGCAGAGTTGAGCCCAGCTCATTTACAAAGGGCACCTGGAATGTAGTATTATGAGCAGGGAATCTTGGGACTAGGAGAATTGTTTGATAAGTTGAGTGACTGCAAACACTGATTACTTCTTCCTTTGGGAACTAAAGAGGTTGAGCCAATTATTGGAGGATCTCTGGGTATCAGTCCCCGCCCCGCCCCCCCACCCAGGCCACAGGAGAGTCCACACAGATAAGCCCTCTCAGGACTTACACCTGTTTTAATTCATTAATCTCCCATACTAGAAGTTACCATGGAGATACGTTGAATAAAATAAATCAGTTGCTGTAAGCCTTAAGTATTTTTAATAATGATAACTTGCCCCAAATTAAAAAACAAATGTAATGGTAAAAGTGGCATGGTTTTACATTGTTGCAAATCTCCTTAAGGTCTAGATTAATAGGAGTCCCCTAGATTTTCATGTCTATTTCCAGATTTGGTCTTGTTGTGATGTGACATTTTGATCAAGAGTAGTTGAAGTGTAGAATCTGAAAGCTGTGGTTTTGCTTTTTTTTCATTTCATGGACCCCATCAAAGGGTCTCAGCTCTTCCCTGGGTCTGTACCGACTTTTGTGAATTACTGAAGTAGTCAGATCCTTTGCCCTCACAGAGATAAAGCGCCAGGGAAGGGGTGGAGTCCTGGCAGTGAAGGGGCATGACCCGCAGGATGACGTGGTATCCCAGAAGGCCCAGTTCATGTGACCAGAGCTTGGGCAGCGGAAGGTGGGGTCAGAGGCCATAGAGGCCTTAGCTGCAAGCCAAGAGCGCTAACCCACAGGATAGGATCACATTTCCCCGGAGTAAGAGTTCTCTGAGGAAGGGATCTAAAAGTGACAGCCTGGAGCACGGTGACTCTCCATTACTTTCTGGGCTTTTTTATTTTCCCACCTCCCTCCGTTCTTGCATGTCACTCTTGTGTTTAAGTCTAGCTAGCTCTGTGAGCCTTGCACACTTCTACTGGAATGTCTCGTTTTCATAAAAGACTCAGTGCAAGTGACCTCCCTGTGCGTCTGTGGCAGAGCTGACCCGAGTCCCTGCGCTTCCTTCAGGGCTCAGATTTGTATCTGTAATGTCCCCTCCCCTGAAGTATGAAAATCTTCTAAATTTTGGAGATATGTCTTACCCCTTTGTCAACCGCTTTCCCCCTGCCCTTTCTGGGATGGAGCTCAGGGAGGAGAAGGCCTAGAGCAGGGTGGAGGGCCCAGGAGGGCGCAGTGGCCGTGGCGTGGCAGGTTCCCTGCCCTGATGGACTGGCGGCTCTGGTGACTGATCTGCAGCACTGAGTAGGCACGGTGCTCCCTGACTGTTCTTTCAGTACTTCATGCAAAACCCTCTGCAGTGGCAGGGATGAATGAGGATGGCTTTGATTCAGAGACTGTAGTGAAACATGACACCGTTGAGCCTTTCCATCTCAATGAAGAAAAGAACCATTTTATTTTCTGCTTTGCTGGCTTGTGTTAGGTTTAAAAAGTTAAACTTCTGGATACTTGGTATATATGTCAATTGGCTGCTACTCATTTCATTGGCAAAATAAAAGTCATTCTCTAGGAGGACTGTGACACATTAGTGTTGGGACAGCTCATAGATGACCGAGGCTGTAATGTGAATATAGTACCTTGCTCCTAAGAGTAGCAGAAACTGTCTCATTACTTAGAAATGTACAAAATCCTTTTTTTCCTATGTGAAACAAAGTGTTTGAACTCCAAATGTGTATTTTCTTAAAGCAGAAAACTTAGATCCTTGCTTATTAAAAATCTTCTCCTTTAGTCTTTTCGTCTCCAGATGACCATAGAGAACATGAACCATTTGAAATTCATTCCCCACAAAGACTATACAGCCAATCGCCTGGTCAGTGGCCTGCTGCAGCTGCCCAACAACACGTCCTTGGTCATCGATGAAACGCTTCTAGAACAGGGCCAGCTGGACACCCCAGGTGCGCATGTGGAGCCTGCCCCTGTCCTCAGGGCCCTCTGAAGCCAGATCTGCCAGTCACTGGTTAGAAGGGTATCGGTGGACAAAGACCAGTTCAACTTAACAAATACGCAAAAGTTTGGCCTATGCATTTGGCTAAAGCAGATAATACAAGCTGGCTGGGTGCACACCTGTGTGCTACCATGGTTTCGTGAGCACAGTAGCGCGCGGAGCATTGCAGGCTGAAGTGAGAGAAAGGTTTGCTTAGTTGCTTGTCACCTCAGAGCTTTCATCAAACACTTTCAGAATTCAGGGGGAAAAAACAATTTGATCGGTAAGGGGGGCTGAGTGGCCTGGTGGAGCATGTTCCTAACGTTATAAGGAAGCGGAGTTCTATATCCATGTTGAGACACTGAAGTAGACAAAATGATACTGTGGACTGGGTACTTTGAAGGCAAATGTGAATAGAAAATCAGTAAAACCAGCAACCTTCCGTGTTTAGAAGGAACCCTCTTGCATTGTCATAGCCTCTCACCACACTCTCTAGGTAGAAATTAGACTTTTGGGGCCCCATTTTGCATCTAGCAGCATGTCAGACTTCCAAGCACAGATTAGGGGAAGGTGTAGCTCTCCTCACACTGAATCAGTCAAGGCATAAGTGGCACCTTGTCATTGATGTCAGCAGAGCTGGTTGTTGGTGATGACTCAGTCAGTGAAATTGCATTCTTGCTTTCCCAGGTGTTCACAACGTTACTGCCCTGAGCAACCTGATCACGTGGCAGAAAGTGGATTATGACTTCAGTTACCACCAGATGGAGTTCCCCTGCAGCATCAATGTTCTCATCACCTCCGAGGGGCGGTCTCTGCTCCCGGTACGCTGCCTGTGCACAGAGAGAGAGAGAGAGAGTGTGTGTGTGTGGTTGTTTTTGTTTTGTTTTTGTAAGTCGTGGGACCTGAACTCTGGGCCTGGGCGTTGCCCCTCAGCTCTTCAGCTCAAGACTAGCGCTCTATCACTTGAGCCACAGCACTACTTCCAGCTTTTTCTGTTTATGTGGTGCTGAGGAATCGAACCCAGGACCTCATGCATGCAAGGCAAGCACTCTACCACTGAGCCACTTTCCCAGCCCTCGCTGTGTCAGTTTTAAGTGGAGGAGGTTGTGTCTGGAAAGATGGCCACATTTTGTGCTTATTATCCATAATTTGCCTGTAAGAAATTGTGGCTTAGCTGAGCCATAGCAGCACGTGCCTGCCGTCCCAGCTGCTGCAGAGGCTGTGGGGAAAGGCTGTGACTTCCAGCCCAGACTGAGCAATATAGAATGTGTCCATCTCACCAAGGAGAAAAACCAAACAACCACCTGAGAGCACAGGTAGCTTGTGAGAGAACATTTGCCTAGCAAGCTCGAGTCCCTAGGTTCAGTCCCCAGCACTGTAAAATTAAGGGTGGGAGGCGAGGTAAATAAATTGTGGCTGCTGATTACTAATAAGGGAAACAATGATCTCATTCCACCTTGAGCTGAAAACCTCTGTGAGGACCCAGGGCTGTTTGCAGCATTCCCCACAGAGGAGTGCAACAGCTGGATGCCGGATGGACACCCCGCTTGCCGTCCTTGCTGCTCTCCCTCTGAGCTGCCAGGCTTCGATCTCAGCCTCTTGAGTAACTACGATTACAGTGTGTGCTGCCTACTCTTGGGCTACCAGTGCCCGGTCTCTTTGCCAGTCTTAAGAGTTCCTTCAAAATAGTCTTTACTTTGTAATCAGCCTTATTGTTGTTAACATTATGAGAGAGAGAGAGAGAGAAGTGCTCTGGTCTTCAGGGTGGCTGATTAAGAGCTGATAATTCAAGCCACCCATGATGCTACATGTCTGTATTCCCAGATCTCAAACAGAGCCATGAGGATCTTGTTTTGAGGCCAGCCCAAGCAAAAAATTAGTGAGACCTCATTTCAGCCAGTAAGCTGGCCAGAGCTGGCCTGTAGTCCAGCTACTCAAGGCAGGAACATCACAGAGGCCCACCCAGACATAAACAAAACCTGATCTGAAAAATGAGAGCTGTTGATTCTGAGGAAGGTAAACACTCCCAGGACTTGGAAAGTGTGCAGTTTCTTTGTAGCAATGTACAGTGGATAAGAATCTTTGAGAATGAAATTGCTTGCTGTTAAGTTGTCTGGGAAAACAGGATATCCGGTTTCATGAACTGCCTTTTAGTGATTGGCTACTTTTTTATGTTCGCTAAAACCACAGAGGAAACATTACAAATGACCAACAAAACGCTGATTTTTGTAACTATTGCTGTAGTAGTTATAGTGTGCAAATGAATATTAAAACTTGTTCCTGGCTAGCCAGAGAGGCTCACAACTGTAATCCTAGCTACTCAGGTAGGGAACTTTGGGAAGATTGGCGTTTGAGACCAGTCTAGGCAGAGTTTGTGAGATCCTCATCTCAGTCGATTAAAAGCTGGTACGGCAGTACATCTCTGTATACCAGGTAAATGGGAGGCATAAATAGAATTGTGGGCCTAAGCAAAAAGTGAGACCCTGTTTGAAAAATAACAAGTATAAAGGACTGAAGGCCTGACTCAAGTGGTGCATTGCCTGCCAAGCAAAGCCCTGAGTTCAAATCCCAGTACCAAAAAAATAACAACCAGCTCTCATTCCCACCCCCTCACATGAAATTTTTCATTGCCAGATTAACACAATCTGAGTGGACATAGTGTAGTTTACAAGGGGCGGGGGAGGAGCATGCAAGCATGTGAGTGTGGGAAGGAGTGTGCGCTGTTTCTCTTTCCAGGCAGACTGCCAGATGCACTTACAGCCTCAGCTGATGCCACCCAACATGGAGGAGTACATGAACAGCCTTCTCTCGGCGGTGCTGCCGTCCATGCTGAACAAGTTCCGCATCTACCTGACCCTGCTGAGATTCCTGGACTACAGCATATCGGATGAAATCACCAAGGTACACTGAGCTGAGGGCATGCGCATGCTCCCTGTGCAGAGCGGCCGTGTCCAGCATTTACTGCGCCTTGCTTTCCCTGTGCTTGCCTAGACCTCTGTTGTGTGCTGGAAATAGACATTGCCTGGCATCCCGTTTTCACTCCCTGAAAGTTTTGTTTTTGTTTTTGCTTTTTGGTTTTTTTGCTATGCTGGGGTCCAACTCCAGGCCCTGTGCATCCAAGGGGAGGGTTCTAGTACTGAGCTGGTCCCTGCCTCTCTTCTGGAAGTTTCTGTTCCAATACATTTTAGTTTGTTTGGGGTTTTTTTTAGCCATTGGCTTGGGATTTAAAATGATACATCTTAACTATATAATAATCTAAGACTAATAACCATTTTAATAATATACCATAATATACAAAATATATAATAATACATATATAAAATATATAATAACAATATACAAAACATTACTCCTGTAGGGACTTCCAGCTATGGGCCTGTCCTTTTTACTTTCAATAAGCTTGCATCTGCTTTAGACACTAAAAATAAGTCCTTTTGCTCCTTTATAATTTCACTCTTCTTTGTTACTTGCATATAGATTATTCTTGCCGATGCATTCCCCACAATACATAAGTGATGCCTTAGGCAGTTGGTTTTCAAATAAGAGGAAGAGGTTCTAAACAAATAAAAGCTGGGTTCAGGTTCACACCTGGAATGTTACTTAGAAGGCAGGGATCAATGGGGAAGACGAGGCTCAAAAGGCAGAAAAGTTCAGGAGGTCCTTCTCTGTAACTGGGTCCTGGGCACAGCGGAATGTGTCATTCTTCTTAGATGTGTGGGAGGCTGAGAACAAGAGGATTGTGGTTCCAGGCTAGCCCAAGCAGAGACATTGAGACTCTTATCTCAATGGAAAGAGCTGGGCATGATGATGGTGTATACCTGTCAGCCCAGCTAGGACAGGGAGTGGAAACTACAAGAATCTTCAGCCCAGTCATATTCAAAGCAAGACTATCTCAAAAACCACCAATGTAAGCCGGGCTCCAGTGGTTCACACTTGTAATGCTGGTTACTGGAGAGGCTGAGATCTCAGGGTTGTGGTTCAAAGCCAACCCAGGCAGCAAAGTCCATGAAACTCTTATCTCCAAAGAACCACCAGAAAATCAGAAGTAGTGCTGTGGCTTAGTGGTAGGGTGCTAACCTTGAGCAAAAGAGCTCAAGGACAGGGCCCAGGCCAGCAATCAATCAATAAATAACCAATGCAAAAAAGTCCTGAAGGCATGGCTCACCAGTAATGCCTGTAGAGCAAACTCAGGGCTCTGAGTTCAACCCAGGTACCACCAAAAATAAAAACTTTTTTATTGATGTTCTTTATCTTCATGTGGGTTTACCTCACTGCCTGACTAATGTGTTTTCATTTCAGACCAAAGACTTTTTGTTTCTTGAAGACATGTCTGCTCAGGCAGCTTTTCTTTATCTTTTTACTAACCTCAGATTATTAATTTCTTCTTAAGGCTAGTTTTGTTTTTGTTTTGTTTTTGTCCATTGTGAGGCTTGAACTTTGGGCCTGGGTGCTGTCCCTGAGCTCTTCAGCTCAAGGGTAGCGCTCTACCTGTTGAGCCACAGCATCACTTCTGGCTTTTTCTGCTTATGTGGTGCTGAGGAATCGAACCCAGGGCCCCCTGCATGCAAAGCAAGCACTCTACCACCGAGCCACTAGTTTTGCCAATGTAGATTTTCACCTTCAAATGTCTTCCTGCCTTCTGGCCTGCTTCTTTCAATATTCATTCATTCTCTTATCTGTCTGCCTGTCTGTATATATTTTTGTATGTCTATTCCTATGTCTGTCTGTCCGTCCAGCTTTCTGTCTAGTGCTGGCCTCACACATTAGGTAAGCACTTCACCCTCCTCCCAGCTTTTGATATTCTCTATCAAACATTGTTCCCCCCTTTTTCCTTCAGTTTTTAAATGATAGTTCTTCTTATCCAAGAGTCCCTCCTAAGACCCAAGGCTTCCTGTTTCATTGTAGATTTCTTGAAGGTTCTAGGATTCGAATTCAGGGCCCCAGCTTCCTAGGCAGGCATTCCACCATCTGAGCCCAGCTTTGCTTCAGTCGTTTTTCAGCTCGGGTCTCCTTTAGCTGCCATCTGCCCAGTCTCCCCTTCACCTGTGCCTCCCGCGAGGCTGCGATTAGGCTCTGCCATGTCCAGCTAGTTGTGGGATAGACAGGGTCTCACAGCTCTTCTTGCCTACTCTAGCTTCACTTTACCTGGGATCCTTGATCTTCTGTATGGCTGGGTTACAGGTGTGAGCCGTTCTTCTGGCTCTCTTGGTGTGGATTTGAGTTTATCCTACTTGAAGTTTGTTGAGCTGTTTGGTATGAACCTTAATGTACATTTGGGGGTGAAATGTTTGACAATTCTGCCTAGTCTGGGGTCATTGTTTCTTTAAACTTTTTCTTTTGGTCAGTCATGGGGCTTGAACTCTGGGCCTGGGCGCTGTCCCTCAGCTCTTCAGCTCAAGGCTAGTGCTCTACCGCTTGAGCCACAGCACCACTTCCGGCCGGCCTTTTCTATTTATGTGGTGCTGAGGAATCGAACTCAAGGTCTCATGCATGCAAGGCAAGCACTCTACCACTGAGCCACCTTCCCAGCCCCATATTTCTTTAAACTTCTGACTCCTTCCCCCGCACACACACTCCTCTGGCGCAGTCACCGTGTGCATGACGGCACTGTGGCTGGTATGTAGGGTCTTCAGGGCTACATTCTTTTCTGTTTTCATTCTATTCCACAGGCCATATCATCTCAGTCAACACATTATGATGTTGTTCACTGATTCTTATGCCTGTTCACTCAATCACCTGAACTCCTCTAGTTTTTCTTTTTTAAATTAGATTGTTTTTGTTTCTTTTGTCTTCTACATATATTAACTCCAGAATTTGCTCCATTTTTAAAACGTTTTTCTTTTTTATCCATAGCTATTTCATGAAACTGTTCTCATGTGTTCCTTTTCTTTTGGATAGTACTAGGGTGTTGGTGCAGGGTTTTGCCCATTCTAGGTAAGCCCGGCACTGTGCATCTCCATCCCCGCCCTGCTGGCCATCTCAGTAGTTTGTCACTTGTTGCCGCTAGTGTCTCAGGCAGCCCAGGAGATGAAGCAGCTGCTCGCGTGGCAGGCTGCAAATCAAGGCACAGCAGCATTGCAGCAGGGTCCTTCCAGGCCACGCTGTGCCTTCTCCATGATGGCCCGGCGCGGTGCTTTCCAAAGCTGTCGCTGCAGGGTAAGGGCAGACTAAATAGAGCGAGGAAACTGTCACAAAGCTCACCACAAAAACCACCTGTTTCTCTTGTCTAAGTGCTCCTCAGATTATAGCAAGCATCTCGCTCACTTCAAGGTTTAAGAGGCAAGGCTAATACCCTCTATTTTATTTGTTGATGGTACTGGAGTTTGAATTCAAGCTAATTGGGCAGTGCCCCTCCCACATTTCCAACCCTGTTTCCTTCTAGTGGTCTTTTTGACGATAACTGACGTTTAAACTCAAGGCCTCACTCTTGCTAGGCTGGAGCTCTACCACTTGAACCAGCATTCGACTGGCCAATTGGAGATGGAGCCTCACACTTCTCTGCTTGGGCTGGCTCCAAACCAAGAGCTTCCAGGTGTCAGCCTCCTGAATAGCTAGGATGACAGCAGTGAGCCACTGGTGCTCAGCCAGCCCAGCTTTTGGCTGGTTATTTTGGAGATGGAATCACTTTTCCAGTGCTGGCTGGCTGGCTTTGAACCATATTATTTATTTTTGAGATAAGGTCTGACTTTTGCCTAGGCTACCATCTGCCTATATTTAGGCTTCCTGTCATAGTTAAGATAAATAACCAGCACTCAACCACTGTGTCCAGTTCTTGGTTGAGAAGTCTCAGTAACTTTCTGCTTGGGATGACCTAGAAACATAGTGCTCCCCATTTCTGCCTCCCAGATAGCTAGCATTACATGTGACCCTCAGTGCCCAGCTCTGACATACATTTTTCCCCCCTGGGTCCTGGAGCTTAAATTTTGAGCCTGGGCTGCTGTCCCTGAGCTGCTTTTTACTCAAGGCTAGTGTTTTACCACCTGAGCCACAGCTCCACTTCTAGCTTTTTTGCTACTTTATTAGAGATAAGAGTCTTACAGATTTTCCTGCCAGTGCTGGCTTCAAACCATGATCCTCAGATCTCACCCTCTGGCTTTTTTTTTTTTTTTTTTAACCAGAACTTGAAGTTACGGCCTCCTCTTGGTCTCTTTTGGCTTTTTCACATACAGCTGGCGTGTCCTCTTGAGCCATACCTCCAGTCCTAGCTTTTTTGCTGGTTAATGGGAGATAAGAGCTTATACATCGTGTGTTCAGGCTGGCTTCAAACCACCATCAGACTTCAGCCTTCTGAGTTGAGCTCACAGACATGAGCAGTAACTGGCACTCAGTCAGTATTCTCAGTTTTTCATTAACCAAAGGATCATGTTTCTTTTTCCTTAGAAAACCAAGGAACTGCCAGTGGCTCACACTTGTAATCCTAGCTACTCGGGAGGCCAAGATCTAAGGATTGTAGTTCAAAGCCAGCTCAGGCAAGGAAAGTCCGTGAGACTCTTCTCTCCAATTAACCACCAGAAAACCAGAAGTGGCGCTGTGGCTCAAGTGGTAGAACACTCGCCTTGAGCTGAAGAGCTCGGGGACAGTGTCCGGGCCCAGAGTTCAAGCCCCACGACCAAAAAAGAAACAAAAAGAAAATCAAGGAATTAATTTAAGAATATTTAAGGAAAGGTGGGAAGTAGTTGAGGAAGGAGGGAAGGGATGGTAGGGGAAAAACAAAGGAGGAGGCAGCAATGCTTGATAAGAAATGTACTCATTACCTTGCTCATTTAACTGTAACCCCTCTGTACAGTATTTTCACAATAAAAACCTTAATTAAAAAAAAGAATTATTTCAGTTTTAAAGGAATCTTTCAAAGTGCATTTGTTCTTTTGATAAAGGCAGTGGAGGATGACTTCGTGGAAATGCGGAAGAACGACCCTCAGAGCATCACCGCGGACGACCTCCACCAGCTGCTCGTGGTAGCACGGTAAGTCCTGCGTGTTTGGAATGGCTGGTTTGAGAAACTGTGCATTATATTTCATTTATTTATGTGTCAAACACTGAAGCTGACTTCTAAAAACCAAAAGGATTTTTCTTTAAAAAGCAGCTTCTGAAAGGGCGCAGAGGAGGAGTTGAGTTAGGCTGATGCCCTTGTCAGCAGAACGGACATGCGGCCTGTCCCCGAGCCTCCCCTCCGCGAGCCACTCTCCACTTGAAATTCGGAGGGACTCCTGAAGAAATCTTAGCTTAGCTTTGAAATGTTGCAGCTACCAGATGTTCTTGTTTCCCAGTCTGACCTGTTTTCACAGTGTCCCTGGGTCTTCGGTGTTTGAAGGCACTAGCCTGGCTCTACACTTAAATTTGTTTGTTTCAAACCAGGTTTCTGTCCCTCAGTGCTGGTCAGACAACACTGTCAAGAGAGCGGTGGCTCAGAGCAAAGCAGCTGGAGTCTTTAAGAAGAAACAGGCTGCAGCAGCAGAAGTGTGTGAATGGGAATGAACTGTGAAGTCCTGAGTGACGTCGTTTATACCACATTGTTTTATAGACAATTTGTATAAAAACAATTGACTTTTCCTGAAATCAAGCCTGGTAACACCTGATGTTTATATGATACTCAGTAAGGGCTTTTCCCTTACTGATTTTATGGAGCTTTTGAAGTTTGTTTTATAACTATACAAATTAGTAATGATGTACAAAATTGTATTTGATATTAAAGGTTTAATGTTGATTAAGGTTGCTGGCTATAGCATTTCCTTAACTGCAGCTAAGTCCCACAGGCCAGACTGTTGGTATGCCAGTACAACTTCATTTAAACAGAACTGTTGCCATTTCAAAGTTGGAGAAATTGTGCACTTCATAATCCTAGTTCATATTTCTTTCCAGTAATTCTCAGTGGGCCTGAGCATGTGCAGTAGTCTTAAGTATGGCAAGTGAAGTGCGCTTACCATTGATTCACCTGTGAATCCTTCAGTATTTCCTCAAATACTTGGCCACAGAAACTTTTATCCACTTAACAGCGGTTAACATGCCTGGAAAACTAGCCTTTTACACGGAAGTGGCTCCTGCACTTTGATTTTACAGGTAATACTTCCAGAAATTCTTAGGATTACCCATTAATTCTTTCCAGGTGATCTGAAAGATCTGAAAGAAATAACTGTTATTACTGTTTTTTTTCTTCATAAAAGGATAAGATTCCTTTATGTGGAATAAATGAAGCTATCATTTTTCTCATGCCTTCAGCACATTTGGGAACATTTGTTTATGAGACAGAAGGGAATGCTTGCTCATCTATGACAGTTTGCCCAAATATGAAAAGACCAAACAGTAAACTAAACACAAAGTTTCTTTTGGGGTTCTGGGGACTGAAGCCAGGTCTTCTTGAACATGCTAGGCAAGTGCTACATTCCCAGCCTAGGAAAAAAGATTTTTAATTATTTTCTTTACAAATGTTATTTACTTGGCTTTGATGATTATATTGGACTTAAAACTTTCTAGTTTATCAGTTCCAAACGTGTTAGATCAGTTAACATCTGCTACTCCAGTAAATTCTAAAACAAGTGCTTTTTCCCCAGACAAATTTGTTTCAATACACAAATTTTTACGTGAATAAAAAGTACCATTACTTATAGGAAAGAAAGCAAACTACTACAGTAATATAATTGTGGCAACAGAATGTTCAGGAAGATGAGAACGTGACTTTTTAAAATTTCTTTTAGTAACTCTCACAGCTGGAAACATTAAATGATTCCTTATTGTGTTTTTCCTATAAGGAAGGCATTGACATTGTTAACACCAAGGAAACAGGGTCAGCCTTGAAAAATCAAGGAATCATGCTTAATGAAGGGAAGTAAAAATTACTAGCTCACCATTCTTTTCCTAAATTCAAAGCTATTTTTATAAACTAATGTAAATAATGTTTATATTAGGATTTAACTTTTTCATTTTTATTACTGGTAGACAACCCATCCTTACACTTTTAGAAATATAAAATGCTAAACTGGATTTGTGAGAATAAGATGTATTTCCTTTGTTCTAAAACAGGTAATTAGTTACCACGTGTCTAACTGTGCCAATGTAAATTGTAATGTACCAAAGAAATCATAATTTTGCTTGGTCTTTCTTACAGAAAAGTTCCGTTGAACCCTCTTTCCTGTAAATAAAACTTCCCAAGTTACCAGTACTGTGGGCTGTTTTTCCTGAATTACAAGGTGCAGCCTCCTATGTGATCCTCTATGTTGGAAAGCTCTGTCTGTATTCTGTTGGAAAACTTACCAGGCGTGGGCAGGGGCACAGGACAATGCTAAGATTGACGGCAAGATGTCAGTCCTGCTGAATAAACATTTGTAGATCCCTGCTTGGAAATAAGCATTGCCTTAAAACAACTTTAACTTTGAAAAACCTTTGTAACTCATGTCCATGGAACGTAAACATGCATAGTTCTTGCTGACTTTGGCTTCTATTTTTGTGTGTGTGTTGTGGAACCCAGCCTATTTCCAACACCCAGATGAAAAGTTGATCAGAACAGAATAAAGCATTCAGTTTTTAATGTTTGGGATTCAGAATTTGGTTTGTGATTCATTTCATTAACACTTCAAAGGGTTAAGGTAACTGGAAAAGCTCAGAATAAGTGTTCTGTTAGGACACACTGACCATTTCTGAACTTTTACATAAAATCAAACCTTTATAAATGTTATACAAGGAAATTTGCATGCCCATTGTTGCTTTAATTACAATGGTCTTTATTTTAAGTCACAAGATTAGACACTTCAGAAAAATGAAACCACAAATAAATAACAAAAGTGGAATGCTTATCAAAGTTACAACAGACATAATGTTCAGCTGAGAATCACCGCACAGAGTAAGGCTCTAAGACACCAGAGAAACCAATGCCTGCTGGAATGTGGCGTGCGACTCTTATTGTAGTTCTAGAGGAGGCGGCATTGGTGTGGTCAGTTAACGTCTCAGAAAAACCAGTTTTAGCAGTTGTGCTTCAGACTAAATTTTCGATAGTTGTTAGTCTGCACAAGATGTTGAAGAATACCCCCTGGGAAAAAAGTTGAAACGTGAAGACTTCCTTCTAGAACTCCCAGGAGCCACTATACATATATTCTTATGTTCCTGAAAGCAGAGCAAAATGGAGATTGGCAGCTGCTGTAGTTCACATATGATGCGCCCGTTTCGCTGTATGACTGGCAAGTCAGTGCGCCTGGATTCAGGGGTGGCAGAACATACTGTTCGAGTAGAGTATGAGGAAAATTAGGATCAAATGAGAATACGTTTGACTGTAGTGTTAATCCTCAATAAACTTTCAGATGCTTCTACATTACCAGCAACAAACATTAATAAGTCACTAAAAACTAAATGTATCTCTAGGGAAATGGACACATAGAAAAATGCTAATCTCATGAGTGGGCTCAGACCCAGATGGTATCTATTTCATTGACTAACCATCGACACCCTCCCAAATCCTCCCTCAGATTCCATCCAAGTGACCTGTACCTGAAATCCTTCAGCAGACCCAACTACTCCGCAGTGGATAAGCTAGTCAGGTGTACACAATTAGGAGGATGGACTTACAGAGGAATCTGGAAGTCTGCTCAGGTTCCGACTCCTCTTAAACACTAATAAGCATAATTAAAATTTGTGAATCCTAGATCCAGATAGTACAAGCTAAATTAGCTTAATACATGAAATGAAATTCACAAATAAAACCCATGGGATTGTTTTTGGTAGCTAAAACCTAAATCTGAATTATTCGTGTCTGGCATTGTGTAAACATGTTTTTAAGTTCATTCTGCTGGATTTCATTAACCATCTCCGGTTCTGCAGGACTCTTCTGAACTTTTGCCACTGCCAAGTTGATCCCATGGGTTAGGCCAGCCTGAGTAATACTGGCAACCTGCACCATAGAGCTTCGAATTTTTGCAAAGGGAGAGACTGCTCTGCTGCTACTGCTCTCTGAAGGAGAAGGAGTTACATGAAGCCCTGCCTCGAGTTCCAGCATGCTGGAACTGGAGCTGGGTGTCTTTTGAGCTACAACTGCATGCACTGGTTCAACTGACAAAAACTGTGTGCCTGTCCCAGAAAAAGACACATCTAATTGCGATGGTCGGGAAGGGTTCTGTTCCGTTGATTCTGGTTGGGATTCTTCTTTAGAAACTTGGTTGGTCATCTGGTTTCCTTCCTCTCTAGCTCGCTGAGACACAGAGCTGCTCTCTGACAGCTCCATCATTTTGTTTTGTGCGTCTTGCACAAATCTGTGGCAGTAAATATCCATAGGTTTCACAAAACCAGCCAATAGGCGTATGTTGTCAGCAGAGGGACTTTTCTTCAAAGGAGACTCCTGGCCTTTCCCAAGTGCGCCTTCATGATCACGAGGAATCTCTGTGGGAGCATGAATGCTCACATCAGTGCTGCCAATAGACTGGGATCGACCGCCCAATCGAGGTGCCGAAGCAATAATACCACAACTAGGAAGAACATAGTCTATCGGCCCTACACTCTCTAAAGAATTAGCGAGCTGCCTGTCTTCATCAGACTTGGAATTTGTAAGGAATTCATCAGAATGGTAGGAGTCATTATCTGAAGAAATGTCCCCATCAGATTCTGCCTGGACCTTATTTTCCATCACCCCTGAGCTTTCCATAGTCTCAAGACTACTATCTGATTTCCAAAGATTGACTTTTAAGTTTGGTTTTAGAAAGTTCACTTTCATTTCAGGCTTAGTAAAGTTTCCTAACTTTCGTAGGTTGCCAATATTTACATTGGATTTGGTCTGCTTCACTTTTTGATTTAGAGATGAAAATTTGCTCAGTAAAAATTTTTTCCCCTGGGCCAGAGAGCCTTGGTTCTGAGATCTGATACCCATGATGTCTTCGTGAGGTTTACTGCTCTTCCTATAAATGAGAAAGAGAAAAGGTTAATTTCCCAGAGAACCCAAAAGACCCATTCCAATTTCTAAGTAAAAATGCTTTGCTGATTTAAACTGGTCCCAGTTTCTTTGGAACACTGCATTGCTCACTGGATAAACTCCCATAGGATTGACACTGAAATACCACTGCCAGAAAGAAACACACAAGATACATATTGTTACATTAAAAAGAACTAGTTTTTAGTACCATTTTACTTAATCCAATATATATAAAACATTATCCCTCCAACATATAAACCAGCAGTAAACATTTTGTTATCTCTAAAATTTGTTAAATCTAAGATGACTGACGTGTGGTATGGCACACCATACTGAGACTGGTCGCGTCGTCGTGGCTTCGGAGCCCCTGTGCTGAGTGGTTACCACGCTGGGTAATGCAGGACTAACAGTCACGGTGCGGGGATGGAACTATGAGCAAGTAACATTGTAGTGACATCCCCCATGACAGCAATAAAGGGTAAAAGTCTACATGTTACTTGCCACAAATGTCTGTGTATCTGCCCAGTTTCCTTAGTGATACAAGCTCACTAACCAGAAAAAAAAACAAAAAAAACAGGTTAGAGAACTACATTCTCTCCATTAACAGAAGATGGAATCATTTTCCTCTAGGGGATCAAATGGCCCTCCCCACTCTGGAATGAGGATGGGGGAGCCTGGTCAAGGCTCGCTAGGAGGAAAAAACTATAAACTTTAGACACAAAAATATGTTGATAGCCACTCTCTTCCCAAATTCAAAAAACTTACTATCTTCTCTATACAGTGTTTTCAGTTTCACCTGTGGCCACACAAGTTGTATTTGGATGGCAAAACAGCTCCTAGGGTTTCTCTGAGCATCTTTGAGCTGAATTAAGTCATGATTCTTCTCAAAATACCACTTCGCTAAGCATTTATGCAGACAGTCAGTATTACTATGTACAGTTAACTTTTCTTTTGGTCGGTCATGGGGCTTGAACCTGGATGCTGTCCCTAAATTCTTTTGCTCAAGGCTATTGCTCTACCACTTTGAGCCACAGTGCCACTTCCGGTTTTTTGGTGGTTAACTGGAGATAAGAGTCTCAGAAACTTTTCTTTTCTTTTTTTTTTTTGGTCGGTCGTGGGGCTTGAACTCTGGGCTTGAGCGTTGTCCCTCAGCTCTTCAGTTCAAGGCTAGCGCTCTACCACTTGAGCTATAGCGCCACTTCCTCTCAGAAACTTTTCTGTCCAGGCTGGCTTTGAACTATGATCCTCAGATCTCAGCCTCCCGAGTAGCTAGGAAGCACCCAGCCATATTAACTCTTTTAATTTTATTTTTACTATCTTCAACAAATCAGTTTATATGTCTATATGTACAATGCATCTTGACCAATGTCAGTATCACCCCTTGCATCATTCTCCCCAATCCCATCCCCTCAAGTTACCTGGCACCACCCAGTAGTGGTATTAGGATTGGGTTAGTTTTGATAACTACCTACTATAGAGAAGGTATATGGGAACACTCTGAGCTATTTATATAACCCTCTGTAAGTCTAAAAATTACAGATATAGAGTTCAACCTGAAAGGTATTACTTTTGACTCAGAAATCCAGTACTCACCTCTGTCAATAATAGATTCTCCGCACTTCCTCCTTACAAATACTTTTTTTCTGTGTGTGTGTGGGGGGGGGGGGTGGGGGGGGTTGTCTCTGGGCACTCTCTCTGAGCTTTTCCAAGTTTTGAGCCACAGCTCCACTTCCAGTTAATTGGAGATGATGACTCTCATGGACTTTCCTACCTGGAATGGCACGTTCTGAACCACCATCCTCTGATCTGAGCCTTCTTAGTAGCTAGAATTACAGGTGTGAGCCACCAGTAGCCAGCAATTTGCAAGGACTTTTAAAGCACTAAAACTTTAAGGCTGGCCTGATGCTCAGTGGCAGCACATTTACCTGTATGAGGCCTGAGTCTGATCATCAGCACCCAAAGGTAAACAGAACTAAGACCTTGGATATTAATGTCTCCATATGCAGAAGAAGTGTTATCCTACCTCTCAAGTTTCTTCTCAGTTATCGGTACATCTAGTCCCATGGCTTGCTTGGTGATCTGTAGCATCTCTGCAATGCACTGAAGGGTATCTGAAATGCAAATATAACTGCTTCCAAATTTCTCCATAAACATATTCAAAACAGCATTTTAATTCACATAAGAGAACTCTGTGGTCATTTAAATACAAGTTTTAATGTACAGAAAAGTACTACTTTGTCCACTACCAATTCTAAATGTTCTAAATCAAATTTTAACAGAAATGAATTAACTAGGATTAGGAGCTTATAGTCATTGTTTGTCCAAGCATTGTGCTGGAGGGCAACAGCTGAGAATGTAACGGGCAAGGTCCTTGACTCCTGCTTCTAAGACGGCAAGCTGAGCAAAGCCCTGGAACCCAAATGACTTCATACAGAGCCAAACACACTAAGAAGTCCCCATGTCCTCACCTCAAACTAAATAATCCATTTCAATAGGTTCTTTGGATTTCTGAAAACAGTGCTCTATCAAGGTCTGAAATCACAATACCATTCCCCAGACCAATTCTCATTCTGCTGGCCATTATACAGAACACTCCCATCCCATCAAGACTTCCAAGAGTAGATAGTAAGCTATCACAGAATTCTTTCTTTCACCTTTTCCATCTTCTTCTGGATTGCGCATCACTGCCCTCAGTGTGTGGAAATAACCACTTGCTCCTTTATATCTGTAGTGCAGTCGCATGCAGGAGAACTTCGGCTTACCAAAAAGAGTGGGTTCAGGACCTAAAAACCCAAATGAATATATGCGTAGTTATGTCTTTCACATCCATTTCTTCTTTCACTTCAAAATGACTAACAAATACCCATCAATTAGCTTTGTGCCACATTATTCTTCATAATCTATCAACCGCCTGCAAAATACAAGCTTATAGTGACTATCTGATTGAATGCACCTATCTTCTTTAGTCTTATTGCAACTTATTTGATCCCTCAGGTTATCTTCACAAAGCATGAAAATAAGACGAACACAGCACTATGAGACTACATCCATCACTAATCTCTAAAGAATAGAATAGAAGTCTACAGACAGACTGCTTGGAATTTCATTTCTTTCTGGTTTCCAACAGATATTTTATTAGTTGCCTACATAATATGTCCTATAACTGGGAGCAAGAGCATTTGATTTGTGTAAAGCAGTCACTATGTTAAAACTTACCTATTTCTATTTTTTCCAGATCCTCTAGACTTAGTCGTTGATATTGATTTACTTTATCAACTTCATCATCATAACTTAAAGAAAGGAGTAAAAAAAGAGGATTAAAATCAGAAGCATATCTGGCTTCTCAGCTGAGGTATATATAATAGTCGCAAATGAACAGGTGTAGTTAAAATCATGCCCAGTGCAATATATTTAAGATAGTTAAAATTTCTATAAAGTTAAAAACCAAAAACAAGCAAAACAGGAACACATACACACACATATACTGAATCTTCTTATATGGGAATATATGTCAGATAAATCTGGTGCTCAAAACTGGGAGTGACAATGACATGTGAGCTGTGCCAACAGGCATCTAGGGTGATAGCTAAAATATGATAAAGTCACAAATAATATTTACTTGGAAAATATGAGTTAAAACTCAATCCTGATAAAGCAGGAGTATACAAGTGCTCATATTTTGGTAATGGCATTGTTAACTGGTACTCCTTCTGGAGATGGAATTGACAAACCAAAGTCACATCATTGATCATATCACTGTAAGCACAACAAGCTGCTTATATTTTTGCATACAGACATACATACACACAAGCTATGGTACACAGATCACAGAAACAGCAAAAAGAAAAGGTGGAGAAGCACCAAGGAAACAAATATGCTGCAGTAATACAAAGTGATATGAACACTAACGATAAATATATATGTAATACAAAGGGGTAGTAATAATACAGAGGGATACAGCCACTAATGATAAACATACATGTAACACCCCAAAGCTTGAAAGGTAACCATTTTTAGCTAAGAGAATCCAATGTTATATAAACATAAACACAATGAATTATTATTCTAAAAACTACCAAGCTGATAAAAGAGTAATTATATAAGGCTTCATAAGCTTTCATAATATATTAACAGAGTCTTAATTTTTTTAACTGCCATAAATTCTGAAAAGGAAATTTCCTTAAGTTTAAAAAACAGCTTTAAGCCAGTATGTAACTTACTAGGCCACGTAGTAGGCAGCGTTGGAAAGCAGTAAAAGCACATCCACGTCCCTGTGAGTGGCGTCAGTGAGGCTAAACAAACATGACACAGGGATTAAATACTTTCAATCTCATCCAAACTTTTGGTCAAGCACAGTCCTAGAGTCCTACAGCAGAGCCACTTACGATTTTTTTTAAAAATTGGCCAGGGGAACAAAAAAGAAAATTGAAGAATGAATACTAATTCTGAAGATAAATGCAATGCAATCTATCCACTTGCAAAAGAATTTAAGATAAAAAAAAAAAAAAATCAACCAATGGAAGAACCACCACCACCAAAGAAAAACGCATACAAGAGAGGCTTAGTGGTGAGAAGGGCTGGAGCTGAGAAGTAGCCAGAGGATGGGGGTGGGGGTGCCGTCTGGGAGGGGGCGAGGGAAGGAGAAGGGACGGAGGGAGGCGGGAAAGGAGGTAGGAGGGAGGGGAAGGAGGAGAAGGAGGGAAAAGAGGAGGAGGGAAAGGAGGAGGCAGGCAGGAGGGAGGGGAAGGAGGAGGAGGAAGCAAAGGAGGAGGGGGCAGAGGGAAAGGAAGAAGGGGAGGAGGAGGAAGGAGAGGAAGAAAATTGGGGGTAGATGAACAGTAGAAAGGCAATTATTTGGAAAAATAAAATATATGAGCTTGAGAAGAAGAAATCAAGATTATTTTACATTAACCATCAAAATATCACAATGCACATTTACCATTATTTTTACACTTGTGGGAAATGTATCATTAAAACATTTTATGCAAATATAATATCGATATGCAAAAATGGAACAAGCCCAATTATATTCCATTTCTTTCACTATAGACTAATTTACTTGGCTGCCAAGGTACATGCAAACATTTTTGGAAGGCTATTTTGTCACATACTGACTCCAAAATCAAATATTAAAATACGAGTTCAAAAAACCCGATGGGATGAATCATTGAAACTGTCGTGAATTATACACCCTTGAGCATTTTCTAGTACGAAAAGAAAAGCATAAAATCTAGAAATAAGCAACAAATAGAATGCAAATTGAAATGAAACTTTAATGAGTCTACATGAATGGCCTTCCTGTCAAGGTAATTAATCTGCATTATCACTGGTCGCCAAATTCCACTGCAAGAAGGAACATTCTTGCCTTACGAATTTACAGTCATTCACTAGACCTTACCATCAAAATGTGAGTAAAAAAATGAATAGAAACCAATAGGGGAGACAATTCTTTGTAGCAGGAATTTAAGCCCCTGCTTAATCTGAGTAGAATGAGGTCATTGTTTAGCGGGTGCTGCAGGAAGGAGGGGCGCACCAAAACCCGCCACTGCAGTTCTCTCCATTAGGAGCACCTTGTCTTTATGTAAATTCACCTCAGTTTTCATCTCGTATAAGGAAAAACACCATTCATGAAGTAAAATGCCAGAACCCAATAAAACTCAGATTAATTCTAAGAGCCAAAATTTAAGCACTGATCAATCAATCAGTGGGGAAAAGAAAACTATAAATCCATCAATGCTGGCAGCTTCACTGAGAATAATACCGGATTACAGGGCAAAATACCATCCGATTCTGTCCATTGATACTTACATGCATTCTGAAAAGTACTGCTTGAGCCAAGCCGTAAAAATTACGTCACGACACATTTGTAATACGAAATAAATTCTACTCCTACAGCACTACATTTACTCTAGCTTCCTATTTGGGCATTAATATTTACATCGGTCGCACAGGATCCTCAGTCAAACACATTATGTCCTTAACAAAAATCACTTGGCACGTTAACAGGCGGTCGGAAAATGTGAGCCCTCCCCCCACCCGCATTTGTACTGAGGTCTCGGCCGCAGCAAGACACTTAGTTCCCCTCCCTGCCCACCCTCCACCCACCCCCAGAAAAGGAAAAGCGTGTTTAACCCGAACAAGAAGGAAAACGCAAACCCCGAAGGCTGTCCCCGCCCGCGCTCGCGGCCGCGGCCGCTCTACTCCTTCTTGTTTTCCCGCCACTGAGGCAAGCCCTCCTTCCACACTATGAAAACAAAAATCGCCAGCACCACATGCAGCCCGACCACGGCGACGATAGTCGCGTAAAAGGCGCTGTCTTCGGGGGACATTAACATCAGGCTCTGGAAAAGCAGCAGTTTGCAGGAGAAATACAGCCCCACGGGAACTTTGACCATCAGCCCCGCAAAAAGGAGGAAGATCTTGAAAGTCATGGCCAGAACCCCGTCGGTCTTGGGCTCTGCGGCATTAGCGGCAGCAGCCCGCTGCGCGGGTGGCGGAGGCCTGTGAGAGCGCGGCATTGCCTAGCTGTCCGTCCGTCCGTCCGTCCGTCGATGCCGCGAAGCCCAGCCGGAGCTGTCCAAGCCTGAGCTCGCGCCTGCAGCGAATGCGGCGAATGCGGCAATTGGGACGCGCTGCGGCGGCCGCCAAGCCCCGCCCAGGGGACGCGTCTAGCTTCCGGCCGCCCACTTCCCGACGCGGCTGGCAGCCAGGGCGCATGCGCGTCCTGTCCAGTGCAGCCCACGTCCCAAGGGGGCTCGGACCTCCCGGCCCGAGGCGGAGGAGTGCGGGGACGGAGGCCTGGGAAGGGGAGGGGGGGGGAGAACCCGGGTCGGGGCCGGCTGCCGCGAGGGGTAGCTCGCGCCTCCGTGCACGCAGCCGGAGGGGCGCGCAGGCCATGGCCGCCCGCTGCTGCCGGCCGGCTCCCTGCCTCGGGGAGAAGGAGCTACCGCACCCCTGGCCGCTCGGTGAACGCGGGCTAAAGGGTGGTCGACCCCGCGGTGGACGCAGCGGCCCCTGCAACTCCCGGCTCCCCGCAGTCACTGGAGTCAATCACTCCAGTCCGCGACTGTCCTGCGGCCCGGGAGCGGGGTGGCGGGAAAGGACACGCAAAGGTCAGGGAGGGCAGGCCAGGACGCGGCGGGGCGGGCACAGGGTCCCTGCGGGGCGGGCCGCGCTGTGCCGCGCCACCCGGCTGGACAGCTCCCGCCGGGCGCGCAGCCAGCCGCCCCCCCCCCCCCCCCGTGGGAACGGCCGGCTTTCTCCTCTTGCCGCACTTGCCCAACGCTGCCCGCTCCGCCCGTGCCGCAGTGCAGACGGAGGCGCTGGGGCCAAAGTGAAGCAAGGTGCCAAGACAGTTCTTAGAGGACTTAGCACCGCAGGGTCCCCGATCAATCAGAATTACTACCAAAGTGCCATACACAACATGGAACACAAAGAGAACCTGCTCCTGCACGTGCACAATTCCGCCTTCAGCTGCCTGACCCAATGGTTCTAGTCTTGGTAACACTTAACAAGTGAACAGCAAAAGAAAAAATGGTGGTAGGAGTGTGCAGTCTCAACACTGGGGAAGCTTGGCGGATAATCCGACCTGTAAAACGGGCAAAGGTCCAGGCACCGATGTAAATCTACCAATGTTACACCTGTCAATCCTCGCTACTCCAACGGCTGAGACCTGAAGATTATGGTTTTAATCCAGTCTGGGCAAGAAAGTAAGGCTCTTAGCTCTGAAAAGCCAGAAATAGCTTCGCACTGGTGGCTCATGCCTCATGGTGGTTTGGAGATGCCTCAGGAAACTAAACACAGAACTTCCTTATGATCCAGCCATGCCACTCTTGGGTGTCTACCAGAACGTTTCAAGTCAGCACATGGTAAAGACACTTGCACATCCATGTTCACTCCTGCACTATTCACAATGGCCACTTTATGGAAACAGCCCAGATGCTCTATAATAGATGAGTGGATCAAGAAAAAATATAGAGCTTATACACAATGGAGTTTTACTCATCAATCAGAAAGATTATGTCATTTGCAGGGAAATGGATGGACCCAGAACAAATCATGTTAAGAGGAGTAAACCAAGCTCAGAGAGACAAACAGCATGTTTTCTCTCATAAGTGGAGGCTAGGTCTAAAATTCAAGATGATAATTTATACAGGGCTTTATGTATTTACACAAAAATAAACTGAGGAAAGGAGGATATATGAAGAGGAAGAATCTAAAGGCATAATTCCTCTGAACATCTAAAGAACAGTTTATCAAAATGAATTCCAAGAAATGGAAACAGAGTATTTTCTTGTTGTTTTGGTTTGGGTTTTTTTTTTTGGGGGGGGGGGGGAATGAGTGGAGGAGAGCACAGAAAAGGAGGAAAGAAGGTGAATAAATGCAGGCATTATATTCAATATATACTATGTTTAAAAATGAACTATGCGTCCGGCGGTGGTGGCTCACGCCTATAATCTTAGCTACTCAGGAGGCTGAGATCTGAGGATTGCAGCTCAAAGCCAGCCCAGACAGGAAAGTCTGTGAGACCCCAGAAATGGCATTATGGCTCAAGTGGAAGAGCTCTAGCCTTGAGCTGAAGAGATCAGGGACAGCACCTAGGCCCAGAGTTCAAGCCCCATGACCAATAACAACAACAAAAAGAACTATGTGCCAGGGGCTCACACCTGTATTCCTAGCTACTCATGAGGCTGAGATCTTAGGATCACGGCTCAAAGCCAGTCTGGGCAGAAAAGTCCATGAGACTCTTATCTCCAACTAACCACCAGAAAACGGGAAGTGGCACTGTGGCTCAAGTGGTAGAATGCCTGCCTTGAGCTGAAGAGCTGAGGGACAGCACCCCGGCCTAGAGTTCAAGCCCCATGAGTGACCCCAAACAAAACAAAACAAAAAAATTATGTGACCAGCACAGTATATCACAAAAGCTCAAGGATAGTGTCCAGGCAGAGTTCAAGCCCCAGGACCAACACAATTAGAAAAGAAAAAAGAAACAAAGGAAGGGGAAAAAAAGCCATGCACTCGTGGCTCACACCTGTAATTCTAGCTACTCAGAAGACTGAGATCTGAGGATCGATGTTCAAAACTAGTCCAGGCAAGTAAGTCCCTGTGAGACTATTATCTCCAATTGACCACTCAAAAAGCATAAATGATACTGTGAGTCAAAATGGTAGAGAGCTAGCCTTGAGCAAAACAGCTCAGAGATAGTGCCCAGGACCCGAGTTCAAGCCCCAAGACTAACAAAAAAACAAACAAAGAGCTATGTTACTTGTGGGTAGGGATGCGAAGGTGAAAATGCAGAAAGGGTGAAAGAAGGTCTGAAAATGCCCAAGAAGCATTGTGCTCATAACCTGACATATGAAATTGTAATAATTTTGAACCACTCCTGACAAATAACAATAAGCCAGGCACCAGTGACTCATGCCTGTAAACCTAGCTACTCAGGAATCTGAGATCTGAGGATCACCACTGAAAGCCAGCCCTGGCAGCAAAGTCTGTGAGACTCTCATCTCCAATTACTCATCAAAAAGCGAATAGTTGAGCTGTGGCTCAAGTGGCAGAGTGAGCCTTGAGCACAAAAGCTCAGGAGGGATACATACACACACACACACACACACACACACACACACACACACACACACACATTCTCTCTCTCTCTCTCTCTCTCTCTCGGGGGTTTTATTTTTTTGTTTTTGGTCCTCTTTAATTATACACCTAACGCAAGTGCCTTACAAACTTGCCTTAGCACAGCCCCATACTGAAACTACAGCATGCATTCATGCTCACAGCTCTACGGGCAACTGCTCAAACTGTGACAACTGAGAAACATGGGGAAGTTAAGCGGGTTAGTTGCCCGGATACCAACTCCAACTCACCTGGGGTCACAATCAATAAGAGCCCAGCCCCCATGGAACTTCTCATCATCAGGCAGTAGTAACTTCATATAACTTTGTAAGAGCTGGCTAATTAGCTCCTGGTGGCTCCTCTGATTCTCCTTATCCAAAGCTTCATGCTCCTTCTCCTTAGTAAATATGGAATAAAGGTCTTCTGTCACTGGAATGCCTTGCATCAAATCTAGGGCAGAAGAGTTGATCATCTTAGTTTACTAAAGTATTTAAAAAAAACAAGAGAGAATATAAGAACTACAAAATTCATAGAATAAAATATTAACATGAACTTTGTGATCCTAGACATAATTTTTTAGAGATGGTACCAAAAGCATAAGCAACAAAGTAAGGAACAGATGAACTGGACATTATCAAAATTAAAAACTTCAATGCTCCAAAGTATAATGTCAGGAAAAGGATAACCCATAGTAGGTGAAAATATCAACAATTGAGTTACCTGGCTAGGATCATGAATAACCATAATAAAAATACAAGCCAATTTAAAAAGTAAAATATCTGAATAGATAAGCTGACTTCCTCCTGATGGACATGCAGCAATGGCTTTAATAAGTCACTGAATCTCATTTCCTGTGAAGGTACTAGAACGATGTAGCAGTAGCTACATTGGTAACATCTACCAACCCCTGACCTGAAAAGGGAAGCAGTAGTTATTTCTCCTTCTCAGCCTTGAAAAGACCCATTGTACGGACCTGAATGAAGCTGACAGGATAGACAGCAGAACTGAGAGCGGGAACTCGATCCTCAGGGACATAACTGAGTAGAGCTAGGCCAACTGGCGGAATCAAGGTATCTTATTTTTCCTTGAATAACCTGTTAAGATTCAACTCCCTAACCATACAGAACATGCAGTCTTCATATTTAACAATGACTTTTTAAAAATTGTACTAAAGACTGAACCCAGAGCCTCACACACACTAGTCAAGCACTCTACCACTGAGCTATGTCTTGCTATGTCTCCAGCCCTGAATCAAACTTTATTACATCAGATTCCTTCGATTCCTATCTGACCTTTGTGGAAGTCTTACTGTTTCATGCTAAATAATCAGGTGAAAGTTGAATTTAAACCAGGTACTAGTGGCTCACACCTGTAATCCTAGCTACTCAGGAGGTTGAGATCTGAGGCTCACAGTTCAAAGCCAGCCTGGGCAGAAGAGTCCCTGTAAGACTCTTATCTCCAATTAACCACCAGAAAACTGGAAGTGGTGTGGTGGTTCAGAGTGTTAGAGTGTTAGCCTCAAATGAAAAGACCTCAGGGACAGTGCCCATGCCCTGAATTCAAGGTCCACAACTGAAAAAAAAAAAAAGTTTTTAATTTAAAGAATATTCCCAGGACCACATGTCAGCTATGTTGCATTTTGGTCAAATCTAGAACTGTTATTTACTCCTATACACATAACAATTTCATTAAATTTAAAATATTTCAATGTATGAATTCTATTGGTCCATCTATCTTGTCCTTCTAAAAAGTAATGGATTAATCACTAATATCCTGTTAAATCAAACTTATGAAAAAGGATAGTATACTGTCCACAACAAGAACATATGATAAATAGCTTACAGAAAAAGAAAATCATCTGTTTATATGGTACAGCCTTAGTAATGAGAAAATCAACATAAGTTTGTATTTAGCTCTCAGGTACTTTGTTGTCCACTTCAGAAGCCTCAGCTTGAATAATAAACTGACAGATACTTGTGAAAATAAATGGTTTCTTTTACTGCACCAGTCAAAATTATTTGTCAAATTCTAATCTTGTCTAAATCTAAAACTGATTTACTGGGTAAGAAGCTCAAGATAGAAACACAAGTACATTACAAAACATGAGTTATGTTAATGAAGCTTGTTTCTGTAAAATGTTAGTTACAGAAGGAATAAATTTTAAGGAAAGAAAGCATTTCTATTCCTTACCTATAACAGCTTGCCTATAAGCATCCTTAAACCGATTGAGGTAATACCTATTTGCTGAGTTAACTCCATCTTTCATAACTCCTGCTAACTTTCTTTCTCCTGTTCTTGTAAAGTCACCCTGTCAAAGAAAAAGCCATTTTGACAATTTATTCAAATATATGAACGTTCTCAAAATCAATTTGGGGATTTTAGTTCTAGAATTCTAGTTTCCCATGGTTCTATCTTTTCCAGGATTCTATTATTTCCACATTATAACTTAAATATTTTCCAAATAGTATAACTAATTTAAAGTACCCACTAGTACTTGACTTTGACCCAAGTATGTCCAAAATTAAACATGCTATTTGTAGCATCAAGCTTTACAGTTAGATGGTGCTGTTCTTGTAGCAACTTTAGAATTTGTAGAATTTAAGGTAAAAACCAATTATATAACAAATACCAAAACAAAAAAAAAAAACAACTTTCAGACCTAAAACTGTATGTATAGCATTCAAAAAACCAGATCTCCTAATGTGTATAGTTCTCTGTCATCTGTTAAGAAGGGATTCAATCTGTGTGTGGATGTGTAGGTATTAGTAGAAAGGAAGACCAGAGGTTTCCATGCCTTACTACACATTATAATCACCAGTACAGCAATCCAATGAAGATTTAAATTGTTTTGTTTCTCCTGTGTTTCACCATACAGGTATCTGAGTAAGTCTATAGAAGGGACACTGAGCTGGGAAGGTGGCTCAGTGGTAGGGCGCTTGCCTTGCATGCATGAGGCCCTGAGTTCAATTCCTCAGCACCTTATAAGCAGGGGGAAAAAAGCCGGAAGTGGCACTGTGGCTCAAGTGGTAGAGCACTAGCCTTGAGCTGAAGAGCTGACGGACAGTGCCCAGGCCCAGAGTTCAGGCCCCACGACCGTACCCAAAAAAAAAAAAAGAAGAAGCAGAGACACTGACTTAAAGTTAAGGCAAAGAAAGTCTGGACTCTTTCCTCCCCTATTCCAACCTCACTATTTCTATCCAGGCCAATCTCAGCAGGCTTTGATCAAAAACTGACAAGCTGGAAAGAACATGCTTCCATTAGGCCATTTGCAGGGAGTATTAGTGACAAAATGCTGTTGCAGAAGACACAAGTATGAACACGGACCTCAAAGAAGTTTAAAATCAAAGAAGAAAGTAGGTCTCTCTAAACATCAGCTTGTACTAGACATCTAAACCTTGCTGTCCTTAATTATTAAAAAACATTTTGTATATTTATTACTCATCTAAAATGATGGACTATCTGATACCTGATGAGCCCATGTGGTAAACTAAAATAAGCTACTACCAAGCCAGGTGCCAGTGGCTCACACCTGTAATCCTAGCTATTCAGAAGGCTAAGATCTGAGTAAGGATCATGGTTCAAAGCTAGTCCAGGCAGCAAAGTCCATAAGACTCTATTCTCCAATTAATAACCCAAAAGCTGGAAGTGGAACTGTGGAATTCAGCAGTATAGCACTAGCCTTAAGCAAAAAAAAAAAAAAAGCTCAGGGATAGTATTCAGGCTTTGAGTTCAAGTCTCAAGACCAACACTAAATAAATTAAATACATAAATAAATAAGTAATAGTACCTTGAAGGAAAATTAAAATAAACCCTCCTAATGTAAGCTAAATCATTCTTATTATCCACAGTGGTTACTGCTTACAAAGGAAAAATTTAGGTACCAGAAACTATGTTTCCATATTTATCTATACTTAAAATTCTATGAAGACTAGATATATAGGATCTTCAAAAGACTTTTTTTTTGGTGCTGGTCATGAAGCTTTAATTCAGGGCCCGGTTGCTGTGCCTGAGCTCTTTTGCTCAAGTCTAGTACTCTACCACTTGAGACACAGCTCTACTTCTGGCTTTTTGGTGGTTGATTACAGATAAGAGTCTCATAGACTTTCCTGTCCAGACTGGATTTGAATCATGATTTATCCTCAGATCTCAGCTTCCTGAGTAGTTAGGATTAAAAGGCATAGGCCATTGGTGCCCAACAAAAGATTTTATTTTTAGGGCTGGAAAGGTGGCTCAGTGGTAGAGCGCTTGCCTTGCATGCATGAGGCCCTGGGTTCGATTCCCCAGCACCACATAAGCAAAAAGGAAAAAAGCCAGAAGTGGAGCTGTGGCTCAAGTGGTAGAGCGCTAGCCTTGAGCTGAAGAGTTGAGGGACAGCACCCAGGCCCAGAGTTCAGGCCCACGACCGGAACCAAAAAAAAAAAAAAAGATTTTATTTTTAACAAAAAATAAACATTTCTTTTTAGCATTTACTATGTACCAAGGAATGTTCTAAACTCTAAATTATAAGTCCCATGACAATCTTTTGCAGCAGCCTGGACAAATGAGACGGAGGAATCAGTGACTTGTTCAAGGTCACAGAGCAAACTCGAGGGAAAAAAAATTTCAGATTTCCAGATACCTTTGAAAAACTGGAAGACACAGCAACATGGGAAGAAGTAAACTTGCCTCCAGAGACGATGCATGTTCATCCTTCAGGATAAACATGAATAGCCCACTTTTCCCTCTGATCTAACGGTGGCTTACTTGAGTCATAGAACCTGGTTCCTATAGAAATTTGAATGGGTAAACACTGCCTTAGCCAGACATGCAGCAAGCAGTCAACCACACAGACCTGCTTTTCTCAAAAACAAGTCAGTTTGCAACCACAGTCTAACCTGTCACACAGAGTGACCCGTAATGCTTGTTACATATATTTACCTTCAGAGCAGCTGTCCCAGCATACTGTCTGCTTATGGAGTCACCATTGTTAGCCCACATTATCTGGTAGATCCGATTACATTTCACAGGTAATGGCTGTTCTGGGGGCATCACACCTAATTTTTTTAGCTAAAATAAACACATTGGTACATTACTACACATAAACCAGGAAACCATAGAGTAAAATGTATCTATAGAAAAATAAAACACTCTGGCATACAATGTAGGATCTCTGCCAAAACAAATCATGTTTTCAGACTTTGGAAGGCAAAGGAGGCAAAGAGACAAGGTTTTGCTATATAGCCTAGGCTGGCTTCCAACTCAAAATTCTATTGCATGAGCCTCCTGAGTACTGATATTACAAGTGTGCACCCCTGGCTCAGGCTTCATCTTCTTCTAAAGAAGCCACTGCTAAAAGTCAGCTTTATGAATCACCATATTTGAATAAATATAATGAAGTATTTACACTGTTTTGGTAGAATTTTTTTTGATATACCAGTCCTGGGGCTTGAATTCAAGTCCTGGGCCCTCTCTCTGAACTTCTTTGCTCGAGGCTGGTGCTCTACCACTTGAGCCACAGCTCTGTGCCTGTTTTTTTCTGGTAGTTAACTGGAGACAAGAGTCTGACAGGCTTTCCCACCTGGGCTGGCTTTGAACCACAATCCCCAGATCTCAGCCCTCTGAGTAGCTACAATTACAGGTATAAACACCAAAGCCTGGCTGTTTGGGCAGAATTTCTTTTGGGGGGGGGGGGGGGAGGTCCAGTCGTGGGGCCTAAACTCTGGGCCTGGGCGCTGTCCCTCAGCTCTTCAGCTCAAGCCTAGCACTCTACCACTTGAGCCACAGCGCCATTTCCGGCTTTTTTCTTTTTGCTTATGTGGAGCTGAGGAATCGAACCCAGGGCCTCAGGTATGCAAGGCAAGCGCTCTACCACTGAGCCACCTTCCCAGCCCTTGGGCAGAATTTTTATTTTTTATTTATTTATTTTTTTTTTTGGTCCGGTTGTGGGGCCTGAATGCTGGGCCTGGGTGCTGTCCCTCAGCTCTTCAGCTCAAGGCTAGCACTCTACCACTTGAGCCACAGCACCACTTCTGGCTTTTTTGTTATGTGGTGCTGAGGAATCGAACCCAGGGCCTCAGGCATGCAAGGCAAGTGCTCTACCACTGAGCCACCTTCCCAGCCCTGGGCAGAATTTTTAATGTACAGTTTCATATTATTATTTGTTTATGAAGTGAAAAAATAGTACTATTAATAGTATCCGAGTAGGAAGTGCCAATTAAGTCTTAACTCGGTCTGGGCTATCGTTTATTTTACGTGATTGATCTTATTAACTGTCACAACAACCCTGTACAATCAGTACTCATTACACTTAGGTATAGACTAAGACTCAGGGAGGTTAAACTCTATGATAGGGTCAACACCTAGCATGTAGATAACAAAGGCTTAACTTCAAAAGGCTGGATTCTTAAACACTACATTAAAGAAACAGACTTATATTCTCAAAGAATAGTCCTCATATTTTTCTATTAAGAAAAAAACAAAACAAGCCAGGTATGGCGGTGCACATCTGTAATTGTAGCTACTGAGGAGGCAGAGATAGGGGACTTTCAAGTTTGAGGCTAACCTGGGCAAAGTTAGCAAGACCCCCATCTCAAAAGTAAACTACAAAACAAAAGGGACAGGCACGTGGCTCAAGTGGTAGGTAGAGTATTTGCCCAGCATGCATGAGGCCTTAGGTTCGACCCCCAATTCTGCCAAAAAACAAACCATAGAAACCAAGTGAAGTATGTACACTTCGGGAACATTGTTATTCAGGTCGCAGAGAAATGAAAGATCTAAAATGGGACACCAAAGTGATAGAAGACAATGCAGGAAGTAGCTACCATCTATAGGGCTGTGGCACATAGAAAGACTGGTTTTGTCTTGTCACAGGAATCAACAGGCGCCAGAGAGCCACATGTTGATAGAACAGCACATTAAGGATTGTGTCCATTTTGCCATCTTCTGTTCATGGTCTTCTTTAGTCCCCATGACTTACCACCCCTCATCTCAGTCCCAACTCATACTGGCAGAGCAAACTGGCAAAGCAGAAATCTGTTTGCAAATTCCTATGCAAAAAATAGAAGGGTATTTGGGGAGCTGAGAGAAAAAGAGGTACAGGGTCCCACAATGCTACCCAACAGATTTTAAAATGCTGGCCCTTACAATTTTTAAATGAGTGTTTATAGAATGCTACTGTATTTAACATATCTAGAAAAGTTTGTATTTTAAAAGTTTTAATTCAATAAGGATATTTATACACTATAAATGTCCTATACAACCTTCAAGACGTGAAAAAAGACTTCTACTATTTCCACATGAAAAAACATACAAATACGAATATTTAGAATCAAATGGACTCCCAATTACCTGCTGTTCCATAACCACTCGAGCAATGGCAGCTTGAACTACATTGGTACGATCCAGGCAGTCCATGCAATTAATTCGAAAAATTCCTTCCTGTTTGCATATTACCCCAGCTTGATCAACCCTTTTCAAAAACAGTGAGATTACTCTTTGAAATACTTCAATCAAATTTTCAAAAAACTTAATTCTTAAAGTAATTATGACAAAGGCAACAAAAGTGTTGTCTAGAATAACATTATATACCCATCATTACTGACATTACATTTACATACAATAACTTGGTAGTGAAGGCATCATTATCCCCATTTCAGGAAACAAAACAATTAAAAACTAAGGTACAGCTAGGTGCCAGTGGCTCACATATTATCATCCTAACTACTCAGAAGGCTGAGATCTAAGGATCATAGTTCAAAGACAGCCTGGGCAAGAAAGTCTGTGAGACTCTTATTTCCAATTAACAACTAAAAAATCAGAGGTGGAACTGCTATGGTTCAAGTGGTAAGAGGGCTAGCTCTGAGCAAAATGAAGCTCAGGGACAGGCCCTGAGTTCAAGCCGCAGGACTGGCACTAAAAACAAACAACCAAACAAGAAAACCCTAAGGAATAGAGTGATCCACCTCAAATCACAACTACAAGGCAGAGAGGACACACCCCCAGGCTGTTTTCCCATATTCTTATAAACAAGGAGGCAGCTTAAACACCACTTGTCATCTTGTTCCTCCCTCTTTGACTCAAAGCAGAAATGCATCTAAGCTATCTAAGAAACAAGCTAATCAACTTTGCCATCCAGTGGGAAGCCATGCAGCATGTCTTGTCCCTCTAATTTCACTGGCCACCTGTTGTCATCTTAAAACCAAATGTTCCCTCCTGTTCTTTAAGTCGATTTTTCTTCCCACATCTACCTCCTGCAGCGTAAGAATCATTCTCCTTCTCTTTTAATTTTGAAGAGCCTGAAAATGCTATACTTTTCAGCCTTTTTCCCAAAATAGGGAGGATGAGAAGAGAAAATGTAGACCACAGAGCATGAAAAATAAGCTCAAGTCTTAAAGAATAGTTACAGACCATTTTACTTAATTTTGCCCAATCATCTGATACCTGTTCCCTCTTCAAAGATAGCACTGACTAATGATCAACAGCACTCTGAAAATAACAGAAAATGGGAAGCAAAACAAAAAAGATATCCACAATGCGTTCCCAGCATGTTGCTATTATGTTAATGCTTGTCTGTACTATACAAATTCGTATGATTTCACAGACCAAGAATCTCTTTAAAAACTGGGAGAGAGCAGGGGAAGGAGTGATCTTGTCCAAAAAGAAATGCACTCTTTACCTGGCTTATATAACTGTAACCCCTCTGTACATCACCTTTATAATAACAATTAAAATTTTTTAAAAAAGAATCTCTTAAAATAACTTATGAGATACCTACCAACACCACTTCATGTCAAGAATAATGTCATAAATGGCATCTGTTAGGGTTTGAACATTCTCAAACTTCATTCCTCGGCTAAAATCCATTCCAGAAAAAAAAGAGAGAAAGAAAACAACCTTTAATATTATAGTACACATTTTTTTAACTTAACAGATTAAGAGGCTAGAGACATAGATCAATGGTAGAACATTTGCCTGGCATGAAAGAAGACCCAGAGAACCAATCCTAGCATTCCAAAAAGACTTCAGCTTGCTTGCTTTGCTTGCTTGCTTGCTTGCTTACTTAGTTTCTTTTCCTTTCTTTCTGTTTTTCTTGTCTGTTTCTCTCTCTTTTTTTTTTTTTTTTTTGTCAGTCGTGGGGCTTGAACTGAGGTCCTAGATGCTGTCCCATGCTCTTTTGCTCAAGATTAATGCTCTACCACTTTGAGCCACAGGGCCACTTCTGGTTTTTGAGTGGTCAATTGGAGATAAGAGTCTCACAGGGACTTTTCTGTCCCGGCTGGCTTCAAACCATGATATTCAGATCTCAGCCTCCTGAGTAGCTAGGATTACAGGCATGAGCCATCAGTGTCTGGCTGCCTTTCTTAAGATGGGATTATTTTGGAAAAGTTAAGAATTGTTACTGTTAAGTATATGATGCAGGCAATTCTACAACTATCAATGATCTGCACTGAGACAGAAAGCATACTTAGGAAGACACTTAAGTTGGCATGGTGGCTCAAGTCTGTAATCCTAGTTGCTTGGGAGGTAGAGATCCAAGGATTATAGATTGAGGGCAGCAAAGGCAATAAAAGTTTACAAGACACAATTTCAGTCAATGATAGGGCATAGTGGCATGTGTCTGTAGCCAGCCCAAGTGGGCCCAAGCATAAAGCAAGACTTCATTGCAAAAATAATGTATGCCCAGCCACTGGAGCTCAAACTTTTTTTTTTTTTTTTTACAGTCCTGGGGTTTGAACTCTGGGCCTGGGCACTGCTCCCTAGCTGTTTTGCTCAAAGCTAGCACTCTACTACTTGAGCCACAGTGCCTCTTCCAGTTTTTGCTGTGATTAATTGGAGATAAAGAGTCTCACAGGCTTTCCTGACCAGGCTGGCTTTGAACCACAATCCTCAGACCTCAACCTCCTGAGTAGCTAGAATTATAGGTGTGAGCCACTGATGCCTGACAGGTAGCTCATACTTATAATCAACTCAGACAAATCTTTGAGACTCATTTTTTCCTTTTAATCAGCAAGAAACCAGAAATGGAAGTGTGTCTCAAGTGGTAGGATACCCAGCCATTAGCAATAAGGCAGAACAAAAGATCAAGGCCCAGAGTACCAGTGAACATATACATACAAACACATACACACAAGCACGCATACACACACACACACACGTGCAAAATTGATACAAAAAGGGGCTGGAGGTGTGACTCAAGTGGTATAGCACCTGCCTACCAAACACAAGGCCGAGTTCAAACTCCAGTACTGAAAAAACACAAATACAAGGAACCACACTACATGTATCAGAAGTGCCTTTTTCCATCAAATCTCCGATATATAGGTAAGTTAACACAGATTAGATCCAGGATGTGGCAAAAAGGACCTTCGTTCAGAATACACCCAGTTTAAAGGGTACCATCAACATGATTCACCAAATGTTTTTCAAAAGTAAACTCATCTCCAAGGACAGAAGTATTATGAAATGAATCAGAAGGATAATTTTTAGCAAGAAAGCTTCATTACTTCTGCTAGGCTGAGACCCAAGAAAAACAGAAACAATCCGTAAGTTCTTCAACCAGTGTGATCAAAGCAAAAAAAGAACTTACAGTCTCCAAGTCATTTTGCAACAGAAGGACTGTCAATATTTTGTTAACAATTTAATTCAAATTTTTAACTGAAATAAGGTCCATATGAAAACCAAAACTAGGTAAATAATTCCCTTCTTTTTTTTTTTTTTTTTTTTGGGTCCAGTCGTGGGGCCTGAACTCTGGGCCTGGGCGCTGTCCCTCAGCTCTTCAGCTCAAGGCTAGCGCTCTACCACTTGAGCCACAGCGCCACTTCCGGCTTTTTTCTTTTTGCTTATGTGGTGCTGAGGAATCGAACCCAGGGCCTCAGGCATGCAAGGCAAGCGCTCTACCACTGAGCCACCTTCCCAGTCCCAATAATTTTCTTCTTAAAAAGAGGAAAAGAAATTTTTCTTCCCAGCAAAAGCTGAGATGTGAAGACCCAATGGCAACACCTAGAACAAACACTGCAAATTATCAAAATCTGTCTCGGGGCACCTCACCAGTGCTCATGGAAGTCGAAGGAAACATAAGTGAGGTGGGAGTTGTTAAAGAGCAGCACTTGCTTCAGGTACGCATCACCAATAATTTTCTCTCTTCCTGCCTGGTCTACCAAGTTAATAATAACCTATGAGTCAAGAAAAAAGAAAAAATAATAAGACTGATTAAATGTTAGAATCATAATGTGATTTTTAATGATTTATCTAGAATTACATCTTCAAAACATTTTATGGGCATAATAAAAAATTAATCTACTCAAGCATAAACTTTTTCCCATAAGAATAAATTTTTATTTACTATATAGTTTTTTTGTTTTATGTTGTTTAGTTAATTGGAGATAAATGTATTACAAACTTTCCTTCCTGGCCTGGCTTTCAACTGTGATCCTTAGATCTCAGCTTCCTGAGTAGCTAGAATTACAGGTGTGAGCCACCAGCACCCAGCATAAATTGGGTTTTTGAGCACTATTTACACCAGTGGTGTAAAATACTTATCCAAACATTTGCAACAACAAATTATAATACACAATGAAAATATAGTCCTTTATAATAGCAAATACTTGAAATACCTAGAATAATTTAAAAAGAAATGTGTAAAACCTACAAACAGAACATTGTAGAACTACTGAAATAAAAGAAAACCTGAATAAATGGAAATACATACCATGTTGGTGAATGACAAGATTCAAGATGTCAAGTCTCCCCAAATTAATCTATACACTCAACAATCCCAATCAAAATTCGACCAGGATCTTTTTATGGACTTGACAAGTTAATTCTAAGGTTCATCTGGAAGAGTAAATATGTAGGAAAAATTTGGAAACTAATAATAAAGGGGGACTTGCCCCATTTGAAGAACAAAACATTCTATAGAGCAACTAAAATTGTGGAACTAACGTAGAAACAGAAAGCTGATGCAACAAAACAGAATAGCCCAGCAAAGACACCTACTGAGGAATCAAGGTTACGCTTACCACCAGTGTGGACAATATGGATGATTTTATCATTACTGGTGGGTTAACTGGATACATAAAGGAGGGACTCATAATAACTCTTTGTGTCTCATTAATTATCCACTAAAAAATTCTTGATGCATTAATCATCTAAATATAAAAAAGCAGAAGAAAACTTGGAGTAATGTTTCCAAAATTGTAAATTAGATGTGACTGTCTAAGCCTAACATACAAATGAGAAAGGATAAAAAGGAAAAGATGGACAGATGCTATGTCATTAAAATTTCAAATCTATGTATCAATGACAGTATAAACAAAGGATTTTTAAAAAGGACTACCCAGCAGAATATATCTGAAGCACAAAATCAATAATATGTAAAGAGTGCTACAAAATAAATTCACAAGAGAAAAAAATGCGTTGCTAATAAACATAGGGCTACAGCTTTAATAACAAAATGCAAATTTCAAAATACAAAATTAGTTTTCACCATATAAAGGTAAATTTAAATATTAACACAAGCAGTACTGGGTCTGTAGGGAAATGACTGGCATTGTTTCTACAAGTTAGAACTAGTGGGCTCTTTGGGAATAATGAAGCAGTAGGCATCAACTTTAATTAGACACACAACCTTTTTATCCAGCACACTCACTTCAATTTTATTCTATAAAATACACAAGTATCCAAAACACACATAAAAGATTATAGCTTTTTCTTTGTTGTTGCTCTGAGATGGGGACTTGAACTATCTGATGCTTTTGCTCACTGGCTGTCACTCTACCACCTAAGCTGCACCTCAAACCCTACATAGCATTTTTTTCCTTTGAGTCAATCCTGGGGCTCAAACTCAGGGCTTGGGCACTGTTCGTGAGCTTCTGGCACACGGTTAGCAGTCTACCACATGAGCCACAGTGCTACTTTGGCTTTTTCTAAGCAATTTGAGATTTAAAAAAAAGTCTCATGGCTTGCTGCGAAACTATCCTCAGCTCTCAGTCTCCTGAGTAGTTAGGATTACAGGAGTGCGCTACCAGCTCCCAACCTTTTAAAGTAACAAAAATAACTGGTCTAAAGGTCCATCAGTGGAGAAATGATTATAACAGCCATGAAATCTTCAATGGTATAGCTCTCTTTTGACTTAAGCTTCAATTATGAATATGCATTTAGCAAGATATTAGGGTTTTTTTTTTGTTACAAACAAGAAATGGCTGCTCAAGGCTCAGAGCAAATCTGGAAGTAGCACAAATCTGGAAGTAGTGTCAGAATGGCTGAACTGAGTGACTACAAACACCATTAAGGACATGAGCTCTTCCCACCTTTTTTACCCTACCAACAAGGTGGTTAATCCCCCTGCTAGTTCATTCACAGTCTTGAATTAGCTGCAGCAGCTCCACATCAAATCCAGATACAACCACTACAGGAAGGCTGCCAGTTCTTATGTCCTCTTTATTATAGCAGGAAACTCTCCTGCTGCAGCTTCCCAGGGGAATTTTCCACATCATACCTCATTGACCAAATAGCCAATGAGCACACACAGGCCTACACCTAAACCAATCACTGGCAAGAGCAATGGTGCCACCTTATTGAGTCAGAATGATGGTGGGCCCAGAAAGCAATTACCCAAGAGAAGGAGGTAGATAAATGAACACAGTTGGAGTACTGTTAGAAATTAGGAAGTGTCTGCTCAATACATACACCTACAAATTGATGTGAAAGTCAATAGGGAGCAAGGAGGAGTGTGGGATGAGGATATTCCCTCTGCTACAGATCTCCTATTGCTTCATTTTACAACTGTGTGTTATATTTGAATGTGGTTTGTTCTTTATACAACTTATAATTACATATATTGTTAATTGTGGAATAACATGTGAATTGATACGTGAATTTAGATGTAGAATAATGCCAAATCATACTGACAAACAATTCTGTTCCACAAACCACCCTCGAGGTAACTTTGTTATCAGTGTCTTTTCTGCACAGATAACTAAAATGCATTTCTATATAAGTATGCCTACTATATATGTGTATGTGTGTGGAAACAATATATGTGAATGGCATGATTTTGTTTTGTAGGATTTTTAAAAATAGTAACATACTAACATACTATATGCTGCTTCAGTTTTTCATTTTCTTTACTGTCTCAACAATGTGATTTTTATTGTGCTTTTATTACCTTTAAGTAGTTGTATGAAGGGTATGTTACAATTCAATATATCAGTTTGCTAAGTACAATACACCTTGATTGATATCACCTCACAATGTGATTTTTAAGATCTTCTCATCTTAGTAAACATAAGTCTACTCACTAAGTAGCTGTATTAAATATGATAGAAATGATGTACTTTATTTTGCCACTGCATTGACCCCCTGATGAGCAGGGATTTTTTTTTCCTTCCATGAATGTTCATATATATATATATATATATATATATTTCCTTGATTGAACAAGTTTTTCTCAAGTAGATTTAAAATTTTTCTAATCAAGGTTTAGTTGTTCCACATCCGTGCTAAAACTTGGTATTTTCTCTCTTTCTTAGCGTAGCTATTCTGGTGTATGAGTCATGGTTTTAATTTGCATTTCCCTGATGACTAACCAAGTGGAACACCTTTTCACAGGTCTTCTGGCTTTATGGAAACCATTTTACATGAAAAGTCTGCTAAGATATTTTATACAAGTTTATTTCAGCTTGTATCTATTTTTAATGAATTTATAAATGCCTTTAAGTATGTTGTAAAGACCTTTATCATATATGTATATTGAAAAAAACTAAATATTCTTTTTCTATGTTATGATTTTCCTTTCATTCTCTTAATTGTGCTTTTTATTTTCCCTGCTACTGTGACTTGAACTCAAACTTCACTCTTTCTAGGCAGGGGCTCTGCTGCTTCAACCACGCTCCCAGCACTTATGTATGTGTGAGTGTGTGAGTGTATGTGTATATGTTTGTGTGTGTGTTGGTCCTAGGGCTTGAACTCAGGAACTGGACATCTTCTGGATTTTTGGTGGTTAACAGGAGATAAGAATATCATGGACTTTCCTACCTAAGCTAGCTTCGAACCTCAATCCTCAGATCTAAGCCTCCTGAGGAGCAAGGATTACAGATATGAGCTACCAGTGTCTAGTTGCTCTCAGTACTCTTAATGATGCCTCTTAATAAACAGAAGTTCTTTATTTTAATACTGTAAAGTCAAACTTGTCAGACTTTATCATTATATTAGTTTGGTAAGAACTCAAATCTATTCAATATCGAGTTTTCCCTTTCAGAAATACAGTCTTTCCTTTTTATTAGCATCAATTAATTGTGTGTGGTAGGGGTCAGGGGGTCATTTAAAAAAGTCTATTTATGTATAATGCATCTTGATCAGAGTCATTCCCAATCATGGTATTTTTCTACATCTAAGAATTCTCGTTTTATCTTCCTTAGTATCTTTTTCTGTTCATTATACCTTTCAGTTTCTTCCTATTTGTTGTATAAGAGAAATATAACCTACAGTATTACTGCTAATAGGTAAGAACATTACTGTCCCACATGAATCTTTTATAAAAGTCTAGAATTTTGTATTTTACCCAATAGTTTTTAATTTATTTTGGTTTATCTGACTGCATTCCTACATGTGAGTGTATGAACACATGTGATCCATGAGTAGAGAAAAAAAGGGTACTGACAGATACATATAAAATTGTTGCCTCAGGGCTGGGAATGTGGCTTATGGTAGAGTGTTTGCCTAGCATACATGAAGCCCTGGGTTTAATTCCTCAGTACCACATAAACAGAAAAAGCCAGAAGTGGCTCTATAGCCCTTGAGCAAAAAAAAAAATAAAGCTCAAGGACAGTGCGCAGGCCCTGAGTTCAAGCCCTAGGATTGGCCAAAAAAAGAAAAAAAATTGTTGCCTCCAAGAAGTAAATGGGACCGAAATGACTTCTCTCTTTTTTATTTTCTTTTTCTTTCTTTTCTTTTTTTCAGAGATAGTGCCCAGGCACAAGGGTTACAAGGTCACAAGGTTAGTACCTTACCACCTGAACACAGCTCCACTTCTGGCTTTTTGCTGGCTAATTAAAAATAAGAGTCTCGGAGGGGGGACCAAGATGGCGACGGGGCAGTAGGGAAACGCCACAGCTCTCTCCAACCAAAAAGAGAGTTCGAGTTCCAACGTTTAATCTCCCCAAGAGACCGACAA